TGAGGGAGAAGATGATAGCAATGATTGAACTAACATTAATTAGATCAGGGAGCGGTGAAATTAGCAGAGGTATCATCATATATGAACGCACTCGTGGCACAGGCGCCTCCGGTCCGACCAATCCTATCCAAGCGATATCAGAGAAACCCTCTGGTTAACAACCAACAATACATCAACTGGCGGGAGAGCACTGATTCCAATGTCTTGATTATCCATAGGCAAAGCCCGAAGCCTTGGCTTTCTGGATTCGTCTTCGAAGATATAGTGAAGAATTCCTCAGGTGATGGAATTCGGAGCTACTTCTCATTTGATGGGGGCGATGACCGCTACAAGGATACACGTGCATTCCTTTCAACCATGGCCGCACAGTGGGTAAGGACGAAAAAGGTTCTCAAATCCGGCTTTGACTTTGAAAACGACATGTCTCGCTTTCTAGCACAGCGCACTCTTACTGAGGACGACTTGCTTCTGTTATTGAGCAGAGTTCGACACTTCTACAGTAAGGGAGAGATGGTGTTTGTGCTTGACAACCTGGATGAATGCTCGGACAAGCTCTCTTCGTTCTGGCGTTTGGCAGCCGAAATGTCAGAAACACGGGAGAAGCAATGGCAATTCCTGATCATGACCAAGTCGATAGACTCGCTCGATGAGTGGCTGAAGGGCTCGCCGACAATTGTACTCGAGGATGAATTCTCACTGGAAGATGTCGATCCCTGCGTCAGGGATGAGATTGACTACGCGTTGCATCAGCTTGATGCCAGATACGTATCAACACTATCAATCGGTAGATACCGAGACGATCTGTTGAGGAAATGCGGTAATGATGTTGGCCTGGCCCGGCTCCTCGTTCAAGATATCCAGAACAGCCCCTCTTTAGATGCTCTCACAAATGCCCTGGAAATGCTTCCAGAAGTGAATTTGGAAGTTTTCTTCCGGAACACTATGCGCGCCGTGCCGGAAGCCAAGCGCACTCTCGTGGCCAGGGCCATTACCTGGCTCGTATTTGCCTTTCGGCCCCTTAGTATTGGCGAACTGCGCTCGGTACTTGGCATATCTGAATCGACCCAAGATGCAGATGGTATGGGGGCAGTGAATGCGCTGACTGGCATCCCAATCTTTGATTTCTCCAACCCGCATGAGGTGCGCTTCCAACATGCAGAGCTAAAGAGTCTGATTCTTCATTGTGACAAGGAGGAGTGGTATCATGTCCAGGCGACTGCCCACGAAATGATGGCAGAAGCCTGCCTTGCATTCTTGGGCACCACTAGTGCCCATGATGCTTTGAACACGGTGTGCGAGGTTCGGCATGGTGTTCTGTCAACACCATGTGTCCGGCGCCGGGTAGATGTACCCACTTATGCTGTGTGCTACTGGGATCAGCACTATCGACTTGCGTCCAACAAGAGTCGTTTGACAACGCAAGTAGTGGAGTTTTTCAAGAGCAAGGCAGCGTTCCGGGGTTGGCAGATGGCACATTGGTTCGTGTCGAATCCGTTCTCTCGGGTGGATCGTACCTACGTTTGTCCGCTACCGCTCGTGGCTTCCATGGGCCTGGACGATGTATATGAGCGATGGATACAAGACAACGGCATGTCCGAAACCGAGCAAAAGCTGTGGCTTCCGTATGCTGTGGCCGAGGCGGCAAGAAACAGACATGGCAGTTTGGTGCTTCACTTGTTACGGTCAGTGGAGCTGGACAGGGCAACGGCCGAGTATGTGCTCGAAGCAGCTTGCTCGGGGGGAGACGAGGACGTGCTTGTGGATGTCATGTCGCACATTCGCAAGACGGCAGTGCCACCATTCAAATGGCCGGCCTTTGTCGTCCGCCGGGCGGCATGGAATGGCCATGCCAAGGTTGTGCAGGCGCTGATGGACGAGGGTGCCGACATCAGTGGCAGCGAGGGAGCGCAGTTTGGGCAATGCTCTCTGTATGTAGCAGCACGCAACGGCCACATCGAAGTGGTCAAGCTGGTGGCCATGCACGATGAAAGCCTTGTGACGGCGCGCGACGAGTATAACAATTCGGTGCTGGATGCGGCGGCCCTGTGGGGAAATGCCAACATGGTCAGACTGCTACTCGAGAAGGGCGCTCCCCCCAACGCAGACGACGGCGGAGCCATTAGCAGTGCATGTAGCGTAGGCGCGCATGCCGCCTTACGCGTGTTCCTCGAACACGGGGTGCAGACAGAAACGAAGGGCGATGGCGACACGTGGCCGCCGCTGCACACGGCTATCCAAAAAGGCGCGTGGCAGTGTGTTCAAGAGCTGCTTCGGTTTAAGAGCGACGCGAACCATGAATGCCCAGGCGGCACGCCGCTGGTATTTGCCGTCGAAGCAAAGCGGCTTGACATGGTGCAGCTGCTGGTGGAGCATGGGGCGGATGTGAACAAGCGGCATGACGAGCACATGGCGACGGCTCTGCAGACGGCTGTAAGCCAGGAGGGCGGGCTGGCCATGATGGAGTGGCTGGTGAACAAGGGTGCCGACGTCAACCTTCGCACGCCCGAGAGCTCTCCGCTGTTTGACGCGTGCCTGAAAGGTGACGTCGACATGGTACGGCTACTGCTCGACAAAGGCGCCAAGGTGAACGACGTGTGCAGCCAGTGGACGCCGCTGCATGGCGCATACAGGAGCGCCGACGTGACACGACTGTTGCTCGAGGCCGGCGCATCCGTTGATGAAGTCGTGGCCGGAAGCGAGCGCTCGCCGCTGTTCCTCGCGGCCGAATGGGGCCAGACGGACGTGGTGACGGTGTTGGTTGAGCACCATGCCGACGTCAACCTGCCCTATCGCCCTGCCGACGTAGATACGCTGTCCGGCTTCACGCCGCTGCTCGCTGCCCTCAAGGCCGGTCATGGCGACACGGCGCGCGTGCTGCTCGAGGCCGGCGCCGATACCAGCATCAAGCCAGCAAGCGGCATCCATCCCGTCTTGTACATGGGCACGACGGACCTGCTGCGCATGGTGCTTGAGTTCCAGCCTGACCTTGGCCTGGCCGACCGCGACGGCGACACGGCCCTCAACGCTGCCCTGGAACGCGACACCGTTCAGCTGGCCGACATGAAGCTGCTCGTCCATGCCGGCAGCAACGTCGACACCACCAACACGGCCGGCTCGACGCCACTGCACAAGGCCATTGACAAGGACAAGCTGGACATTGCGCGCTTCTTGCTCAATCGCGGCGCCAATGCCAATGCCCTCGCCCTCAACACCGGCGCCCCGTTGCACCTGGCCTGCTCCAAAGCCTCTCCAGCTGCCGTCCGCCTCTTGGTTGACGCCGGCGCCAATGTTAACCTCATCGCCTCCTACCATGGCTCACCAGCCCAGGCCGTCTGCGGCCGCTCGTTGGCTGTCGGTGTGGATGAGGAGAACGACGACGTAGAGCGCACGATACTTGAGGTCCTGCAATGCCTTGATTCCGACACCGCCACAATGAACGTCAACGCCACCGGCGGGCTCTACGGGTCGGCCCTAGCCGCCTGTAGCTACCGCGCCACGGCTCCAGTCCTGCAATTCCTACTCCGTCTCGGCGCGACGACGGACACGTGTGACCAGGCCGGCCGCTACCCCATTCACCTCGCCACCGTTAGACCTACCACGGCCAACTTTGCCGTCCTGCGTGACGCGAACGCCAATCTCTACGTACGTGACAACGCCGGTCGCACGCTGGTGCATTTCGCCATTGTGAGTGGGAATCTGGATCTGCTCCGTTGTGTGCTGCAGGCCACCAATGGCCTACTCCATGCACCCGATGCCGACGGCTGGACTCCGCTGCACTACGCCGCCAGAGGCACCTACTACCGCCACTCTGACCTAGTTGATCAGGACATGCGTGAACAGCGTAAGCATGAATTTGTCGTCTTCCTCATTGACCAGGGCGCCGATATCTGCGCTCTCACCGTTGGGCCTGATGGCAAGCAGTCATCGCCGCTCAAGCTGGCCAATTACCATGGTGCCAAGCAAAAGACTTTACACCTGTTGACGCCCCATAACAATGTCAACAACGACGCCATGGTATGGGATCAAATCTCTCACCAATCAAAAAAGGCCTTTGATGCATGGCCGACTATTTACTGCGATGGTTGTCTCTACGTAAGTCCAATCCTTTTTTTCTTTGTTTCTAACAAAGATACTCATGCCTAGTCACAGAAAGTCAGCGGCTTCCGCTACAAGTGCAGAGATTGCTGGGATTTCGATTTTTGCTACAAGTGCTATGCCAACAGACTTCTGCTGCACCCACATCACGAATGGAATACCATGGGCCAGGAGTTTGAAGACGAGCCAGATGCTCAATCCGAAGCCGCTAACCAAGACTCCGACAGCGATGACGACGACACAGACTCGGATAGTGATGATAGCTCTAGTAAGAAGTCCTCTACATAGAGAAAACAAAGAATGAATAAATGTCCTAGAACAACAAGTAGCATATCAAGATCACCAGTGGCTGCGATGAGGACGAATGCATAGCAAGAGTGGTCGTAGGCGAGATTTGTCAAGTTGCAGGAGATCTTTCAGCGGCCCAGGTAGCACTTCATGGATATAACGAAGTGCTTGGTGCCTATCATAGGCAAACTCTCAAAACGAGCTAGGAGCTCGGACGGTTATATCTGGCCTAAGGAAAGATTACTCAGGCTGAATGTGCATGCGCCTGAGCCGATCATAGTTTCGACGAGACAAAGAAAGATAGATGCCTGTCAGCAGAGATATCTCAGTTTAGAGTGATAAAACTAGTAGGTTAAAAAACAGCTTCCTGATGCAAACGATAGATTAGATTCATGTGTTGTATAGAAGTAACGTTTAGAACTTATTTCTTATTAGTATTATAAGTGTGTCGTTTGCGATTTGCATCTTCTATGGTACGATACTGTGATCGTTGTGCAGACGGTAGTGCATCCCGCTTCCGGACTAGTGCGGCTCCGCGCCCCGATCTCGCCAAAAAGCGGGCAATTTTCTAGCAGTAGTAACAACAACCCCACAAGCAGAGTTCCCTAAAGCCAAACATGGACTTCACCAAGTTGACCGAGATTGAGCTGCCAGCGGCTTTTGATGCCCACGTGCATCTCCGCGATGGCGAGATGTCGCAGCTCGTCACACCTACGATTCGCAAGGGTGGTGTGAATCAGGTGTATGTCATGGTAAGCTAGCGTCTTTTGCACAAACAATCTTTATACTCAAGTCAAGTCTCGATTCACGTCTTGGCCTACCTGTCTTGATCTATCTACTGCTTACCTCCTTGCGACATCTATTCTTGTTCTTATCTCTGGATTTCTCTTTCTTCACGAAATGCTTGTAGTGCTTCTCCAACTTTCACATGCTTACTACTATAGCCTAACCTCGTCCCACCCATCACGTCCGTGCAGCAATGTCTTGAGTACCGCGACCGTCTCCGGGCAATTGAACCGAATGTGGATTATCTGATGTCCTTGTATCTCCACGAAGACATTACACCTGAGGTGATTCGTGAAGCGAAGAAAGCGGGGATCACAGGTGTAAAGTCCTACCCAGCAGGTGTTACAACCGTACGTGCAACTCCCATCATCTATTTCCGACCAACGTAGCTATCAAATGCAAAACGATAGACACTGCACATGCGTGCATCGACCTAACCCATCGCCACAGAACTCTTCCTCCGGCGTCCTCGACTACGAGACCTTCTACCCTGTCTTCGAGGAAATGGAAAAACAAAACATGGTCCTCAACCTCCACGGCGAAGTCCCATCCACACCAGCCGGCACCCACGTCTCATCAACCAAAGACACAAAGACAGGCGCCATTACTATCCTCAACGCCGAACCCGCCTTCCTACCTACTTTCATCTCCCTGCACAAGCGCTTCCCCAAACTCCGCATCATCCTCGAGCACTGCAGCACCGCCGCCGCTCTAGATGCAGTCCGTTCCTGTGGCCCCTCGGTGTCTGGTACTATTACCGCGCACCACCTTAGTCTCATCATTGATGATTGGGCGGGCGACCCATTCTGTTTCTGCAAGCCTGTTGCTAAGACGCCCGAGGATCGTGACGCGTTACTCCGCGCTGTTGTGCAGAGCAATGGGAAATTTTACCTAGGGACGGATTCGGCGCCGCATCCACGGGGCAAGAAGAGGGGTGAGGATAAGGTTGCTGCGGGTGTGTTCACCCAACCGTATGCGCTGGGATACGTATTGGATGCGCTTCAGACGGGGATTGAGAGGGGAGTCATCAAGGAGAGTGAAGTGACCAAGGAGGTTCTTGAGGGTTTCTTTGGGGTGTGGGGAAGGAAGTTTTACCAGGTTGAGGAAAAGAGGGGAGAGAAGGTCGTTTTGAGGAAGGGTGGGGAGAAGGTCTTGGACGTGTTGAAGAAGGAGGGTGGCGGAGATGTAGAGGTTGTGCCTTTCAGGAAGGGTGAAATGACCTGGAGTGTTGAGTGGAAGTGAGCGTCTGCCCCAACATCGACATCTCGAAAATTCATATCTACAGAGGTCTATGTCAAGCCTGTAATTTAGTTCTCGAATACAAGACGTGGTAACGAAGCGTATCGCCTGGCTGAGCCATAACTAACAAAAGTCCCTCACGTGTGTCAGACTCTTCCATCCCCCCTCTTATGTGTCTCTGACTCTGGTTTCTTGTTCCACTTGTTTGGGACAAATTCCACGGACAATCCTGAATGACGAGTTTGACGAGTTTTTGATGAGCTAGTCGAACTTCCTCTGCTATGCCGATGTGAGAATACATGATTTCTACTACTATTCTCTGCCTCACTAGCAGTGGAATTGTCCAACGATGGCGTTTCCCTGACACGCAGCTGTTTCCGGGGTCGCTCCTCGCACAGATGGCTCTCGCTTTCCGTGGTGCTGTCTTCTATGCCATCTTCTCGATTGCGCTTGATTGACGTTGGTATCATAGCCGGTCCAGAAGATGCCATGGTTGACAACGATAGTCTACCGATGCTGGAAGTCAGACTTTTGGAAAGACGGGAAAAGAAGCCAGTACTCTGTTGATCGCAGCTACTAGGCTGTGAGACCGTATGGGCTTGTATAAACTCATGTGCGGGTCCATCTGATAGATTTGCGTCCTCCTCGGACGGTGTCAAACTGCTCTTATTATCTTGCATGGTCTCGACGATTTGCGGTTTTCTAGGCATCATGACTACCCGTTTAGTACTCTCGTTGCGCTGTTCCTTCGGAAGTGGTGGTCCTTTGGGTACGATGGGTTGGGAATCGGCCTTGAAACTGATACCCTGATCTGGCTTGACCGCGGTATCGCTGGGAAAATCGATCATCTCCTTAGAGGTTTGTGTTGTCCCGTTCGCCGTGAATCCTGAGTCGTTCTTCTGAACAGCTCGAAGTAAAGCTAATCCAATTGCGAAAGCAACCTTACGGTCTACTCCATTCCCAATGATCTTATATTGCTCGATAAGACTGCCGATGATCGGCTCTTGATCCATATAACCTTGCGTACGACGAGCTTCTAACACAGTAATTGATCGATGTTGGTCCCAATGTAATAATGCGCCGGCGCGAGAATTATTAACAGCAAGACCCGTCGTGAGACATGGTACCAGACCCTTCGCTTTGATCCTCCTGTAGGCCCTTCCGGCCTCGGTCCGTAGATCCTTTAATAGCGTCGGAATGAGGCCGCTTTGATCGGCTTCTCTGTAACCACAGCCCGGTGGTTGTGTCGGAATGCATTTAACAAGTGCTCGTTGTTTGCGTGTGGGGATTCTCGGCACTCTATGGTCTGGAAACGGAATGCAGGTCTGAATGACGCCGGTTCCAATATTAGGCAACTCATCACTCACAGTCGATGCAGGTACATATGTAAAGGGTGTAGGGTAGTACTCTCGTTCACCAAATCGCTCCCCATTGGGTAGACGACCAAGGCTTTTCCCAGCAGTTTCCTCTAATGGTCGAGCATGAGTGTGCCACGGCTGCGCTATCGGTTCGAGGCCTGGTGCTGCTATAGTAAGGATCAACCGTGAGCGTTGTTGCGCACTACCATAGCTCCATGCATCCATAATGTACTGGTTGCACTGGTAGCCCATTGAAACAAGACAAGCAACCACCTGTGATAACACATTCTGATCTTCGTATCCAACACGCGTTGATGCCATATTGACCACGTTCTCGAGGACACCGTACAACGGCCGATATAGATCGACGTACGAACAAAACGTAGTGATGTGCGATGCGTTACGCAGTGACTGCTCACCGAAAGGATCCCGCTGAAGAAGTGAGAACCCAGGACATGGGGATCCGGCCGCGATGAAGTCGACTTCTCCAATTTGAGGTACGACTTTCGGTTTATTACCCTTCAGAGCTGCATTGAAGTGATCGTCGACGTAACCACAAAACAAATACATCGCCTCTGGGTTTTTCGAGTTCGCTCGTTGAGTATGGATGGCATATTTGCTGAGGTCAACAGCAGAGTTGAAGACGACTGCACCACCTTCTTCAAGACCTCGATCGAGAGAGCCTCCTCCACTGAATATGCTCATACCTCGCAAGGGTTGAGAGCAAGTCATATCGGGGCCTTCGTGGAAACTGCTTGGCAGACTGCGCAGGAAGACGAGGCTCTTCCCCTGCCCCTTAGCGATTATTCCCATAGCTAGAAACCAAAGATCACCTGCACCACTACGATTGTATGTGAATGGCAGGAAACCATTTACAACGTCGGACTTGGAAACAAACTTGATGTGGCAGCGCCTCTGGATACGAGATATGGCCACCACCTCATATTCGTCGGTAAGCACGAGCTCATTTGGGGTGAGATCGACTCGCCCAGCCTTTATTGCCAGCTCTTCGCAGTCACGCTTTAGTCTTAGTAGTTTGCGTATCGTGATCATTTTGTTCGCGTGGTTGATATGCTGAACGACGACGGGATCCAGGATTTCAGTGTTGTGCAATGACCTTGCCATGTATACCGTGTCGCCGCGGTGGAGGGTCTCTTCAGGCGTAGGTCTTAGACATGCACAAGTCATATGTGCAGAGTGAAGGGTTACAAAGGCGCTGTCCTGAGTAACGTACGTCTGGCGGATGAAGAAGTGGTTGGTGTCAATCGTAGTTGGCGACCAGTCTACGTCGTACCTTCCCTTAATGTCAGTAGACAATAATTCTCCCTCGGTACAGTTGCAGTTGTCGGATAAGAAGACCTCGTTCTCATAAGGATACCTGGCTATGGAGATGTTGGTCTCCTGACATCGATAGATCCATAGCACGAATAACTTCTGAACTCCGTTTTTTAGAAGCTCCGTTGCCTGGACGTAGGCAAGCCAGTCCCAGTTTGTATTACGCCAGACCCTAGAGTCTGTCTCATCCGGAGTTAGTGCAACAACGTCGCCTACCCTTACTGGTGAGTTGCCGTACGGTTCACAGACGTTTGGCCGTGTTGTAGTCGTCTGTTGTACTGATCTACGTTTGGCGAAACTAAGTTTGCGCTTCCTATGCTCCTGTTCGATGGCGATATTCTCTCTCGGCCGATGCTTTCGTAGTTGCCTACCGAAATACATATCTTTGAAGCAACTAAACACTTCAGGCGTAGCGATGGTATGCTTGATAACCTCCTCTTGGGGTTCGATAGCTGTCAAATCTTTTGCTATACATTCGCTCCATAGTGGATGCGCTAGCAGCTGTTTCGAGTTTGGGAGGTTAAAAGCCTGATTGTAAAAGTACTCGATATATGCGTTGACGCCAACGCGAAAGTCAGTCTGGTGTCTGAAGGCACGGTGCCATCGTTCGAAGTCTGAGCATTGTGCGAATCGTTGCGTCATCATCCACTTATGGAAATCCTCGCGAAAGTGGTGGAGTCCCACACTGCCCGCCGACTCCAGGTAGTCTATCACATGCTTTCCCAATTGCGCAACCCAAAGGAATGATTTATGGAATTCCCTGTAACCTAGGGCGGCTTTGTTGAGTCTGTACCAGATGTCATACACCGTATCTTTTGCTGCGAGAGTTGATTGTATGTAAGTTGTGACGCTGGCAGTCTCTGAGTCTCCGTAACCCTCAATAGAAGTGTCCTCAATGGGCACAGCGTGCACAAAATGCTTAGTGGTGCCTAAGCATATGAAGCCGTCAAAACAAAGCTTCTTAGTGAGAGGAATCTCGAGGTAGTGGAGGCTGATCAATTCATATGCCCTCTTATCACTGTCTGGTGTTCGGTATATCTCGAAATCTTGTAGATCCACGATAAGAAGCTTCTTCACTGGATCGCGCTCATCTTGGACAGGCTGTCGGGAGTGTCGGTTCCACTCAGTCTTCAGTTCTCGTAGGGCCTCAGCCTCAAGCGTTACGGGTACTGGTGGTGACCAATTGGCCACATGCGATCGTGCGAAGTCGCTAGTCGTCGTCGACGGGCGGATAGTTGGATGGCTTCGACGTGTTTTGTTCTCGCTCTGTGCGCCTTGCCGCCGCATTGAAGAGTCTGGTGTCGATATAATGATGCTGTCTTTGGTAAGGGCAGGTGGCATTATCTTTGCGGACTTGGTGTGTAGGCAATCCAGGCGCGCTCTACAGCGGTGAAGGATGGCTGAACGCTGGAAAGGACGTGTTGAGCTCCGAATTAGGCCGCAGCCATATTTTTTCAGTCAAGGTGAAAGCGCGGGTGACGGTTGAACGGTGAAATCCAGCTCTTGCAACGATTGAGTGTGCAACCAACAAAGGACTCAGGACGCCTCACAGTCAAACTGTAGACAAAGACGATATAACACCAGATCAAACTCACGGTGTGAGACGAAATTCAAGCATTTTCTCAGTGGATCAGAACAAGTGGCGAGTGTCGTATTCAGGATGTGGTAGCGACATCTGGAGGTAGCAGGCAGCGGTGCCTCACCAAGGCAAGCGCACCAGCCACCTGCTCACGAAGAGGCAGGAGGGACGTGATCATCGCATTAGGGAATTTATCATCGATCGGTGATTACGGTCGTTCTCGAATAGCTTGCACCGAGATTCCGAGATACACGGTTTCTTGCGATGGAGATGGGTTGATGGATATAGGTGAGCTGGAGCAATGGTTACCCTAGCACGTGCACGTCCACAGGTGATTGCAGCCTGCAGCGTCCCCCAAAAGCCGACGAACAGTGGGGGCTTTACCTTTACTATGTGTATGTAAATAGCACATGTCAACGACTAGAGGAATATCACAGGTAAAGCTATTGTTCTTACTAGCGACTATCACATGATGAGCGTGATGCTCGTTCACAAGTACAACGATGGCTTTTACCTGCTATTTCAGATCAATATACGACAAACAATCGCATGACAAGCGTGCTAGATCTATCCGAAAGAACAACACGATGCTAAACATTGTGAAGATAGAGATTCTAATGCTAGTATTTCATGCCCGGCACAAGCTCCCCAGGTTCATACATACGCCCCACTCGAAACGCCTCTCCATGAACGCCTTTACCACCATGTATTGTAGAACTGTGATATCAGAAATTTTCCCTCCAACGATAATCAGGCTAATCATGTTTTGGCGCATAATCCCAAATATGACTCGAATCCCAAGATTCCGTCTCCTCTTTCCTCGCCTTGGGATCTTCACCCCTCTTCTTCGCGTCCTCTCTCAGGGTATCCAATTCGCGGTCCTGCGCCGAGACCTCAGTCCTAAGCGCAGTAATCTTCGCAATCTCCTCTTGGGTAAACGCGGGATCCTCGCCATTCTTCTTCGCCTCTTCCTCCCTTTTGTTGAACTTGTCCAGTTCTGTAAACTTTTCATTTCGCGCGTCCTGTTTCTTGAAGTAATCGTTGAATTTGTCCTGGCCGCCGAAACAGATGCCGTAGCCGTCGCAGTAACACGTGTTCATGGCCGGACAATGCACTTCATGGCCTGTGAAGATGTAATGCCATATATACTCGAAGATGCGGCCGGAAAACTGGTCGTCCATGCCCGTTGTGAGGAGCCACTTGCGGTAGTGAATAAAGCGCTCAATGGGCACTTCCTGTATGCGCTGCCGCGACACGGCGAATTGCGCGCAGCAGATGCCGGAAATGGAAGGCGGGATGGGAGCACCAGGGTGGATCTCCTCCCAGATGTTGCGCCGCCAGTAGATCTCCTCGGGCTTGTGGAAGAAGTCAAAGTCGCCGCCGGGGCGGTCCATGTGGATCCAGTCCGGGCAGCCCGGGTCGTGGTGGCAGCGGACGTTCATGTAGCCCATGCGTGCAACGCGCTCGTGGTTGAGGCGCTTGATCATCTGCGCGGCGTCGAGGCCCAAGAGCATGTTGTTGTGCCAGGCGTGGCGGTGGGCGTGCATGAAGATGGAGGTATCGGGGAGGTCGTCATAGTGGTCGATGATGTAGGAGAGGTAGACCTGGTGGGTGGGTTAGAATGTGGCCGTCTATGTGCCAGAGATGCAAACGTACCATGGCCTCGCGGCCCTTGTTCTTGGGGATCTTGTGCTCGGCATTGGGGTTGTCGACTTCGTAGACGACAAGCGGTGCATCGGGTATCTCAGCGGCCATCCAGCTAATGTCCTCCTTCTGTGTCTTGGGCACGACAATCTTGAATGTGTAGTTGCTGCCGGGCGGCTTCTTCTCGCCGTCGCTGAAGCGCAGCGGCAGGCCAAAGTCGAGTGGGTCGCCGCGCAATGAGGGCCGGTGTTGGTTTGTGGAGGCGCCAGATTTCCATGTTGGAATCGACGAGCCTGCGCCGGGCACCGTGTGGAGATACCACCAGACGAGGCAGACGGCGACGAAGAGGGAGACGAGTGGAATGATCCTCGGTGGTCCGCTGAGCATCTTGACGGGTACACGGCAGCCTTTCACCGCATTGATGGTTGTGGAGAGGTGTTCGAGACCGTGGTGAGGATCATTGCGCGGGAAGCAAGCGGCGCCGGGGTCGTCAACGTCGTCAGCTCTGCCTCGACTTACGGTGGAGCATCCCGTACTCAGTTGCGCGTCACTGGCGAGCCCGAAACCCGCATCCTTGCATTAAACTCTCACTAGCCCTGGACCACAGCCTGGAACCAAGCCTTTTCACCACCACCGTCCCGTGCAGTGCAACACTTGGCAGGGGAACTCCAACTTCAATTACTACAACTCAGCTACCATTTCCCTACTCTGTCCTCTGCATCATGTTTACTCCCTCTTCATCCCCACCCGCCCAATTCCCCTCAGCCCCCATCCCAACAGCAGCCCCGTGGCACAGCTCAATGCAAACAGATACCAGAACGCCGCCCGGAACCCCTCCATGAGCGCTGCAGGGCTCTCTTTCTCAACGTAGACCGAGTGCTCGGTAACACTAGACGCAATGACAGCACTGGTCGCTAGGCCTACGCTTTTCCCAATCTGCGCTACTGTGTTGAAAACTCCGCCCGCAAGGCCCTGCGTCCGGGCCGGAAACACTGATGTAATGACGAGGTTAGAAACTGTGAATAGAGCGTCCGCGCCGATGGGGTTGAAGAAGACAGAAAGGAAGGCACAGCTCCAGTAAGACCACTCCGGCTGTATGATGCACATAAGCAGTCCGCCAAGAGTAGTACAGAACAGCCCCACGGCTACCGCCCAGTCAGCGCGCACCCGGTGCGCGATCAGGCCCATTGCGACATTGGCGAGAGCTCCAGCTACAGGTCCGGGCAGGAACCGGATCGACGTCTGGATCGCGGATAGCTTTTGGACGTTCTGGAAGAAGAGAGTGTGATATGATTCCACAGCATTGAAAGTCCCCCACGTGATGAAAACACCGATACAGATGATGCTGAAGATTCGGTTGCGCCAAAGCGAATTGGGGATGATGGCGGGCCGGCCCAGTCGCTCCTGCCGGCCGACCCAGAAGATGAAAGCAGGAATGAGAGTGATTGCAGTGATCAGCAGACCAAGCGTGGTAGGCTCTTGAATCTTGGCAGTCTCTTCGGAGATCAGACTGGATATGTTAGTTTCCAGTTTCAGTTTCAGAGGCAAGACACCACTTACGCGAAGCAATATGAGAGCAGCGCCAATGACGCACTTCCGAACAGAATGCCTACCCAGTCTATGTCGCTCTTCAGGCGGGACCAGACATGCGGCAGCTTGTTGTCGACTTTTGGCAAGCCAAACAAGCCAAGGACGAAGACAATGGTGTTGGCGATGGCACTGATGTGGAAACCCCATCGCCATCCGATGGTATCAGCGAAGATACCTCCAAGTACAAGTCCAAAAGAAAAACCTATGGGTTGACCACCGCCCATGGACGCAAATGCAATGTTTCTGCTCTTGCCTTCAGGAAAAGTACTGGTGATGATACTGACTGCTGAGGGAAGGCAGAAGGAAATCGCGATGCCTGCAAAGGCGCGAAAGACAATGAGCTGTGTCCCTGTCTGTGCCAATCCACATGCCAGTGTAAACGCAGACTGCAAGAGACAACCTGTCAGGTACATGGGCCGTGAACCAACGACATCGGCAACCGATCCGAGAAGGAGAAGAGTACAACCACATGTCAAGGCGTAGATAGAGATCGGCCTGGTGTGCGTCAGCATGTGCGTACGGGACAGCACGTAATCGTAGGTACCATAAGAGCACACTGGGTGCCAGCTCCAGCTCACGTGCAACTGTGGGTAGAGTAACAGTCATAACACCAGAAAGCATGGAGCTGACGAGTGTAACACACACGACCGTTACCAATACGATGGCTGTTGTTCCTTTGCCTGGACCATCCCGCTGTTCGGCAGCGAAGGTTTCAGGAGATTCATGGATAGGTCGTAGATCATCAGCGATGGACGGCGTGTCTTTGATCTTTGTGGCGCCAAGTGGTTTGGCTGCGAGGGCTGGGGTGGTTGTCTCATGGTAGTCCACAAGTTCAATTGACGTTGCTGTTTGCGACATGTTGAAAAGGGTAGGTGCAATACTCAGACAGAGACGTTTAGAGCACCGCGAACATCTATACTATTTATCTTACTGGCGAGTCCCTACTAGTCGGAGATACTAGTTAACATAGAGCATGACGCTGTTGACATGGGCTACGCCCTACGCCCACGTATTACCCTTTGCCGGGTGTGAGATGACTGATTGGTCCAAGAAGTCACTAGTTCAACAAAGTCTACTACGTTTCTAGAAAACGGCAAAGGTCCGGTGGCATCCATGCTGTAAAAAGGTCCTTGGCTTGTAAACCGACCTGATGACTGTTCTTCCGTTGGCGTAGGATCGCGCTTGGACGCGGAAGCTTTCCGTCGCAAAGAGGTTAGGTGGAAAGATAAGATAGCCGCACCTTATCGGGCAAGCGCCATCCATTGCTGCAGGGATCTGGTACCTGACACTTGGAGATGTCGAAGAGCACCAGGTAGAGGAGCAATCGTTCTGCTGCCTGTACGGGACATTCTCTTGTACATTCACTGTGGACATCTGATGCGCTGAGTTGGTCATATCATACAATTGGCCGCAGGCTTTATTCCCTTACCAACACCGTCTGGGCGTTATGCTACACGTTGCAACTTCTTGAGATCGGAAGTTGAACTTTCGAAACACCATCATCTTTCGTTACAGCTACGCGTAACCACCAAGTCTCCAGAGCTTGGAGCTTACACCACATGATGCGAGCTTCGGCCTCTATACTGAGTGCGAAAGCTCTCTTAGTGCTCAGCGCGTTCAGGCACAGTGGCGCACATGCGGGCCCAAGTGTCAATGTCGCTCTTCGAGCTTCCTTCAACCCTGCGCCGTATCTAGTAGAGTTACTGTAAGCTTCAAGTATGCACAGATGGAGAGTTACATCTAACAACCACCAGTGAAACCGCTGCAGAGGAAAACGCGACAGCATACTACCCCATACTCGACCGCATTTCCGAAGGCTACTTCGACGAAAAGGACACACAGCAGGAGCTGTACACGGCCTTTCGAGACCTGCTCCAGAGCGATGGACACATCACCGACCCCACAGCTCTTGCCTCTTTCGAATTTGCCCTGTCAATCCAGTCGGCTGCGCCACGGATAGAAGCACATTACCAATTCTACAAGACTTCGGTGGAGCCATCGCTGGAAGCCACACAGACCAAGGCTTGCGACATCTGGACATCGTTCCATGGAAAGCAATACTGCGATGTACATCTGGAGGAATCCTTCGGGGGCATCGAGAGCGAACGGTACGTACTGGGGATGTACTCGATTGGCAGGTGCTAAGTACTGGACAGGACATATCAACTACCTTTCGACCGCATACTTGGCAACAGCTCGGCTCTGCCTGCCATCCTTTACGCCGATATAACTGCTCCTCGATTCAAGAAGTGGCACAAGACATTGAGCAAGACGGCCAAGGAAGGAAAGACGTCGTACCGTGTCCGGCATAAGCCTTCATCCAACGCGCCGACAGTACCATTGATAGTCAACGGATACGGTGTCGAGTTGCAGTTGAAGCGGACAGACTACATCGTCATAGATGACAGGCAGGCTGAGCAGGGACAGAAGAGTGATGCTCAGAAGCCGATAGGCACTGGCTTGGACGACGATGAAGATGTTGCGGACCTTAAGCCCTTGTCCAAGGACGAGGTATCCGAACTAGCATTGAAAGCTGCCGACTTTGTGACTCAAAGCGAACAGCCAATGGACACCCTCATGAAGCTTGTGCAGGACTTTCCAAAGTACTCATCCATTATTGCAGCTCATAACGCGTCGGATGAGTTTGTTGAGGAACACTTGGCGAATCGCAACCAACTTCTTCCTGCTGGTTACAACGTCATATGGATCAACGGCGTACAGATCCCGGCTCGCGATGTGAATCCGTACTCGCTGTTGGCGCATTTGCGACGCGAGCGGAAATTGATCAATGGAATACGCAGTCAGGGTTTGACCGGTTCCGAGGTTGTATCTTTGCTATCACATGCTTCCATTGCGGAGAGCCAGACGGAGGACGAGCCTCAACGTTATGACTTTAGGGATACTACTGAAGGGGGCAACATCATCTTATGGCTTAACGACATCGAAAACGACCCTATGTACGAGGGATGGCCAAGTGAGCTCAGAGCTGTCAGTACAACTATCAACTACATTGATTTCGGACTAATTGTGATTGCAGCTGCTGCAAAGAACTTACCCTGGCCAGCTCCCGTCTTGTCGAAGGGACATTCACAACGCCATCGTCTCCGTTGACTTTACCTCTACTGAAGATGTTTCGCTCGCTCTGGATACTATAATGAGTCTGATCAGACGTGGCATACCCCTACGCTGGGGTCTCGTTCCTCAGACTGCCACATCGGAGGCTATAGACCAGACTAAGCTAGTCTATCATCTGCAGGATGCATACGGATTACCTGCTGTGATAGAATACCTACAAGTTGTGAGTGTTGGTCTGTCTGGGTATGCACGTATTTTGCGCTGACATCACGAGTAGTCTGCGGCGAAACCCGACAAAGCTGTCTTTGACACAACGGTCAAAAGAACTACACTTATCGAAGGGAAGGAAGCGTTGGTATTCGATGATGTACTCAAGTCCGAAGCCCTGAATCAACGTATCTCAGGTGCCAAACAGTACCTGAAGCGTCTGGCAGCAGAGGGCCCGAAAGCTCCCATCTTTGTCAACGGTGTTCCCATTCCAGCGACCGATGAATGGCTCCAAACACTCAGCCAAAGGATCGGCATGGATCTGCGTCAGATCCAAAAGGGTGTCTTCAACGGCGTCTTCAATGACGATAGTTGGGTTCCGCAATACTTCTTGTTCCAGGCCGCTGCTAAACGCAACCCTTTGATCATCCCAGAGAATGAGAAAAACATCACGCTCATAAACATGGCGGAATTTGAAGAAGTACATGGCGAAGCCTACAGTAAGATGCCGCGACTTCATGCGTCAGAGTCTGCTAGCAAGAGTGACTGGATTCATATCACGCTGGTAGCGGACTTTGACTCTGAGGCTGGGTTTGCGCTTCTCAAAGCTCTAGCAGATTTTCGCGAGGCCAACCCGAATGTCGAGGCCGTCCTTATACATAATCCGAAAGCAGGTGCGGAGCAATCCAACGCCTCCGAAGACCTATTGGAAACATACATCAAATCCGGTCGCAAGCTCACCAGCGAAGCCCTGTCTGAACTCCTGGGCAAAGAGGCCAATTATGGACCCACTCCCGCCAATTCAACCTTGTTCTGGAAGGTTTCTGAGCCGATATACGACGCTGTCGGTCTGAAGCCAGGACAAAATGGCTTACTTGTCAATGGCCGCTATGTTGGTCCTATCCCAGAGGACTACACGTTTTCACAAGATGACATGGAGACTTTTGTCACCTATGAGACTACCAAGCGCATTGAGCCTTTGAACAAGGCGCTTGCTGATCTTCAACTCATGGACAAGGTCGCGTCTCCTCTAGACGTTGCAAAGATACAATCGCTTGTTGCGCTGTCCACTGTGTCAGATGTTCCAGAAGGCATATTCGAAACTGCATCCACTTTGAGGATGAGCACATACAACGACTGGAAGTCCAAGTACACCGCTATCGTCAGGGGCGACGAAGATAAAGCTGTTTTCCAGATTGTGGCTTCCATCGATCCGGCTACTGAACAGGCACAAAAGTGGGTACCTATCCTCAAGGTACTTAGTGACATGGATGGCGTACACCTTAAACTTTTCTTGAACCCCAAGGGGATGCTGCAGGAACTTCCTGTCAAGCGTTTCTATAGATACGTTCTCGAAGCCCGTCCACAGTTCACTCATGATGGATCTGTTGGCCGTCTGGGAGCTCACTTTGGTGGCATCCCCAAGGAAGCCCTGCTGAACCTCGGCATGGATGTGCCACCATCATGGCTCGTCGCTCCTGAAGAGTCTATCCATGACCTCGACAATATCAAGCTTAGCACGACCCCTGCTGGTACCAACATCGACGCTATATATGGATTGGAGAGCATTCTTATCGAGGGTCACTCCCGCGACACTACAAATGGTGGGCAGCCGCCACGTGGTGCTGAGGTTGTTCTTGCCACTGAGCGTGACCCTCACTTTGCCGATACCATCATCATGGCCAACCTGGGCTACTTCCAGTTCAAAGCCAACCCTGGATTCTACAACATCAAGCTCAAAAGTGGCCGCTCTCAAGAAGTCTTCAACCTTGACAGTGCAGGTCCGATCAGCTGGGCCCCTCAGCCTGGTGACGAAACCACCGAGATCGCACTTATGAGCTTCCAGGGCGCAACAATCTTTCCCCGACTTTCACGCAAACCGGGCCAGGAAGACACCGATGTACTCGCTCCTGAGGAATCGCTCGCCTCTGAGCTGGTCGGCAAGAGCGCACAGAAGGTCAACAAGTTTCTCGGCAAGATGGGACTCAACTTCGACTCTGAAAAAGTCTTGCAAAAGGGCGCCGACTTGTTCTCTGGAGGCAAGATAGCGAAGAAGGGTACTCAAGCAGACATTAACATCTTCTCCGTCGCTTCAGGCCACTTGTACGAGCGCATGCTCAATATCATGATGGTGTCTGTTATGAAGCATACAAACCACACTGTCAAATTCTGGTTCATTGAGCAGTTCCTGTCCCCCAGCTTCAAGTCCTTCCTCCCGCACATTGCTGCTGAGTACGGATTCGAATACGAGATGGTCACATACAAGTGGCCTCACTGGCTCCGTGGTCAAACCGAGAAGCAACGCGAAATTTGGGGTTACAAGATCCTCTTTCTGGATGTCTTGTTCCCCCTAGATCTTGAAAAGGTCATTTTCGTTGATGCCGATCAGATCGTAAGGACCGACATGTTCGAACTAGTACAGCACGACCTCGAAGGCGCACCTTACGGCTTCACACCCATGGGCGACTCACGTACTGAGATGGAAGGCTTCCGCTTCTGGAAGACGGGCTACTGGGCGAACTTCTTGCGTGGTCGGCCATATCACATCTCCGCACTTTATGTTGTAGATCTCAACCGCTTCCGCCAGCTGGCCGCCGGTGACAGACTGCGTCAGCAATACCACTCCCTCTCCGCCGACCCCAACTCGCTTTCCAACTTAGACCAGGACTTGCCAAATAATATGCAGTTCAATCTGCCCATCCACAGTTTGCCTCAAGAGTGGCTGTGGTGCGAGACATGGTGCAGCGACGAAGATCTTGCCAAAGCAAAGACTATTGATCTATGCAACAACCCACAGACCAAGGAGCCCAAATTGGATCGGGCAAGACGGCAGGTTCCAGAGTGGAACGTGTATGATGAGGAGATTGCAGCATTGGCAAGGAGGGTTAAAGGGGAGGAGATGAAAGAGGTTGTGGATGTGCAAGAGGAAGAGCAGAGGAGGGAGAAGAAGGAGAAGGATGCTGAGATTGAGCACAGTGAGTTGTAACATAGATGATATACGTAGTGCATGGAAGCGCAGCTTGATATCAGTAGTGAAGGGTTGTCACAATATTGAAAGCGTCGCAATTTCGCAGAAGCACGCCTATCTTGCTCTTGGCTTGTCTTGACAGCGGTACAAAACTCGTCTTTCAAATCATTTCGACGTTGGTGTTTCGCTGACCAGTCTAGTTGTCATTCGTCAGACCCTCGATATCAAAAGGGCCGATCGAGCCGTCTTTCCCGACCACCACTACGATGATCGACCACACCACATGCGGTCATAACGTTCAGGAGGCTTGCACGCGGAGCGAACAATCCACAACCGGTTTCTGCAAATTCCTGAATCTACGCGTGCCCTGATGCGATGAGACAATAAACCACACACGCTCGGGTCTCGGCTCCTCTAGCGCGTACTGGTCCCCGTGCCGGTGCCGACTGTACCTGGGACTCGGTGGAGCAGGTAGCTTCATGCCAAGACAAGTATGACATCGGTGCTCAAGCGTCATAGTCGCAAAAGACGTAATGTGGAGGTGCCATGAGGCACTGGGCTGGATGTGTAGGACGTAGGTATATAAAGCTGGCATTGACTTGTATTGTACAACATCACCATACACTCATCAAGCGAATCTATACCATTAATCTCAACTTCTTCACCACCCCAAACAAACCAAAGTACACATCACTTCCGCATCAACATGTCTGGACAAGGAGTCTCTCACCAGGGCATCACCGCCCCCGGTCTCAGCGAGGCGGATCAGAACATCAACAACACCACCGAGGACATTAGCAACAAGGCTTCGGGACACAAGGCCAACTTGAGCAACCCCAGTATGTTTCTTCTTGGTTATATATGATGGCATCACTATAGAAAAAGAAAACTAACGTGTGGCTAGACACTAGTGAGGAGTCCAAGAAGAAGTCTGCGGAGGCGCTCAAGGCGCTCGGTGGTGAGGATGCTTTCTACGGAAAGCAGGGTAAGGGCGAGTAAGGGGTGAAGATGCTCAAACAAGGAGGAATGCATTTATGATACCATATGAGATGAATATAATGTCTTTCAACACTTATTTACTGCCTCTGGGCAAATGCTCTACAAGTGCCGTGTCAGTGGAATCAGTATAGCCACGTCGTTCCGTTCGTATGTGACTTCCCATGAAGACTCTACTGAGATTTCGTTGAGATGCAAGAAGACCTTAAGCAATGATCGCGTTGACGATGCATCTGGCATGGTGTTCTTGTGGCTCCAAGCGATGACGTCATCAACCCTGTTGTTTCGTTCCCCACACCTCCACCCCAGCCATCCAATCTCCCCCGACTTCGAAGTACGATTACAAAGAGAAGCAACCACGATCTCGTCGCCCATCGATATCCTGCAAAGCCACACATCATCACTATCACCATGTCCTCAGATCACCCAGAGATACCCACCCTCCACTCCAAAGCCGAGTATCTCCGCGCCGTAATGTACGAAGGCGTCACAATCCTCGAAGGCACAGCAACTTGGTGCAAAAACTGCCACATCATTGCGCCTGAAGTCGCTAAGATGGTGACTGAGTACCCAAATGTCAAGTTCTACACGTATGATGTTGAAGAGTGTGAGGATATTGCGCAGGAGTTGGGGGTGAGGTCTATGCCGACGTTTAGTGTGTTCAAGGATGGGGATATCATGCAGGGGGTTACGGGCGCGAAGCCGAAGGAGATTAGGAAGGCGATTGAAGGGTGTTTGTAGGTGTGGAGGAGGATTTGGAGAAGAGGGAGACTTGGTGAGAGTAAGAGCAGCAATAATTTGAGAGTAGCTAACGAACCTACTCGTTTTGTTGTTGGACTCATGGCGGCAGCAGCTTAAGTTACGAGAGCTTTTGATTTGTTGATAGCTGCTCTCTTCGTTATTGAGTTGTGTGCGTCAAAAAGCGGTGGAGTTGCGGCCACCTCTCGCGGAGGTGAAAGCGACTTAGAGAAGCGAGGAGAGCGTTTGCACGTAGATTCTCGCACACTGAGCGGCCATCTCTAGATTATTTTTACTTGAGCTTTTTACGCCAATGCCCTCCCGGAGTCTCGCTTACCATCGTATTTCATCGTTTCCACGTACGCCGATAGATCGTCGCGGTTACTTGGAAACAAAAACTCACATCATAATATCCCTGCACAAAGATCGTTGGCATTCACAGCAGTATGGCGGGACCTGGAAGGAACGGACCGCTCATAGATATAAGATCCAGAATCAAGAGGCAGATGACCAAACTTGCGGTATACGAACAGATAATCGCGCGACCAAGCAACACGATCGAAAATAAGTGTACGTCAATCATCAAAGCCAAACAGCAGATCTTGCAGGCAACGCTCAAGGCCAATCAAAAACGATACACGAACATGGTGGTGATGTCTCCCATGAAACATCTACCCATATACTATCACGTACCGGCAATCTCAATCTCAGAACTATCACGATTCACGTCCACTGAAGTAAAAGCCTTTGAGAATGTTACCACTATCCATCTCTCACTCTTCCAACTCACTGTCAATCGCGCTGTCTTAGAGCAAGAGATTCGAAACATCAGATCGAAGGAACGAAGGCAAACCGAGCCTGTCAAGTTCATAGATGCTGTGAAAGATGCCGAAGAGATACAGGACATCAAGAGCATCATCAAGGAGTGTGGAGACACAATGCGGGAGCATGAGTCCTGGATCATGTCCCTTCATTTGAAAGTGTGGGCAGCGACAAACGCGGCGAACCGTGCGGCTAAGAGTGACGTCGAGATGCCTAGGATCAGTACACGGTCTCTTTCACCTGCAGCCACAGCCATCGCTGCTACCCCTTTGTCTGCACCCACTCCAGCCACTACTGCGTGTGGCATAGCTACCGTCGAGCCCATCAAAATCGCCTCTGTTCAGGTTGCGGTCGCAGATAGACCGCCTGAAGTTAAAGCCGCCGCGAAGGATATCAAAGCCCGTAAGGCTTCAAATGTCGTAGCAACTGTCCCAAAAAGCACGACTGCTATCACCAAAGGGGACAAAACGCTCTCGAGTATTACGCTGTGCGCGACAAGAAAGCAATTCGCCAACGTGAAGAACGTAGAGCGAACAAAATTTGTTGTTGGCGACATCGGCTGGTTTCCCATTCTACGCCCCTCTGTATCTAAATCTTCATTCGACATCTATACCGAGTTCGGCTACATCTGCGCTAAATCATACCCACTCATCATCGTGGAAACGTTGGAGGATTGCATGCTAGGTCTTGTCATCTCCACATCAAACGGAAATGGCTTGCGCCTGAAGTGCGATGCTGTGAAAAGCCGAAGTGCTCTCCTCGTCAATGAAACATCACGGAACCCTACCTTTTCTGACTGGGGCCAAGAATTATTTCCTAGAAAGATGCTTCGGGTCAAGGGTTCCAGCGAATATAGCCCGGCCGCGGGCGCTTACGTTGACATGCTGAATGTAATCATGATACCCTATGACACAAGGTTCCAGAAGAAAGGGTATCTGATTATGGAAGACGTTCTTTTTCTTCAAAGGATGAGACTCTCAGCGATGCTCGCAGCATCCGGAGCTGGAAAACTGGGAAGTATACCCAACTTTTGGCAGTGGCTAGGACGATGGTATCAAAAATGGTGCAAGGCAGCCTAGATGGTGGCGTAAGCATGAGAAGAACCATACAAACTAGAGCAAATGTACATGAAGACATCAGGTAATGGATGATATGAATCAATCTGAGTGGACACGTACGAACTTCACACGTTGCATCGAGACCAACGGGGTGCCTCTCAGTATGCGATTCGCAAATGTCAGTGTACGCTGTACCTGAGCATCGACGTTTCCAGTACTGTCTACCTAGTGTGATTAAGTCTGATGATGTCCCCCCAAGTGGGCCTCGTGTTCAAATGTCAGTCAGTCATTCAATAGCCTTCACGCTCACTCCAATCTCACGTGAGACTGTCGGAGCAAGCATGCAAGAGATACTTAACAAGGCTCACCTGGGTAATCAAGTATCATTAATACACGTTCATTGTCTTGTTTTTGTATATAACGCACGTTCTATGTTCGTGAAGCGGTCAAGGTGCGGCTCACATCGTTCACCACTCATCGCCCAGGCAACGCTGCGTTTGCACTCTGCGCGACTGAAAATCTATTTTATACCATTTTCCAGACTTTCTAATGACAGTCACAACAGCAAAACTCTCCCGTTACTTGTCGCTGAAAAGTGTCTCTGCCTTATACATCGTTTTCTCGTTTCACCTTTACTACACCAACCCACATAGTCAGCATGGACTTCCTCGGCGACACCTCGCATCATGATTACAAGCCTATATCGCCAATATGGCCTGCTGTAGTCTCCGAAAATATGAAACACCTTCGGGGCATGATTGCGAACGAGGCTCTCGCGATCGAGCTCGAGCAAGAACGGATGAGGTCACTGTTCCCACAGTACAGCAAGATGAGGTGGGATGGAGCGACGTCCAAAGATCTAGCAGATAAAGAGGCGGAGCTGGAGGGAATCTCGGCAAAGCTCAAGAGATGCGTTCAGAATTTCGAAACATATGTGGTAGAATGGAACAAAGCGATAGAGCATGCCGAGGTAGGAGTGAAGAGGAAGAGGACTGCTCAGGAGGGAGTGGATAATGAGGGATCGCCACCGCCCGCCAGCAAGGCGAAGACCTCGGAGACGGATACCGCATCTGATCTGCCTCGATTCGAAGAATCGCCTTCTACCATTCCACGTCCTATCGTACAGAATCGGTATAAGTCTGTTCGCAACGTCGACCCCAAGACCATCAGTGTCGGCGATATCGGCTGGGCGCCGCTACCACGCATGGCCCTAAGCAATTCGATCAACAAGACCATACCATCCGAGTATGGCAAGGTGAGCATCAAGGTCTATCCGTTTATCATTGTCAAGAAGCTGGATGACTGCATGCTCGGGCTCGTCATCTCAACTGCCAGAGGCCATGGTCTCAAGAACAAGGAAGCCTCCGTACGCCAGCGAAGCTGCTACGTCACTGGACCCAATTTCAAGGGCTTCGACGATCCACCTTTCGGTTGGGCCATGAGCCCTCGATGTCAGAACTTAGTGGTTGCGGGAACAGGCTATGAACCTGCAACAGGCGCTTTTGTTGATATGCTGGACAGTCACAAGATCTACTACAATTCCAGGTTTGAGAAGAGTGGGTGCCTTACAATTCAGAGTAGGGTTGATCTGGGACGAATGAGGCTGTCGGCACTACTTTGGGGTGCGAGTGAGGGCTGATACTTGGTGACAGTAATGGTCTATGATGAGGTCTGTGACGAGATCTGTGACGTAGTTTAGTGTACATTCAGTTATCACGATGTGCTAGATGGCAATTACTCCCAACCACGTAGGCATTTCCATTTTTCTTTCCTACATCTTTACGCATGTCTGAGTTCACTTATAGGACTAACAATAACTCATAATGCCAGCAAATGTCCACCAGAATCGACTATTGGAGTGAAGGATTACATGACTACACATATCTCACGTATGTTGTCCAAGTACTACTTTAGCTCAACTCAATCATCTTTTCATACAGAGTACTCGTCTCGGTCCATAATTATTTAGGGATTCCAGTGCCTCCTACGCTGTTCCTAACTTGGCGTACCCAACTTTTCTCAACAACCGTGCGCATACTTGTAGTTCCTTAAACGTCCTGCAATCTGCCAGAATGCTCCAGGGAACTTCTGGATATTCTTCCCGAATGATCTCTTCTATGCGTCGTTGTCGTTGTGTCGATGATAACCCAACAAGACGAAGATCAGAACAAGCCGAGAAGTCTAGGATAGCATCTACATGCTTGCCTGTGATATTATCTAGTTCAACGGCATCAACCATGATCAGCCCATCCTTGGTCAGGCTGAACTTTCGTGATCTTAATGAGCTCGGTGTTGCCAACCAAGCTACACTATGAAGTATGGTCTGCCATTGTCAGAACTGTTGCAATGATGTAGATTCCTGGCGCTTGCCTTGATCTCTAGTGCATCCCCTTTAAGATAGTAAGAGTAATGTTCCTGATCACTATCACATCCGGAGTTCCTGCTGGCTTTGATCTGCAGGGGTACGTTTAAGCGGTACCGCATTTCGACTCTTCTACGATCGACTGTGCCAGTTCTTTGTACGTTAGTTTTATAGTTATCACCCAAATATCGCCACTCATCCAATTTCCGTAATACGACGACATCATCTCTACGTTTGAGGCTCAGCTCCTCGGGGCTTTGAGCAGTGTAGTCTTCCAAGCTGCAAGCTACGGCTTTCCCAACACGGAGATAGCGGATCGCGCTTGTGAACGAACCACGCAAAGGAGCAAATCTAGGGGTCCCGGCTATCAGAGCAAAATTTGGATCTTCCTTAGTAATTGGCGAGTCTATAGTACAATCTGAATCATCGTTGTACATAGTCATGCCATCGTCAGCGACGGTGTTCATATCGTCGGGTTCGATACTTGCTGTCTGTTCCATAGTGTTGTTCAGTGCCTTCGAATACACCTTCGATCTTAGGACCTCGGATTCGAAAAGACTTCCGGAATGATGGTCACTGATATCAGTACGGATCGGGAGCTTGCTGAAGATACTGCTCGAGTCATCGGTACCCAATATGGATTCCGCCGCTTCTATCGAATGAGCTTCTCGCATGCGTTGAGTGTCATTCGCAATTCTTTGAAGCATTTTGCCATGCTTTTGGATAAGCTTCTTCATCTCGGTCAATGAATCCCTACGACGATTAGCCACCCGTTCGTGATCTTTTACGCTGTATTGCAACATGGTCTTCACTCACATTTGTAGTAGCCCAATCAGTGCGCTGATGGCAGTATGCTGTTCATGCAGCTGCCTTTGGAGCTCTTTGACTTCATCATCATTCCAAAGGGTCTTGAACTTTGCTTTCCAATTTAGCCTGGATGTATCAAGGACACCTTTTGTGATCTTCAGCATGTACTTCTCAAGCCATGTTGAAAGCACTAGACAGCTTGTCAGAGTCGTGTCCAACGTCTCGATCAATGTCGGCTTCTCCTGCAGGACATCTGTGTCACTCAGAAGTAGCGACTGGATCTGCGACAGCGAGGCACCCGTGAGTTTAAGCTGCGAACAGAGTGAGGACACAGTAACGGGCGCACGTTTCCACGCGGTACGAATTTCGTTGAGCTCTTTGGCAGCTACAACGCAGGTCGTCGTGATCCGAAGCTAAGGGTCTCGTCAGCTAGGCACTGCTGCTTTGATGGAGACCTTCCACTTCGCAACACTTACCACAGCTGTCGTGATATTCAAGGGATCCATATGAAAGCCGGTAAAGCACAAAGGCTGGTCTGGTATGCACAGGCGAGCTTGGCTTCGCAGCCCGTCAATGACCGGGAGTAACTAGTCTTCCCTACTGCAATCTACAACAGTACATTCTAGAATAATACTAGATATTCTAAGTCAATATAGCCTTTAGACCTCAACTTCTACACAAATAATAATTACATTAGTGCTGTTTTAGGCTGTAGAGCAGTAGAAAGCTTTAGCGTACTTCTTCAATTTCTCCCTTGTATGCGGTGGGGTGATTGATGAGCTATCTTCTGTGATTCATAGGGCAAATACACAACAAGACAAGTTCCCATTCGTGAGGTGTAAGGAAGACTATCCCAAGCGCCATGAGGATGTGGCCCTTCAGGCTGATAAAGAGGCGTTGAGATACAGCCTCCTATTCGTGCACCGCCCCGATCCACAACGTGACGCGCGGGGTAAGCCTCATCGCATACACAGCCTCAACTTGAGGCTTCTCAGCGCAACTCGCGCGACGAATGGTGAGACGTAACAAACATATTGATGGAACTAAGAAGTGAACGGGCATTCGAAGAGTCGGGCCGGTAGCACGCTTAGAGTGCCCCTTCTATAACTCGTCCCAGATTACGTCACACGGCACAACATCAGCCATGGCTTTTGGACGTTTCGTGAAATTGTGATATGCCTACTACATGGTTACGCTGCTGAGCTTGCTGCATGAAATACAATGCTGTATAGTATGCCCATGGTTAAGCGTGTCCCGTAAAGTGCATGACTGCGACCATCATTGCATACGTCTCTCGTGAGCGACATGTCTATGCCCAACAAGACCAAGGTCCCAACCAGTGACATGGCCTCTGCATGTGAGGTCTACACTAATCCGCTCCTAACGCAAGACCTGAGTTGACTGAGGTTTAACCTCCCTTTCTAGGGGCGTTAGGCACAGCAACTGGCGCGCGAGCCGCTCCTCCCGATGCCGCACCCTTCTTACGCTGGTAGAAGCGTTCGACAACCTTACGGACGTGGTTTTCCGCCTGCTGCTTATCGCTGGGTGCCTTGATGTTGTCGAGCGTGTACGGGGCTTGAATAAGAACGGAGTCGCTAACGACGATCTGTGTGTCTGCCCATCGGGTCGGTAGACTGTTTTACGCGCGTCAGTTCAGATGCCTTGTGCCTGTATGTTCTGCTACGACTCACGTTCTTGATATAGCATCGAACAGCTCCTGTGCTTCGGGACTAACTCCCTTGCCCTTCTGCATGTCCTTCTTCTTCATCTCGCGGATAGTCTGGTCTTCGCGGGCTTGTAGCGCGGCTAGATCTACCTTGGAGATGCTGGGGAGCGCTCCATCAAAACCCGGTGCGGACTCAGATGCCCGCTCTCCTGTGCCAATGATCTCGAAAGATTCAATGTGTGCGAATGGGATGATGTGGTAGTCGCCAGGCTGGCTGAAGATGGAGGCGGAGGGGTTCGGCGGGGCAGGGGCGGTGTTGATGGCTATGGCGTGGGTGAGGTTGCAAGCTGTGAAGAGAGTGCCCTCGAGGACGTTCTTGCCAGGGGCACATGTTACTTTGATGCTGGGGTGCGTCAGCTGATGCTCCAATACCAAGATATCTCAAAGTGAGCAAAACGTACCGTGACCCAACAGCCTTGTATAGGTCGGAGTCTGCGCCAATGACATCTTTGCCCGAGCTCGTGCCGGCTTTGAGGTTCGGCGTCGCGACCTTACCCGCAACGCTGTTGCGCTTGTTGTCCGCCATGGTAATCCTGCTCTTGTATCTCCCGTCTCTCGTCTAGGCGACTGTATATTACGGGCAGCGGAGGCTGGCTCGTTGCTCCGCTACAGATGTTTCGTCAGCACCCAAATATTGCCCAGATGTACTCTCGAGGACCTAACGCCAGAGACTCATACAAGCAGTGAATATACAATCCAAAGGAATGAAAGAAATGAAAACGCGACAACACACGCGCAACCGGGTGGGAGGGCAGCGCGAGTGTGGCGGAGCTATCGTAGCTCGGGGCGGATGGGTTGATGTTGTCGTGATGCGCTGCAACTTTCCGTGGTCGCGATGCCAAGCCTTGACGCAGGGCGCTTGCTGTTGGACCAATTATACTGTGTATGCCTCTGGACACGCTTTCCGTCCCGACTGTTTTCTAATCGCTGGAAAGCCGATGCGCGTGCGACCTCGTAACAATGTTCACTTCATAGTGGGGTGGATACTCAAGGGTCTACCCAGAGTTACCCGATGATCAATACCGGAATAGGCTAGCCGACTCGAGTAACAACACAGCGGTCAAGCCAAGCTTCAAACATTCACCAGATGTCTGCAAACATTGGACATGCGAATCATTATATTCATTCTAGATTTGAGGTATCACACTCCTCATGCTCAATATCAAACATGAACACGGGGCGACCTTCTGTTCCCCTCCAACAAACAATGGATATCCCTTTTTAAGCATTGTAGGTAGAAGCGGAGATGTTTCCACCCCTTCCGGTCCAGTTGACGTGGATGTCCTGGCCCTCCTTGTAGGTCTCGTTGGCGAACTCGGGCTTGATCCTGAAGGTGTGGGCACCGAAGTAGTCACGCTGCGCCTGCAACAGGTTGGCGGGGAGGTCCTTGGCGCGGTATCCGTCGTAGAAGCTCAGAGCGGTGCTGAAAGCAGGGGTGGGAATACCCCAGAGGGCACCCTTGGAGACGGTGTCTCTCCATCCGGCCTGAGCCTTGTGAATAGCCTTGCTGAAGAAGTCGTCGAATAGCAAGTTCTCGAGCTCGGGGTTCTGGCGGTAAGCCTTGGTGATCTCCTTCAAGAAAACGGAGCGGATAATGCATCCACCGCGCCACATGAGGGCAATCTCTGGCTTGTTCAGCTTCCACTTGTACTCCTTGGCGGCGTTCTGGATCAGCATGAAACCCTGAGCGTAGGAGATGATCTTGGATGCGTAAAGAGCCTGCTCCAGGTTGTCGATGAAGGCCTTGCGGTCACCAGAGAAGCTGGGGGTAGGGCCGTCCAAAAGACCGGAAGCACGGCCACGCTCCTGCTTGAGCGAACTCAGGCAACGGGCGAAGACAGCCTCTCCGATCAGGGTAACGGGCATACCAAGGTCGAGCGCGTTGATGGCGGTCCACTTTCCGGTACCCTTTTGACCAGCAGAGTCCATGATCTTCTCAACAATGGCAACACCATCGTCGTCGTTCTTGTACATGATGTCGCGGGTAATCTCGATCAGGAATGAGTCGAGAACGCCCTTGTTCCACTCTGTGAAAACGTCGCCGATCTCCTTGTTGCTCATACCGAGACCGCGCTTCATGATGTCGTAGGCCTGATTTTGTCAGTCGTGTTCCTTTCTCGGTACAACCAGCTCGTCTCACCTCGCAGATCAACTGCATGTCACCGTACTCAATACCGTTGTGAACCATCTTGACGTAGTGACCGGCACCCTCGTCACCGACCCATTGGCAGCAGGCCTCGCCGTCGGACTTTGCGGAGATGGACTGGAGGACGTCCTGAAGAATTGTCAGATATGCCCTATACGCGTTTCGTGGATTCGTACCTTGATGTATGGCCAGGCCTCCTCGTTACCACCGGGCATGATGGAGGGACCGTAACGGGCACCCTCCTCTCCTCCAGAGACACCAGTTCCGACGAATCGGATACCCTTGGACTTGAGGTAGTTTGTGCGGCGGTTGGTGTCGGGGTAGTGGGAGTTACCACCGTCGATGATGATGTCGCCCTCCTCGGCGCCTCCCTCGAGGAGGAGCTCGATGAAGTCGTCGACGGGCTTACCAGCCATGACGAGCATCATCATGCGGCGGGGCTTCTTGAGCTTGGAGACGAACTCCTTGATGGAGTGGGCGCCAACGATGGACTTGCCCTTGGCCTCTGTTATTTGTTAGAGATGTCCGTAGCGATTCACGGATGAGCCTTACCATCGTTCAAGAAACGGTCGACCTTGGCAACGCTATCTGCCTGTCAGTGTATGTTCCTGGCGCGGTGTATCGAAGCGCTTACGTTCGGTTGAAGGCGACAACGGTGAAGCCGTGATCAGCACTGCCTTTTGTTAGTACTAGTCTGATGTGATTTTGATGTGGGTCGTGACTTACGCGTTGAGGATCAAGTTCTGGCCCATGACCTACGTACATGGTCAGCATGGCTTCTTTCTCAATGAGTTGGAGGTGAATGTCTCCGGATAATTTGGGCCATTCCTCCAATGGCCGACAAGAAGACGTGAAGACATGCACTTGATACCGCATCGTTCGTGAACGCGACCGGATTAGGGATTACTTACGGCCAAGCCGATGAGGCCGAAATCTCCGACAGGCTCAGAAGACATGATTGCTGTTCTCGTGTGGGTATAGGTGTTTGGATGAGAAAGTTGTGGCGGGGTAGAGTTGCAGCGACCGGGCGTGCAACACGAGAGGGCAATTGAGGCTTATAAAGCTGGTGATGGTCAAGAGAAGAGAGAAGAAGACTGGTGGGGGTCTTGTCGAGATAATGTAGTCGCCGGCAGACTTTGGAAACAAGCGGGGCACACTACTATTGCATCAGTTGGCTGCACGTCCCACACATCCCAGCATCACTCAGTTGACGGAGAATAGCTTCGGCCGCGGCGGTAAGGCTATTGTGACACAAGCCACTGTTGCCAATTCCGTCTTGTAAAACGTTTGCTGTGCTCCGGACATGATTGCTGAACATTGCATGATTAGAAAGCCGCCTTGTTAGGCGCGGCCTGGACACGGGTGGGTTTGCGCATGTGGTAGGCAATGCCAATGGCTGCAAACACGACTGCAGTTACCACAGCCCGAGAAACGTGGCTCACGGCTTGCGGACTAGGGATGCACGCAAAACCTCCAACGGTGTCGCGGTCAAATGCGGCTGCTTGTGAAGCTCCCGAATTCTCAAGTGCACCAGCCCCTCCATCCTCAGCCTTAACACAGCATTACGGATGGAGGGGCAGCGTGCAGGGATCATCGGACTAGGGCCGGGATGTGGTGGCCGGAGAAGTCTGGCGATGCTTACCTGATAGTCGTGATTAGTGAGGCGACGTCAAAGGCACGTCCGGCGATGAGTTTTTCTGATATTGCTGAAGCTTCATGGTTGTAGACAAGGTCGTGCCTTGCGTGGACTCATGTTGTGCAGCGGCTGCCGAGATGCCGGCAACACGTGATTCGGGGCCGGAGGAGCCAAGCGGCTCACTTTCTGCGACATGATTCAACAAATAACACCAACGTCAACGCCCCATCTGACGCATCCCCACGGTAATTCAATTTGCACACCGGCCCGCCATCCCACTCTGCCCCTTTCAAACGCCGATCCGGTCGTCGCCCTCCTGCATCATCGCTTGCTAGACACTTCGGGAAAGTCTCGCCTGTGTTCCTTGACGTGTAGTCAGCATCAGTCTCAGTGAATCACCTGCGCAATACTGCCTGGGCGGTATTATTCCCTCACACGAACGCGTTCCTCCAAGAGGCATTTTCCACACAGCCAAAAGGAAACACTGCGCCTCACTCACCGGTATCACCGCCACCTTCCGCGCCCGCGCTCCCGATATTCACCCTTTCGAAATCTGCGAGCCCTAGATTGCGACGCAACCTTAGTCATCCGACCGTCCTATCACCAGTCTATCCAGTCCAGCTCGCGATAGTAGAGCGCATCCCAACCAGTAGCTGGTTAAGTCATCACCTCGCTAAGGTTAACCTGGACTGACGCGCAGTTCCTACTTCACCATGCAGCCCCATCACTCTCTTCCGGCGCGACCGCCGCCTAGCACATATTCGGCACCGCCTTCGAGATCAAACAATGCTGGCGCGCGCCCCCAAGGCAACTCGCCTATGTCTGCTGGTTTTACACCGCGCTCTGTGGCAGCTCATGCTCCTCCACAGGCGTTTGCTGCGCCAGCAAACTATGCGCAAGCCCCAGTGAGCGCCCCCTACCAAGCACCCGCTTACCCGACCAGCAATGCTTACAACAACTACTCGTACCCAGCCTATGCAACGGGTGCTCCTACTACGACCTCATATACAGCTGCGCCGACCGTGAACCGTGGGTTTGCTGGCACCTATGATCCCGAAGAAGAGGCTCGGATCGCCGAATGGAACAGCGCATACAATGCCGGCGATGCGAACGCGAAGAAGAGCGGCAGCGCAACTGTAGGCGCTCGACCGGAAGGATCAGCCCCTCAGGATGCCGAAGCAACGGGACCGACAGCTGATGGCAAGCGCAAGACCGTCGTCCGCGAGGGAGGTGGAAAGCAGTGGGAGGACGAGACTCTACTTGAGTGGAATCCGCTGCATCCACGACTGTTCATCGGTAACCTCGCGGGTGAAGTCACCGATGACTCGCTCCTCAAAGCATTTGCAAAGTACCCCTCCTTATCCAAAGCCCGCGTCGTGCGAGACAAGAAGTCCACCAAGAGTCGCAGTTACGGCTTCGTCAGCTTCTCAGATACCGATGATTACTTCCGCGCTGCCAAGGAGATGAACGGCAAGTACATTGGCAGCCACCCAGTCCTCATCAAGCGCGCCACATCGGAGGTCAAGGCTGTCACAAAGAAGGACGACAGACACAAGCAAGGAAAGAACAAGAACAACAAGGATAACAAGAACAAGTCTGGCAACGGCAACAACAGTACTCCCGCGGTAGTAGCATCTCCCGCCATGTTCATTCCCCGCGGCGTCCAGAAGAAGGGCAAATCGAACGGTCCAAGGGTGTTGGGTTGAAACCTAGTGTGGTTAGTGACGACATCAACACGGCAACTCGATGGATTATCCAGATATGTGCAATGGCCCTCCGCCACAGAGTACTTCGAACGCGTTCAAGGTTAGTCTTGCGATCAGTCTTTATCGTTTTATGTTTCAAGAATACATTCCCATCTTTTAGAGTTTGAGCCTCTGTTGTTTATTGTCTAGCGTTAAATGTAGTTCAGCAATGCCAAGCACGAGCAATATGAGGATGGCTTCCGTCGTTGAGGCAGAACGCAGATTTGCGCATTGATACGTATATGAGCAGTTGATAGCGTGAGGAAGAAGACATTTAATGTACTTGTACGTCCAACTCGAAGGGGGGAAATCGTGGCAGAAGAAGATGAACCAGACAGAAAGCAATAGATCATATGAACCCACGAAGATTGCAAGTCTCCGGCGAGATGCCAATCACATTTCCCAATGTCCTTCGTGCCAATGTACTAAATTCCCACTTGACTACTCACACAACGTCTTCACCTTCTCGACCACCCCGTCCCTATCGCCCTCAACACCCAAACAATCCAAAAAATCATAACTCATATACTCTCTCCTCGGCACCCTCGCCCTCCAACACAGCCTCGTAGTATGATATCTCATCTTCTCCTTCCAGACCGCATCTTCACTCGTCCCCCACCTCGCCTGCCCACTCCCCATCCACGTATACTTCAGGCCATATCTATCATCAATCTCTAAAATTGACCCGTCCTCCTTCTGTAACCCCAACGCCCTACATGCCTCAATTTGATCCTCTAACCCAGGCCAATCGGGCAATAAATCCTCCCTCGTTTCAAACTCAAGATTGACCTCCTGGCAACTACTCGGCAGAACCAAGCTCGCCATGGTCTCTGCGAGTCGTTGTCGTTCCTTCAGTTCGGCGAGTAAAGGCGGAAGGAGGTAGGCGCATATCGTCCAAGTAATCCTCCTCCAGCGTAGATGGCCTAAGAGGAACTTATTGAAGTTGGACGCTTTTAGCGCAACGAGGTTATCGTGGAGATGGTACAGTTCTGCGCCTCGCTGCTTAGTTATGTGGTGGAGCCAGATGTCTCCGTTGTACAACCATGATGTACTGCCTAAGTACCGGAAATGGTGCGTGGAACTGCGCAGGGGGATTTGGTGGGCTTCGACATAGATGAGGCGGCATGTTAGGAGCAGAGCTGAGTCAATTTTGGTGCGGTGAGTGTGTCGAGGGCGGTATAGTGGTGAGATGGAATGGGTGTCGATAGGGCGGGTGGGATCATGTTGTTGAGACAGCACGTGTTGGTAGATTGTGAAACGGATTTCTGCTGGCAGTACGGCGAAGAATAGAGATTGGAGCTGAAGGTGAGACGTTGATGGTGTCAGGGCGGCAAGGTCTCGACGGGTTGCTCGCGCGGCGCGTTGCCGGACGTAGCGGTCTTTGGGTAGAGATTTTGGCTGTGGCATCTTTTGGTCGTTGTTGTCTTGGTGTACGTTGATGTACGTTATTGGCTATGACGTCGTCCGGTAGGCCAATGATGGTTACACGTGACAGAACTTATCTTTACCATGTGAATCTTATGTAAGCGCCCTTGTCATGCCAAAATCTATCTCTTTCTATGTTTATGGCCAACGTCTTGGCGCGTTAGAAGCAAGATTGCTGCGTATCTGTCTGGCCGCAGATCTCCCGGTGCAGATGAGGTTCCGCTGAGGGACGTGCGCCAGCTATCGAGCTTCTCTCAAACTTGACTTTCACTACCCCACTCCATCGTTCACCGCATACGTAGTGGTCTACGACGATTCCACCCAAAGGACAGAGAAAGGTACCCGCACTTCACTTACAGCAATGGCTTCGGAGTCGAGCCTTACCAGAGCTCTGAGCACAACGGAACAAATCGGCTGAGACACGGGCCTCGGGTGTCTATAAGACTATCTAATCTTAGCGGGCATTGTGAACTGTCTCTGCTCGGACCTACTCGGAGACATGATAAAAAGACGTAGGCCCACTAGGCTAAGTCTAGGGAAACAGTCATATGTACAGAAACTGTTACCTACAAACGTCTACCCCATGACTTTCTTACCGGAAACAAATGGCTTGTGGCCATCGACGCCAGCTTGCTTTGTGAAATAATGACTTGTTCACAGTGTACAACTTCGCCAAAGGTTTGACTCGATGTCGCCTATAACACTATCGCGGCAGGCAACAATCTCGAAACCTTTCACCTTGCGAACTATTTTCACACAAGGTCGCTGGCAGTTCGGACTGGGTATATACAAAAAGAAATTACAGGTAAAGTCACAACACAGAGTGACTCGTGGATCGGTATCAAGGCAACACAACGCAAATGCTGGTCTGCCTATAACTACAGGCCTTATAAGTTCTTCCGGACTAAACAACGACTCTCGACTCAACTCCCACCCACTACTTGCAAACTCTTCGAGCAAGTCCATCAGTAGATTCCGCACTCAAAATCTTACTCGAACTACCACAATGGCTCCTCAGAACAAACGACCAGTGCTGACAAGCACACTATCTGCCTTGTTATCAACGGCTACACGCTCTCGTGCTACCTCAAGGCCGGCTCTACCCACTGATTTCAACGCCGTCCTAGTCAAGTACGGCCTCACCCACCAGGACCTCAAGGAGATCGAAAGTGTGCTCATCGACGTTGCCACGGAAGCAGGTAACATCATGGTGGCTGCGGAGTACTCCCTCATCATGACACCCCAAACCAAAAACAACACGTCTGACCTCGTCACCGTGTTCGACAAGCAGATTGAGGATATGGCCGAGAAGCGCCTTCAAGAGGCCTACCCCTCCTTCTTCTTCCTCGGAGAAGAGACATTCAAGGCTGGGACCAAGCTGGCCGACGCACCAACATTTGTGGTCGACCCGATCGACGGCACCCTGAACTTCACACAGGGTGTTCCCAACTGCGCAATCTCTCTGGCATTAACGCTCGACAAGAAGCCTGTCGTCGGTGTCGTGTTCAATCCCTTTCGTGGGGATATGTACCACGCAGTCAAAGGACAGGGCGCATTCTTGACAAGGCCTACCACAGGAAACACGATTAAGCTTCCTGTCCAGCAGAACCCGAAGCCAATGCCGTCACTCAACTCCTGCTTGGTGGCTGTCGAGTGGGGTAACCAGCGCAAGGGCCCTAACTGGGCACTACGCACTTCCATTCATAACGCCCTTCTGACGTCCAAAGATGAAGGCGGCGCGATGTGCAAGTCGGTACGATCTAATGGCTCCGCAGCATTAGACTTCTGCTATGTTGCACACGGAATGCTCGATGCATTCTGGGAAGGTGGAGTTTGGTCTTGGGACGTGGCCGCTGGGTGGTGTATCCTAGAAGAGGCTGGCGGAATCGTCGCGAGTGCTAACCCTGGTGATTGGGATCCAACGCTCGAGGGTCGTCTGTACTTCGCTGTGCGCAATGCTAAGCCCGAGGAGCAGAAGGCTGTGGTGGAGGAGCTTTGGGGATTAATGGGTGATCGCAGGTTTGTTTTTTGAATGTAGTTCTTAGAGTCTTCACAGTAGATCAGGTTTTTCATACTGGAAATTATACTCAGAAATCTTGTACAAAACGCTGTTCAATGTCAAAGTGTATAAGTGTCAAACCATACAATGAACGACGATATCCTCCAGGGTAAAGCAACGGAAATCTTAAAAACTTGTCCTCTGCTTTATGCCCCTAATCCAAGAGCAATATAGTGTGGACTTTCCGGAATTCACAATGAACTCTCTCCAGTGAAGCCTTCGGCCATCGCTGCTTTTAGTTGGCGGCGTAGTGGTTTGGCTGTTCGGACATTTGTGTACCTGTTTATCGCACCTTCTGCGTCAGTACAACGCTCATTCTATATGGCCTGGAAACCGCCAGTACCCATGTCCTAATACGTACAATTAGAGCCTACAAGCGTAACTGCGCACCTCAGTCGTAAGGTAGCTACGACAGGCACTTCCTTTCTTGTTCAGCCTGAGACTAAAACTAACATCCCCATCACATTCCCATCACAACATACCTTTACACACAATCACCAAGCCTCAACGAAGCATCATTTGGTATCACAGCGTTACTCCGTAACATATTCTCATTGCCGCTGCGGGACACTACTCATTGGAACCACACACACCACCTCAACTGCACCGCCCTAGAATTCGACATCAGTGCATTTGTACGGTGTGCAGCCTCTGCAGACAACCCTCACCACACATCACCTTTATCATTTCGTACCCTACAACTACATCACCACCCTTTTAGACCATAACTACGATCTATGCATCACTGCACTGATTGGGTACATGCCATTTGACGTTCGACCTTACAACAACCCAACTCGACCCAGGCGCCGCACTCACTCATACCGGCCAAGTGTCATCCACAAACGCCGCACCATCTTCGACCAAGGCCACAACCCCAGAACACACTCGTACTCTGGCAGGCCACTCACTTCGCACGAAAGACTGCACGTTGCTCGTCAGCGGCTCCGCAAGTTCGAGAAGACACATTCTCGAAAGGCGCAAAGGAAGACTTGGGCCCGTAACGGAATCTCATCTTCTCCAAGCACGTTAGACAAACTTCACCTCAAGGTGAAGAGAATCTTGAGCGGCAGATTCTGAGAATCGACACGCCTAGATCAGAAGACTAGAGTGTGTTTATGAGCACGACTGCTACTTCTGTAACAAGTGCTGTGCCTTGTGCTGCACTCCCAGCTCCAACCCAAGGACAGGGCCGAACACTCTCGAGCTACCGACCGGCACTTGTCAACCCACTTGAACCCCGCGAAAGACGAAGAATCATCGAAGAGCGAAGACAACGCAAGCTCAGGCGCCTTGAAATCAAGGCTGAGAAGAAAGCAAGCCGGAAGTTGAAGAAAGGGCTACGCGCTAAGTTAGCCGGTCTTTTGAGCATCCTCCGTCTGTGGTAGACAACACCACTTTTTCCATGTCCTGTTCCGCATCCACAACCTGTGGGGCTAGTTCTTGTGCGACATCTGCGCCTGTACTATCTGGTTTCGGACAGAACCATCCAGCTCCCAAGCTCACTGAAGAGCAAAAAGAGGCGCTGAAAAAGAAGCAAGAGGCGCGCGAAGAAAAGAAGCGACAGGAAAGGGAAACCCGATACAAGGCTTGGGCCGACACCAAGGCCAAACTCTCCGACGCGACTAGCAAGAAGGCCAAACTTCGTCTATACGCAACCTTGCTGAAGCTAAGACTTCACCTCTAGGCCTGAAGTTAGTTCATGGCAGACTTTGGTAGCTATAGCGCCGGCGATTGTGGCGGCAGCAGCTCATTTGGAGACTCAGGTACTTCTCATTGTTACGCCTCTCATCACGCAGGAGACGGAGGCACATCGCATACTTCCCACCACGCAGGAGACAGCGGCAGCTACTACGTAACAGGAGACTCGGGGACAGCCACCATCCCGCAATCTTCTGTCAACAATCACAATTTGACTCCTGAGGAGATAGCGGAACGTGAGCGCAAGGAGAAAGAACGACAGGAGAAGAAACAACAGCGAAGAGAAGCCCGAGCCGAGATCGCTAAAACAGTCAAAGCAAAACGTAACGAAGCCACCAAGAAGAGGGAGAAGATCCGGTTGGCCGTGACGTGGCTCACGCTCAAGCTTCATCTTTGAGCTCCGCTACTGTATCTTCCAGGCTCTGAATGGATTCTTTCTCGGTATCCGCAGATTGTGGAACGACATCTTCAGGCGATTGCGGCACGACATCGACGGCAGACTGTGGGACTTCATCAGGAGGGGATCACAGAACGACATCTGGAGACTGTCGAACTGACTCGGGAGGCGAAACTGGAGGCGACTGTGGTGCCAATTCGGGGCAGGATCACTCAACAGAACGTGACTTTACGTATACTGACTTTGCCGCCGGACCCCAAGCGGCCGCTGCAGGTTCTTCAAGTCCTTCAGGTCCTCAAGCACAGCCAAATACTCGCACACCAGAAGAGATCCAGGCGCAAGAGCAGCAAGCAGAAGCTAGAGCGCAGAAGAAGAGAGAGAGGAAAGAAAAAGCAAGGAGAGTCTTCAACAGCGTCAAAGCCGTGTCAGAAAACATTGTCAAGGGCAAGTTCTGAGGCACCAGCCGATCTCTTGTGCTGCGTCCTGATTCGCATACCCACCAGCAGGTTTAACCTAAGATCTCCTGAAGGTTGCACGTATGGGGGCAAGTGCTCGCAGTAGTCGTAGCGTGCGGTTCTCTCACGATACAAGCCATCACTCTGAGGCCGACTTCAGCCTTTGGCCGGGAGTGTATGTCCATCCTGGGCAATTCAGGCACGCCTCCGATAAGGCTAGCGAAGAGGAGGCGTGGCAAAGGTGTCGCACTCGTCTGAAGAGATTGAAGGCTCGTTTGCGCAAGAAGACAGATAGACAAAGCCAGTCGCATGGCAAACGTCGATAGTTCCGACGTTCCTCGCCCTAACGAGGCTGAGCACACCTTCTTTCAGAATGTGACCTGCTACGTCCACATATACGCGCCAACGACTTTACATGCAAGCACCGGAAGTGCAGCGACGGAGACGCGTGCCGCTGTTAGAAATTCATATCAGTCGGATTCTCCCCAATCGGTGAATGAGAATCCATTCACAGTCGCATCTAACCTCTACCTTATCAATCTTGAGAGAGCTAAGCGAAGAAGGCCGGGGAAGAGGCAAGCTCTTCTTGAGTGGTCAATTAGAAAGCTCCAGAAGTTACTTGACAAAGTAATCTAGAGCTAGCATCAATCGGTCGTCGTAAATGCGGTGCCGCAGAGGCCATAATGGCAGACCTCGTCGACCTCGACGGCCTTTCGGTCGGCGTCGAAATATTCTCGACTGGAACAAACGGCGCGAGAGATTCTGGCGCTGGAGGAGAATTCATGTCCTGGCGTTGAAGTACTGGGTTGATGATGTCGCTCGTCGCTGACCCACGGCCACTCGGAAGTGAGCACAGACCGTCCGCAACAGTGCAGGGCATCGGAACTGCTGCTCGCCATACTCCACGCCATGTTCGCCCGCACTACCCGCAATACCCTTGCGACAGCCTCGAAACAGCCGTACATATGTCACTCATGTCTGCGCCGAGTCAGGCAGTCTCAATTGGGTGCTCTACACCTGCCAACGCGTCACACGACACGATCTCTCCAGACTGAGACGCAGCCACCACCGCCTCAAGATGGCACCGCCTTTCGCAAGCTGCTGAAAGACGCCGCAAAGCAACAAAAGAAAGACAAAAGCGCCTCTGCTGGCTCATCGAAGTCTTCGAAAAAGGGCAAAGATGCACGGCTAGAGAAGTGGGAGCTGACGGTCGGAATTGAAGTCCATGCCGAACTCAACACCGCGAGGAAGCTTTTCTCCAGTGCTGCGACCTCGATTAGCGAATTACCAAACACTCATGTCTCTCTATTTGATGTCGCATTTCCTGGTACACAGCCTCACTTCCAGAAGGAAACCCTCCTCCCCGCCCTGCGCGCCGCTATAGCCTTCGATTGCGAGATTCAGCACAAGAGCAGTTTCGACCGCAAGCACTACTTCTACCAAGATCAGCCCGCTGGATACCAGATCACACAGTACTACGAGCCTTTCGCGAAGAATGGAAAAATCACCCTCTACCCCCATGACTTTCCGCCTGGTGCTGCCCCGCAGCCAGAGCCCTTCGACATCGGCATCAAGCAGATCCAGATGGAGCAAGATACCGCAAAGACTGTGCAGCAGCCTCCTTCGACCCACCTACTCGACTTCAACCGTGTCTCGCATCCTCTGATCGAAATCATTACCCTCCCTCAGATCCACGATCCCACAGTTGCAGCCGTCGTCGTTCGCAAGATACAAAACACGCTCAAGGCTGTCAATGCCTGTACAACAGGCATGGAGTTGGGTGGGCTGCGTGCCGACGTCAACGTATCCATCCGTCAACGTGGAGGGGAGTCTTCCGAAGCTAGCCACTCATACTCTGGTGTCACTGGGTTGGGCCAGCGGACGGAGATCAAGAACTTGTCAAGCACGAAGGCTGTCGAAGATGCCATCATTGCTGAACGTGATCGACAGATTGACCTGCTTGAGAGTGGCGGTGTTGTTGAGGGCGAAACACGTGGATGGACTCTTGGAAGCAAAACTACCAAACGTCTTCGAGGCAAAGAAGGCGAGATTGACTACCGCTACATGCCGGATCCTGATATTGCTCCTGTCTTTATCGGACAAGTAAGTTTTGCCTGCAACATGAATGTGAATGTTCTGTTAATCATTCCAGGACCTTGTTGAACACCTCCGAAACACCCTACCAAAGCTCCCCGATGTGACTGTTGATCTGCTCGCAAACACCTACGGGCTCACCACGAAAGACGCCATCACATTCCTCTCTCTCGACGACGGTGAACGCTTGGAATATTTCGCGGACGTTGTTCGCTGCCAAGTAGAAAGTGAGCAGATCGAGAAGGATGTTTCGTTGGCATCATTGGGAAAAATCACCGGGAACTGGTAAGTTCGTCAACTGTGATGTCATAATTCACGCTGACTTCTCTCAAGGGTGCTGATGGAGCTTGGCTCTCTCTTTCAAGATGAACCTTGGGATCCCGATCGAGTTCCAGCCGACTATCTTGCTAGTGTCATTTCACACGTACGTCGTAGAGAAGTCACATCGCCGTCCGCAAAACGTCTGCTTGCCATCAAGTTTGAGGGCGACCCACGCAGTGCGACAGAAGTCGTACATCAAGAGAACCTTCTACTGCAACCACTAAGCCAAGAAGAGTACTCGAAGTTAGCGCAGACGCTGCTAGAAGGAAAACCAGACATGGTGAGAGACATCACCGAGAAGGGTCAGGTGAAGAAGGTAGGATGGTTCGTAGGACAGATGGTGATTAGAGCTCCGGACGGCAGTGTTGAACCAGACAAGGCAAAAGAGGTACTATTAAACTTGCTAGGTCTGGGAGAAAAGCCAGAGTAGTGTTGTGGATATCCTAATGAAACACATCCTCATGATCGGTGCGCACCGCATATGTGGCTTATGTGACTGATGGCTGTAAGGGTCTAATGTGCGGGTAAGAATTTTAGAGCCCACTGATGCTTTGTGTTTCGAGGAAACTAACCAGCCAACTAGCACACGAGCAGTAGGATGCCCTCTCTCGGTTCCGAACTACAGAGGCCACAGTGTACAGTAGTAGCCGAATAATCAGACAATCGGACCCACTCCTGGAGCAGGAGTCGCAAACGCGACACATTTCTTGCTGATCTACGACCTGAGTAGACAAGAAGACGTCGTGCCATCATCTCAGATTCAACGTCCGCAGTTCTGCACATTTGAAAGGTCGATGGAGAAGGCGTTCGAGCGACGGCCTCCGCAGTCCTTTTCACAGGCCCCTCTTCTCCCACGATGTCTCCTCAGCCAACAGCTCTCTACCTCGCCCGCATCCGTGACCGCATCGTCGCTATCCGCGAGAACACAAACACAAACGCGACCTCCCTCAAGGCCATAATCACCAATACCGCGCGCCGGGACAATCTAGGTCGCCGTGGGGAAGCCGCTCGCCAGACACTTGCTGCATCCTTAGGTGAGTACTATGACGGATCACAGGAGCCAGAAGACGACCTGAGGGATCTGAGTCCAGTGGAGGGACAGTGGAATGGCTGGGACGAAGAAGAAGGAGAGCAAGACTGGGACGTGAGGTCCGATAGTATGGAGCCCCTGAGAGATAGAGAGGAAGAAGAAAACGAAGACGGCGATGACGAATACGAAGAAGAAAGAGAAGACTGGGAACTTGATATGGACAGAGAGCATGAACGGTATATGGAGCTTGACCGCAGTTTGAGCTTCGAGAGCCTTATCGCAGAAGAGAGGTTCACGAATGGAGAGGTGGAGAGCGAAATGTATGTCGCCTATCATAGTATGAATAGTAGGGCGATGAGGAAGATGAGGTTGCATGAGGTGGAGAGGATGTATCAGAGTGGGGAGACGTATTCTACGGTACGTTATTAATTCGTGAACATGTCAGAGGGTGGTGGTACAGCGACTGGTACTAACTGGGATATGTAGGTCAATAAGACGAAAAGAAGCGAGATACAAGACATGCTCCAAAAGTACAGCGAGGAAGTGCCGAATTCCAGAAAACAAAATGACGAGGACGACGTTGTTTCAACCCCCTACCCGGAAGATGACGACCTCATACCACTTACCTACCAACCGAACCACGGATCACTTCCAACCCCCAACGACACGAACACATTAAATATAAACTCCTCATCCGAACTATCGATATTGACAAACCTTTACCCCGAAGACGCTCCAACCAGCCAACCCCAACCCCCTCCACCCACACAATCCCCACACTCCATCAATCGCGACACCACGCCTTCTACGAACCGGACATATTTCCCTATATACCCTTCAGACCGTACAATATCGCCCATCACACCGTTCGTCGCATCGCGCCACATCCCATTCCCCGTCTCCTCCTCATCAACAAGAAGTCACGTACAGTTCCCCATTGAATCGAGCGCCTACGCACACAACGATATAGAAGCGAGAAGATATGCTCCATCTCATCCTTACTACGATATGAACCAACAAGAGGTCCAGGAATACTGGCATGACCTGCGAGGTTATAACACGGAGAGTGAGCGGCATCTGAGGCGAGGGGAAGCATCTACGAACCGCAGACGACGCTCTGCATCCTCGCCCGTTCAACACCGTGATGAGCGTACTATTGGATTCGTAGGAGGGAAATATGAACACCATGTAGGAGATGAACTGGAGGGCGAGCAAGGGGGACAGTCTGGCGAGAAAAAGGTGAATATAGTAGGACGATTGTTAAGCACTCTAACATGTCGGCCTGGCGCCGTTTCGCCTGATGATGCTGCTGTCCCTGTCAAACATGACCAAACTGTCGGAATGGTGTCTATTGTACCAAGAAAGTATGCAATGGCCTTTCTGTCCAGGAAGACAGGTCAGACGCAAAGGAAAGAAGAACAAGAAGCGAGACTTGGGGAAAGACTTCTCGGGTTGCAAATACCTCCGCCTGACGAAAATACGAAGCGGAATACTGGAAATACGAGTATTGTTAGAGAAGAGACTCAACGGATTTCAAAAACCAAGAGAGTAAATGAGGACAAAGGGTCAAGACCGAAAATTCGAGTCGTCAATGTGGGAAGTCAAACGCAGGGTGTTATTGGTCCGCCCGTTGACCTCTCGAAGATGATACAGCGTGCACCCGAGAGCATCAGAACGCCATCACCGCTGCCCGGATCAGATGCCGGGCCTTCGGAAATGAGGAGCAACATCGAGCGTGTACCTAGACAAGCACGTTCGGACTCAAGCTCAAGTCTAAGTGACCGTTTACGGAAGACGAAGCTTGAAGATTTACCTCTCCGCTTTGGAGCAGCCGAGGAGATACGCAATCTGATGCTTACTCTCGAAAGTGATCAGAAGGGGCCAACTAACACCCCGGTTCAACGTGAGGATACATTGTCAGATGGTTTTGATACAAACACAACACCACCCACTGGACAGGCAAACGAACTACCCGGTGGTTTCTCACGCCCACAAAACGTAAGTCAGAATCTCACACAACCCATCCTTTTGTTCCTCGTCATTTCCTTTCCTAAACTAACAACGCCCATTAGTCAACCATACGCCACAAATCCAGCTTCTCACCTTCCCCTCGAGAAACCCTACAACGACACTTTAATACACAGCGCCAAGCCAACAAGCAATATGCTCAGCGTGTCCGAGCAGCCAAATCACATTTGAGCAATCTCACGTTACCACCAAATTTCCGCGCACCGGAGATGCATGCTAGTTCACTGTCTAGTGCTGAAGATATGGGTGGCAGGAATTTGGTGGAGGAAGACGATGATATTGAAGACGACGTTGGCATGGATGATAGTGCTGAGTAGCACTCCGATGATAACGAGGATAGTTATCCGATATAAGACGCTAGTATTGACGACAGGGCAAGCATTAGGAATCCACGATATGAGGTGACGACTAAAGCCATGCGAAGTTTTAATGGAGAAATGACACTTAGAATCGAGTGAAATGCTGAGTATGTGATTGAGTGTTATCTGTGTTGCCTACTGTAGCGTATTATCCAGCACATCCAAACAATCGTGTGCAATCATTGACATGAAATGATCGACAGCACGATTGCTATGGATATGCGTCGCAAAGTCGTGATCAAAGTGATTTGCGTTCGCAAGCCGTCACCGTGAATCGGCGCGGATAGAAACAAGCGCGAACGCGCTGTCCACGAGATCAACGAGTAGGTCTAGAAATGGTCAGGAATGGTCAGGAGTACTAGGCTTGTGGTGGTTAGCACATCATCCAAGTTTTCACATCACAGCACACAGTGCAACATCACAACATCACCATAGTACGCGATGGCCGAACGATAGCGCCACCATCCAAGCACCGCATAGTCCGGACATCGCATGAGCGAAAAAGCCACCAAAGGCCAAAGGTTGATTCAGGAATGGTCATATTGTCTATGAAACATTCCTCAGCCACCACGCTGAACGCAAGTCTACGCAGACCTGTAGGGTATACTGCGGACTTGAAGATCCATCCCAATCATTGCCGTTATCCTTTTGTATGATTCCGAGACGCCTTATCATGCACAATCGTATCGTGGCGCTATTTATGCGACGAGCTGAACGACACCACCGGCCTCCTTGATCTTCTTCTCAGCCTCAGCGCTGACGTAGCGGGCGCGGACGACGATGGGGACCTCGGGGAGACGGCCCTTTCCTAGGAGCTTGGAATAGCCGTAGTCGAGGAGGTTCAGGACGGGAGCGTTGCCACCCTTCTTGGCGAGGTACTCCTCGCGCTTCTCAACGGGGATGAGAGACCAAAGCTTGTCGAGGTTGATGACGGGCTTCCAGAACAGGTTCTGCTGCTTGTGGAAGTACCTCATACCAATCTTTCCGAAGTAACCGGGATGGTACTTGTCGATGTTGGTGCGGTGGTGGTGCTGACCACCGGCCATACCACGACCACCGGGATGCTTGCGGTGCTTGCTGTTCCGTTGTTAGCATTTGTCGCATCGCGCAAATTCGAGCCTAAATCTCGCAGGTGTGAATTACCCGACACGTCCGTGACCGGCGGAGACGTGACCCTGTATATTGTATTAGCAATTGATATAGTTGTAGGACGAGTACGTGACATACGCGGTGCTTGCGGGTCTTGGTAAGGCGAGTAGGCATGTTGACTTGACTGTTGGGTTAGTTACGTTCGAGCGGAAGCTGAAAGTTCAAGGCGCTGTTTTGTCTAGGTGGGTTGAAAATCGCAAGCGAGGCGCGCTAACATCGGTATAACCTTTCGCCGATGGTCACATGAATGGCACCGTCTCCCAACCACCTGCAATGCTAGAAGTAGGAACATCAAAACCGACGCCAGAGAGAACGTTGAACTGAACAATTTTGTTTGGTGCTTCGAATATGCGTTTGTCATTTCTTTGTAACAATGTTCACCAAATTCTCGCTTTCGCTATGCAATGCACACTCATTCATCGACGCCAATTTGCTTCTTTAACCCCAGTATGGTGTCCGCAGACCCACAAACGTCGAACCAACACCGTCGCCTGAATCTTCCTTCTTGCGTTGTCCTGCGAGCTGTTCAAGCATTAGCAAGATTGTTTCGCAGTCTTGAACTTAGATCAAATTACCTCTAGTTGTATATGCCTGTGGACATGCACAAGCCAGTCAACATAGCTCTGCGCCTCATTGTTTCGGTCCTCATACAACAACCTCGCAAACTCATATTCCGCGCCGTCAAGACCTTGCCGCGCGAGTTGTATTGTGAGCGCCTTGGAGGCTCTTGTACCTTCTAGGTATTGCAGGATATTCCGTACTTGAGCATTGAGGTGCGTCTCGAGAACAGGGAGAGTGGATTGGAAGGGATCGAGCGCTTTCAAGCTATTGTTGCCTTCGCCGAAGAGGTCTTCTAGCAGGTTGGGTGAGACTTGCGTGTGTAGCCATAGTAGGCATATTTGGCCGTTGTCTACAATGTATGCGCCGCCTTCTTCAACCTTGGAGAACGATGCGCGTATGCTTTCTGGCATGACAAGATGGCCCTTTTCGTTTGCGAAGCCATCACGCGCATCGAGGTTATGAATTGCAATAATTCGAGGGTAGAGATATAATGACATCTCCAGCGGTCCCATTGACTTGATCATCCGCATGTCATGGACTCTCCGGTCGGTGGGCTCCTTGCCACCCTTGAAGGCTCTCGATTTGATCAGTCCGAGTATATACATGCCGAACTCTTTCAGGTTCTCCGGTAGCACAAGCTGGCCAGGTGGATTGTTGCCAGTGAAGTTCTTCCTGTAGCCTGCAAGAATGTCGACAGTCTTTTCCGTAAGCGCTCCCCGGATCTCCTTAAGATTCTTTTCGGTCATGCGAGCAGCAGCTTCCTTGGCGATGATGTTCACCACAGCATCTTGGTCGACAAACTTCATGCATTCGCCAGTGTTCGGGCTGACACTAGCCACGATGTTGGTGCATCGTACTCGTCGCTCACCGTTCGCAGCCGTATATAAGAGCGCGCTCTGGAAGTGTGCGTCAAGCTTGGGATCCAGTTTGCCATCGTAGCTGAACATAACGCCGATAGCCTTGTCAGCGTCGATGACTCCAAATTCTAGATCGGCGCCAAAAGTGTGGTGATAGAAGTTTCCGTGATAGGCAGAGACCTGCAGGCCATTCGAGCAGCGAACCTTCATCAGCGCTTGATATCCGGTTTCTCGTGTGACTGTGTGCTGAATCTCCTTGGATAGCTTGAGCGTATCCCTTGGTGAATGGAAGTTGGGGTAGTAGAACACCTCTCCACCTGTTGCAGCGGAAACGTGACCTAGCATGTGTTAGCAGGCAGCACCTATCAGAGGAATTCCTGGCTTACCAATTGTTGCAATGTCAAGGTAGCCTCCGCTTGGTGCTGCAAGGAAGAAATCCACACCAATGCCGTTTTGCACCATCTTCTCGGCAACCTTCTTGAAACCAGGATGTTCCGTCTGGAGAAGTTTCTTCTCGGCATCGGTGTTTGATGCGTTGCCGTCATCACGCAGCATCAGTCGACCAGGACCCCAAGTAGGAAGTGCAGCTAAAGAGCACACTATCTTTCCACCTGTGGCTGACAAGGCTGCTACGGCAGAGTTTAGAGTGGGGAGCAGGGCTGGTTCAGGATTCTTGACTTCGGAGAACATGTTGGGTAATTGTGCGAGAAGTGATGTAATGACAGTCTTGGACTCCACAGGATCGACGAACAAGCCTTCGCTGAACGGTAAGAAGGGATCCTCGAGATCGGACATGACCAGCATTTGAGCACTCGCCAAATTGGCATTGAGGTTGTAGAAGTGCATCTCCTTATCGAACGTCACGATGCCGACCTTGGCGCCCTTTGGTATGCGAGTCGCGGTTTCGCTTTCCTCCCCTTCAGCTCCTGATTCGCCATAAAGTGCTTTCATGATGCCCTCACAGAACCCATGAAGGAAGCCACGGTTTACAGCCTCCGCAGTCACGTCGACCAGGAACAACCACCGTAACCCGACGGGCTCCTTCGACCAGTATTCCTTGGGCACTAGGAAGTCGACAGTGCCTAGAGTGAGCTCTGGACGCTGTAGTCTGTCTATCCGGACGCCAGATTGATCTGTAGGCGCAAAATATTCACCAGGAACGTCTCCCGGGTAGGTACACAAGTTACACACGACCTTGTTTCCACCAGCCTTGAACTGCATGAAGGGATTGATGTATGCTCGACATCTTGCACACCTTGGTGGCCCCGTCTCACCAAAGTCCAGTACGGGTATGGGTTGCTCTCCTTCTTGTTGAGGAGCCAGCGGTTGCAGAATCATGCCAAGCGGCAACGAGGTCGCAGAGAGGGCTTGCGCAGTAAGTGGAATGTTGTTCATCGTCAATCGGGCAAACTTAGGTGAAGAATTGCCCTGGTCAAAGGCGACGAAGGGAACCGTAGCGGGAGGGGGCAGGTGGTGCTCCATGGTTGGGTAAACATTTTCTAGGTAGTATCTTGCTGGCGCATCTCGCGACTTCGGTATGCTAGGTATCTGCTCGGGGTCTACACGTCCTTGAGCTGATCCGACCGCCGCTCCTCCAGTCTGGTGTGGTGGTGCTGGCGTTCTCGCAGCATATTGCATGGGCGAAGCTTGCGCTCCAGGAGAGAAGATGGGGTTCACGGGCGCGGGAAATTGGCTCATAGCGGGGGTAATCTGGGGCTCCATCCATTGCGCTCCTCCAACTTGCGGCGAGTTATGGTTTAGGAACTGTGACGGCGTACCATTTTGGGGCGAGCCAGCAAATGGTTGTGAATTCCCTCCAGGCCCCTCGAGATTATGATATGCATGTCTGTTCTTCTTCTTATTCTTAGGCTGTGCTGCTTGATCCACGCCCAATCCAACTGCCCCCATCTGCCCCGCGAGGTTGTTCACATCTTGGTCGCCCTGATACTGCTGTTGGCCCTGCAGAGCCGCCTGGTCTGGAAAGTAACTTTCCTGCTGGACTGGCGTGCCGTATTGCGCTGGCGTGCCGGCGTACTGATTCGGGGGTGGAGCCATTGCTGGGCTTCCCGTCTGTTGGTAGCCAGCAGGGCTCGCAGCGACTGGTGGGCGCCACGTGTTGGGCTCGTCTTGCCTGCCGTTTGCATTCGGAGGATTTGGAGAGCCAGTGCCCATGGCGTGGTACCCGGCGTAGTCGGACATGGTCGCGGCGCGGGGATGTTACGGAGGATTCGATGGACGGGACGATTCGACGCGGGTCAGGCGTGTGGCGGAGGAACAACGGGGCACGGAGTGGTACTATAGATGACCATATCACGGGGCGGGCATGCTGGGGTGAATGTGTGCACAGGCGAAGGGACAGATCTCGAGGAACCAAGGTTGATGATCTGTCTATTTTCTAGACCTCTACTTCCATCGAAAGAGCGCGTCCGTGCGCGCTTCCACATGCAAGAACGAGACAGGGTCCATTCACTCACGTGTCACCAGCAGACTCGGAATGTTTCCGTCGAGGAACGGTGTGGTCTGTATTATCGAGGGCGACAGTATATACAGATGATCCCCTCTGTTCATCCAATGGCACAAAACCTTCGTACCAATAAACATCCAAGTATACCAAAAGTGACCCGTCGGGAATCACTTGGCACTTCAATTGCCCGTGCAATACCTCGTGGCGGGACCATGTAAACAATGTCCCTGTGTTATCCCTTGGCAGCCCATGGGTACGAATACCGCGCGCCCTTGGGGTGCCGGTCGAAGTGGCCCAGACTATGAGCTGCGGCCGTTTACCATATTCATGTTTGAACTCTCCGTGCCTTATTCCAGCTTATCCAGGTGTGCCAACCGCGTCAACACAACCTGTTTGCTCGTCTCTTCGATCTCGCCTGCCAGGAACACTTCGTCGAGGATCGCATACACCTTGTAGAAGTTGAACACCAGATCCAGCTCACACACATTGCCAAAGAATGCATCTAACACCTCCACAAAGAAGTGGATAGCTTCTAGATATGCCAGTTCGTTATCATTTGTGTCGACGCATGCGCAGAAGAAGAGGCCAGCGTATCGGCGGTATATGATCTTGGACATGTTGCGGAACTCGACGAAGTTGGATTGATGTTTCTGGTCGCGGGGTGCGATAAGGCGGTGTACCTGTAACGAGTCTTAGTCTTATTTGGAATATCGATATGTCGAGGTTGGAGGATGGCTGCTCGGAGGAGTGGTAGAGGGAGAGAACCGCTGTGGATACATGTTTATGTAGGAAGGTGTCGCATACCTCGCCCTTTAGCTTGATCTTCTCCTCATCCTACACAGCGATTAGCAACTTCATCTGCCAATGGACTTTGACGTCTCGACTTACACTGTACGGCGCATACCACTTCGCCAGCCGCGTCTTCCCTCTACACGGCGCAACACATTAGTCTCCGGCCCCTTCCAAACCAACATACGGACTTACTGCCTGTTCTGAATCAGAATAAACGAAAGCACCATCTTCGCAGTGTGCCTCGTGGAATCAGGCTCGGCGCGCTGTAGGAAGAAAGAGAGAGAGAGCGCAGGTGTGACAATGACGGCAAGCCGCGTGCTTCCCTGCAGCGTTCAGGGCTCACTTCCTGTGAAAGGAGCTGGCTCGTGCGCGGGACAGGCACAGGTCCATCCCTGCAGGAACGTGGGCGGACGGAAGTCCACTTTTTAGCCGCAACACATCGTAATGGGGTTCTCTTTTGTCATGACAATGCAGCATTTTGCAATTTGCATACTCTTATTTGTCTGGCACATATGGTACTCTTATGGGTCGTTGACCTGCAAAGGCCCGAACAAGTGAACGGAGGCTATGTTTCACACTGGATAAGACTGATAGCCCACCCCTCTACTTTGCACACGATGCAACGGGGCAAAACCTTCTACCAACATGTCTGATTCGTTGAGACTGACCTGGTCCTCCAATTCCGTTGTCACGTGTCTCGGCACCATAGGCTTTTGTCCAACACAGTTCTTGTCAGTCGTACTGTGCACTTTGGAGCGCGACTTGACGCGTCGATATCGTCTTCTGCTAACCAAGGCTCTGAGAGAGCCTACAGTTGACGTGTCAGAATGAGTTGATAGAGGTGTGTCACCTGGGCAATCAAGAAGAGCTGGGTCGATGGTTTCCATGGCTACATCGCCATCGCTGTCTTTCTCATCTGAAGTGTTACCGCCCTGTTCCTGTGTCTTATTCTTCTCCGTGGTATTGGAAAGCTGACTGGCACCGCGTTCACCAGCACTTTTCCGGCGCTCCGCGCTTGCTAGGAGTGTGCCTCAAAAGTCGGTCTTGTCCGCTTGCCTCGGTGTGTGTATATTACCACAGCTATGGCGCGTGAGTGTGCTTCGGGGCATGAAATTGACAGGAGCAGTTAGTGACGGCATGGAGTTGACTTCGATACTAGGGAAAGACGTTTCGACAGGTGTGTGGATACCGAATCGCTTACCCCAACGACACTCGGACGGGTAGTCACACGTGTTCCAACAATCTTGCTGCCTTGGGAGTTTGTTCTGGCTATCTGCCTGTGAACCTGTATATGCTATGGCCTTGCATTTTGAGCCACCTCGTCGCCATCGACCCACAGTCTTCCAACCGGAGTAATCAAACTCACTGGCGCAGGCGCGATGTTTTCGGGATTTACGTGGGCTGCTGGACTTTTTTACAAATTTGACGGCGGTAGCGCCGCTGCAAAAATGGTGCCCATCTTCGAGACAGCGTCGTGTCACGCCTAGGCGGTAGCTGTGACGGCATTGGTGGCACTTCCACATCCATGACAAGGGACTTGTTGGCGCCTCGATAGGAGGTTTTGGATAAACTACAACGCTTTGTTGATTCGCCTTCTCATCTCGTTGTCGGTTTGGAAGAACAGGTGTAAGAGGCGTGCGCGGTGAAAACGGCGAAGGTGGTATGGAGAGAAATGAAGGTTTGAAAGGTGCTGCAGAAATGCGGAGAGGATATCGCAACTGATGGTAAGGCATCTCAGACGTTTTTGGGGTCGAATGGGCTCTTCACTAAAAGTGATGGCTGACCAAGGTATCTACAAACAACAGTTGTTCGTTTCAAAAAATCTTACAGTGGTTGTTGCAAGTTGATCGTTCGTGCAAACTTGATAGAAACATGAACTTTACTAGCTTCCACCATCGAGCAAAATCTGTCTTTTCTACAGACATCCCTAATGTCAGGTGCTCTCGCAGCCTGAGCTGCGCTACTTCTTTGAAACATGGGCGAAGAGTTGTGATGGGCGTCGACAAAGCTGTGTTCGACAGTGGCCTTTGTTATCGCAACCCGGTTTTACGCTATGGTGGTCTTGTGCAAACCACGCGGCGGTTCCTTTGTCTGATATTCTCGCCTCGAGGATCTGTTGCTAACGTCACAGCCATGTGTTCGCTTTGTTCGCTTGAGCATGCGGACAGCATACCTAGGTAGCATCGCCTTGTTAGCGTGTTCCATCCCTTTACTTACTTGAAGCCTATGACTGCATGTCTCAATTCTAATTCTGGATCACACCACCAAATGCCAGATCAGCTCTTAGCCGGTGGTGGAGTTGTGCGGAATCCACGTATATGGCAGGCATCTCAATCTCCACACAAGGCACAGCCTCCCCCACACCCACCCGCCCCTGCGGGTACCTATGCTTACCCAGAGATAAGGTCGCAAACGACGCGATTTTCAGATCGGCGAGGTATGGTAGTTCCCGTGCTTTAACATTTGGTGTTGGGATCGAGACCAGTGAACGTCGGGAGACGAAGCCAACAAGCTTGGCATGAAATGGCTGCGGTAGCTGGACCAGTGAACTTCCGTATGTGGATAATGAAGGTGATATGGAGGGTATGCAATCTGCCCAAATGTTCCTTGATGTCGAGATAAGAAAGGGTTGGCATATTAGCGACATCGTGACGGGCGGTGAGCATCAGCGATTCCTACGACGAGAGTCTGCATCGACCTACATCCTGCATCTGTCATGATTAGCTTCGGTGGTAGCGCGGTGCTCTGACATCATCTTACTAGACAATCCGGGGTTCAATAAACATTGTCGATCGCCGTCCTGGAGGAGCGGGAAAAGATAAGGAAACATGGAGAGTTGGCTTGGCATAATTGCATGGTAAACGCCTTGCGACAAAAGAAGTAAGTCGATCAGGCTTAGATTGATAAGGAAGCTGGGCGCTGCGTCCAATAATGTTCCGAGTGCTTAACATCCTTTGAATAGTCTTGTAGGGATTTGGAATAAGCAAGTGAATATGTTGACATAGTAAGGTGTTCAGTGTATCCATTCTCGAATTATGTACAATACATGGGTAAAGAAAAACTAGTCGAAGGTCTAAAGTATATGTCAAAAAGCACAGCTCAAAGACGGGAGCACAAGTGGTATCTCGAAACAATTTTGACTCAAAAAGGTCGCAAGCAACAAATCCAAATCTGCAATGCAACAAAAGCTTAGGTTTGAACCTGCTTCTCGTGCTCAGAGCCCATGGCCATAGCATGTCTGTCGCCTGCAATGCCAGTGTGCTCGTGGCCTGAGCTGTGTTCCGAAGGTGCCTTGCCCTCAAGCATCTGGCTGTGCTGGGGAATACCGTGACGCTCGCCTTGGGGTACAGAGTGCTCGCCGTCGATTGGCTCGCCCTTGGCAGGTGTCCAGGCGAGGTAGTCACGGCGGACCTCAACGTAGTCGTAGGCGAATTCACCGAGCTGGTCGTCGTCCATACCGAGGAGCTCAGCCTCCTCAGATGCGCGAAGCTTGAGGCCGGGAATCTTGTCGATAACGAAAGCGAGGATGGCAGAGACGACGAAGGAGTAGGCGGTGACGGCGACGATGTAAGCAATCTGCTTGTAGACTGCGGCTCCCTCACCGGTGATAGCACCAGCGGCAAGTCCGTTGTTGACACCGTCAAGACCGATGATGTAGTCGGCACCGAAGATTCCGTTGAAGAAAAGGCCCCACATTCCAGCGACACCGTGCTCAGCGAACACATCGAGGGAATCGTCGATCTTGATCCAGAACTTGACTAAAATTCAGTTAGCGAGCAGTACGCGAGGGGACTTTTCTAAGAATACGTACTCTTGGTGGCAAAGTTAGCAACAATACCAGTAGTGATACCGAGGATAACACTGGCCCATGGAGGCAGGAAACCAGAGGCGGGAGTGGCAGCGACAAGTCCGGAGATGACACCTGAGCACCATCCGACCATGGACCACTTGCGAGCTAGGCGCCAATCGAGGAGAACCCAAGTCATGGCGGCGAACATGGCGGTAAGGTTGCTGTTCCAGCACGCCATGACAGCGCGAAGGTTGGCACCGAAAGCGGAACCACCGTTGAAGCCCAACCAGCCGAACCATAGGAAGACAGTGCCAAGGGTGATCAGGGAGACGTTGTGAGGGCGGAAGTTGAGCATCATCTTCTCCTGGCGACGTCCGAGGATCATGGAGTAGGCCAAAGCTGTGCAACCGGAAACGATCTCGACGGGACCACCACCAGCGTAATCAAGTCCACCCCATACGAAGAACCAGCCGTTCGAGTTCCAAGCCCAGTATGCGACGGGGCAGTATACGATCGTGGCCCAGAGCCAGATGAAAACCATCATAGGGATCAAGCGACCGCGCTCAGCAACGCAACCGACGACAATGGCAGCAGTGACAGCGCAGAATTGCATCTAGAGACGTGTTAGTGCATAAGATCACAATATGATAACGTTTGCCATACCTGGTAGAAAGAGTACAGTAGCTCAGGAATCAGAGGACTACCTGGGCTGGGAGCACCAAGGACACCTTTGAGACCGAACTTGTCAAGGTTTCCGATGAAACCGTTTGTCGAGGGGCCGAAGGCGAGCGAGTATCCCCAAAAGTACCATTGGAAAGTTATGACGGACGCGGAGAACATGCAAGCCCAAATGAGGGAGAGGGCGGACTTTCTTCGAGCAAGACCGGAGTAGAGGAATGCGAGACCAGGAATCATGATCAACACCATGGCCGAGGCCACGAGAATGTAGGCCTGGTCACCCGCGGCGTACCATTGGTTAAGGTTCTCGGTGACTGAGGTTTACAGGTTAGTGTTCTGGTTGTGCAAGATACGTGTTGCGCTCGGCACGTGCGCAAGTAGCATATGGGAACTTGTACTCACGAGAATCACCACCAGTGATATCATCGGTGCCATTGAATTGGGCCGGAGGGCCGATCCACGAGTACGACATGGTGGGCGTGTCCTAAGGAATCGACGGGGTACTAAGGATATACGGGGTCCTTGAGTACTATGGGGAAGGAGACGATTCCACGGTAGGGCCTGTGGAAGGGAAGAGAAGGGGATTAAAAGCTGGATCGGTGCCAGTAATATACGGCTGCTACAGGGAGAAGTCGGAAGCCCTACTGTAGATTACGGTAGATGCGCCGGGACCTTTATGGGTGGAACTTGCTGTACTACTCTTATCTATCCTGGTCCACGGGCCAACACTTGAGGCAAAATAGACGAGGGTACATCACCCACAGCCGCGACCGTCGTGGGGTTCGCGTTAGATCCAGCCATGGAGCTTTGTTCTTTTTCTGCCGCGATTGATCGCACCGCTGCGTCATTGCTGCTCCTAACGATCTAACGCCTTATCTCGCCGCGCGCGCAACATGCAAACATGTGACGGAGAGGCGTAGCAGATAACAAGCAACACCCACACCGGCGGCCACGTCGCTTCTGTCTGTAGGGACAGGCCTCGCAGCGGCGCCTCTCTGGCATGGGCTCAACATGAATTCGCATATGCTATTGCAGGCAACTCCAGTTTCATCCGGGGCGGAAGGCTTGGCGAGTGGGTGGTCAATGTTGCGTGGTGTCAATTGCATTTCTGGCCAAAGATAAGAAGTCGTTGTCGCCCAATCAGCGCCCACCTCGGATGCTGCGCACGCTAGCTGCTTTGGGTGCCGCATCTTCGCCGGCCGCCCTGCGACGCGTTCTCACTAGACACCAGCGAACGCCACCCCGTCCCTGACGATTTGTTTATGCGATTCACGTACGTTGTGTGCGATAAGACGACCACGGCGGTTTGCTCGCCATGCTCCTCGCGTCTAGTGCTCCTCACCCCAGAGTCTCGCGACATCGATCCACGACACGACAGTCGGGCGAACATCGGGCGCCCAACCAACTTTGAGAAACCCAATCTTTGGGTTTTCTGGTCTTGCCGTTGCGACACGGCGCTACTTACGCACGCCCTGCAGAAAGACCGCGGCGTGCAAAATCCGGCTATGGTTGAGCAGATCGAGACACCCGTCCGACCGGCCTGCATCTGTGGTTCTTCGACTGACCGCGGCCACTGTGGTACCAGCCAGTAACAGGTACCCACACGGTCAGCAGTCTAACCTCGTCAAACGCCCAAATTGGGACTATTTTCAGACTATTCTCTCAGTTATTTCCAGTGAGCCGGGCTACTTGCCGGAGAGTAAAGACTATCAGACCCTGTTTCCCGATGGCCATGTCCTCGAGCGTCCCAAAGGTGACCTGGATACGCCTGTCAACAACGTGGACCGCCATTAGAGAAGCAATGCAATCAATGCCCTTTGTCTCTGTGTCTCCACGGCTGACACGAAACAACGTCAAAGTGGCATAAGCAGCTGAAGCCGTTGTGTTCTTTTGCACCACGAGCCGTGGGGCGTGGCAGGAGTAGGGCTCAGCTGCATGTCAGCCTCCCGTACCCGCCCGGCGACCCTTGGCGGCAAACTGTCGCGAAAGCATGTGAGTCTGCTCCCCAGAAGCGAGGCGGTGGGGCTCGTGGCCGCCGTGGTGGGCTCGTGGAGAGGTCGATACTGTAGTACATCCTTCTGGCGTGGGGAAACTGGAATTGGACACAACAGCATCGTTGGCTCTCACGCGACTGTCCACTTTCCACAATATTTCACACCCTTGATTGACATTCCGCGCCAGCATTATTGACGTGTGGGATTGCACTTGTTTATCTTGAATGTATCGCAGGTTGTGCAATTCCAGCACGTTTCCAAGGATGCGAAAACGCGCCGGGCCAATGACGGCGCTCCGAAGCCGGAGCCCTGACTACGCGTCTGAAGTAACCTTGGATCGGATCATTGGTGCATCGTGCCCTATCAATTCTCCGACCGGTCCTGTTTCGCTGACGCCGGAGTATATGTCTTATACTGATAGCTTGGTGTAAGAGCGCGTCAGCTTGGCTGCTCCTTTTGCTCTTTCATTGACGTGTGCCCTTTTACTATCGTGCTGGGCAATATTGTTGGCGACAACGAAAGTTCAGTAGAGACGCCGACCTAAAGATACTACGCAGCCAGTTCGCCATCGATCGCCGTTCATTCCAGTGTCACGAATCGGCTAACTAGCTGGGAAGAATCTCGAGTTTTACATTTCCACAATTATACACAATGCACACCTTACGCCCCACCCAGGTCGTTTCTCGAGGCGCCTGTGCAACGCGAGTAAGTCTGCGGTCGCATGCAGTTCTCCGTCGGATGACGAACAGCAAACATGCCGAAAATGTACAGATTCCACAATCAGCACTTCGCAAGAGTCGACCTAGACAAACACTCCGTACCAGATGGTCCAACAACCCTCTTCTCTCGCTAGTCGCGTCGCGTAGCTAGACCGACGAACCGCCATCTATCGAGATGTTCTGCCCAGTGATACTTCTACTCAGCGCCAGCACTCTGACCTGATCCGCACAATCTTCCACTGTAGCCAGCCTCTTCAACTTGGTGTTGTTGATCGCAGCATTACGCTTCGCTTCTGGAAATTTGAGCCCCCATTCTGTGAGTAGCATACCCGGACTGATGCTGTTCACACGAATCTTCGGTGCCAGAATGACAGCAAGACTCTTTGCAAGATGAATTTGCGCTGCTTTGGTAACAGCATAAGGAACGCTGCTTCCACTAGGCTTCACACCCGCCACACTCGCTGTCGAAATAAAACATCCTTCGTTTTCGGCCAAGGCATCTTTCGCGGCATATGCCAGCCACATGTGCGTTTTTACGTTCATGGTGAAACACTTGTCCCAGTCGTCGTCGTTGACTTGCTGCTCAATATCGGTAAAGGTCGTCATGCGCGTCCAGCCTGCGTTAGAAACGACGACGTCCAATCGGCCCATCTTTTCGATTGTTTCTTTTACAAGATTTTGGACTGACGGTTTTGAGGACATGTCTGCTTGAACCAAGTGGAAGCGTGGATTTGCTTCTGAGGATGGGCCTGGTATGGATGATAGTTCCTTCATGAGAGATTGTGCCCGATCCGAGTTTGATGAATAGTTGATTACCTAGGTGATGTTAGCTACCACTCTCAGTCTTCAAACATGGGGGGGGATATGTGATTCGAGGCGTTTTAGACATACCACACGGAAGTCTGGCGCAAATACTCGTGCTATCTGTGCCCCCAATCCTGCCGAGCTAGCTGTGATCAATGCTACTTTTGTGGTCGCCATAACGAGTTATTGATGATACAGGGAACAAAGATAATGAAGCGAGGTCTTTTGTTATACATTGGAGAGCAAACGGTCTATATGTATCACCGCGGGGTGGACGCGCGGGGTTAGCGTTCCGTCATGTGGATGCAGCTGCGGAACCATTCCGTAGACACTTGGATATCTCAACAAGACCTTTCCGTTTCCCGAACATAATCCTGTGTTAATGCGACTCATCGTCCAGAGAAAACACACCCCATTCTTCGCGCTCTTAGCTCTTCTCTCGTTTCACTCATCTCAGTGTCACCCTTTCCTACGAGCTCTGATGGACCGAGCTCATGAATCCTGTATCCATCTGGATGGTACTTCTCATCTCCTGGAACGGCGCCCCCAATAAGTCGCAGTAACAACGCCTTCGGACCCCATCTCGTGATGAATTTTGGCTTTATATACCATGGGTGAGCAATGTATTGGCCGAAGTGAGCACGTCCAGTCTTTCCATCGAGTTCTGTGAACCATTCCTTACGTAGGAAGTGCGGTCGAGGGAGAAAGAAGTTTCGCAATGCGAATTTCCGAATCTCGACGACAGCTTCAAGGATCTGTGTGTATACGGCTGGTGGTTGTGGCAGCCTGGGGCATGGTCAGTATGGTATACACATTATGCGAAAGGGCTTTTTTTTTACTCACTTCATCGCCTTCTGTAAACGTGGCTCGAGCAACGAAGAAGCTGTGGTGAACCCATACGGTTTGAGAATGGAAGGCACATTGAACAAGGCAATGTCGAACGTGCCGCGAGCGAGTGTTGCATTCGTATCGGCGGGCACCATATTCTGATTTTCGTACCCCAGGCTCCACGCCTCCAATTCTTCGAGCCAGTGTAACCCGTCTCGCCACCCTTGGTCCGCAGAGGGTAGAGTATCGTACGATATCTTCATCGCCTCACCCAGATCTTTCCAGTAGACGCCCATGGCACATCTCTCAAAGTCCGTTACACCACGCCACTCGTATTTGGCCGTCCATCTGATTGGCTCGAGCACGAAAAGACTAAGGGTGTATAACATATCGTCATTCGATATCTTCCCAGCCTTGATGTATCGACCATGAAGGTAATTCATAAGTGCTATGCCACTAATCGCTCTTTCAGAGTCCGGTTTGTTTAACACTACCTCGGTGATCACGACACCAGTATCCGCGGCCCGTTTGGATGCAGTTTCAGAAGCTGACAACTGTCCTGTTGCGACCAGCAGCTTAGAAATGCTGGGGATGCCATAGGTCTTGAAGAGAGCGAAGAACACGGAAACAGAAAACACGGTTGGGAACTCTAATTCGGCAAGAGTGAGCTGCATGGAATGCGCATCTTGAAGTGTCATACGGCTCCACGACGAGCGATCAGGGTACTGAATAGTCTGTCAGAGTCTTGGTTCCATCAGTGTTGGCCATACTTTGCTTACATTGAGGCGACGAGAAACGCTATCACGACGTCTATAACGAAGAACGCGAACAAGAAGCCAGTAGGCACCGAGAGCGGTACATATCCAGATTTTAGATGTGGAAAAGGGGAGAAGCATAGCTATGGCGTAAGCTGACAGTTTGAACTCTGTCGCCTCGGCTGCGTTGGCTCTCGTTCTCGTAGCCTACCTCAGTGGGATGAAGGTCTAGGTACGCTGAGCATGAATCGGTCGATACTGACGAAGCTGGAAATTGACGCAATTGTACGCGGTATGAGACTTCTTGTACTTTCCTTCCGAAAATATCTGACGTCGATTTAGGTAATGAAGTATGGATGGCGTGAAGGCGCGTAAAGATGGAGGTGGCTACACAAGGCTCAGATAGGCTAATACAATCTAGGGAAAGTGCTCCTTCCGTCTGCCCCACACACCAGGCTGGAAGCGCGGAACAGTCTGAGATATCGAACTGTGCCACACAGTTGAGGGGAACATGAACATCCAACCGAGCCGTCTCTGGCTATTTTCCCCATTAACTTACTGGCGTAGATTGCAGTACATCGGCTTTGAAGTAGGTTTCTAGCTCAATTGTAGGTATCACGGGATTTGCGAACTCCTCGGAGTGTGAACCTAGGTATGCGTGTAGTTTACTCCCACGATTGATAAGTGGATGACAGATCCCTCTTCCAAACCTTTCTAATCGATGTATGGCACATCCAGCAGAGCTAATAATATCTAGGCAGCACCAATGACCGGCCTTCGCGACCCCTATGTCCACCTTTTTGGCCCCATTCCAACTCGCTGGGACGGGTCGTTGCAGCCATGGGCGCCTGTCGCTTATAAGATCTCGCTTTGCCAGTTCGATGATTGGAGAATCACCACACACATCTTATCCCTCCGGCTACACGACATCGATTCCAGTCACAAATGTGTCTCAGCCTTGCGCCCCCGCGGGTTGCGTTCAACCTTCTATGATGCATCACCGTCTGCAACGCGCTGAGGCGCTCTTCTGGCATAAGTCCAGTTACCCTCCAGCTTGAAATCTTATGTGCTCGACCATGTTGAACTGTCGTGGTGCTGATTCTACTCTCGCTCAGCTCTTCTCCGGCGCGTCACAGCTCATCGGAAGCGATAGAACATCGATATCCCCTCCTGTGAGCCTTGTACATTGGATCCATGTCTAACAGCACAATCACCACACTCATGTCCCGCCGAGGCTGGGTGGGCGGACCAGACGAGAGAGGTACGCTTGATATCGTCTGGAGTTGCGTATCAACTCTGTTCATCTGCCTTTGGAGTATGCTACACCTAAATATACCCTCCCCAAAAGACACTTTCTGGACTATCTTCTGGCGCAAGGCGCGTTGGCTCTTACTTGGTGTCCTAGCACCTGAAGTGCCCATGCTCTTCGCCGCTGGTCAATGGGCCTCCGCGAAAAGGTCCGTCAAGGCTATGCGAGATATGGGTTTCGACGAAGAGGAATGGTCGCTTGAGCATGCCTATTACGCAGACAGCGGTGGGTTCGAGTTACGGACTGTTGACCGCGAGGCAGTTCCCATCACCGCCAAACAGGTCCACTATCTGATCGAACATGACATAATTACCCTACCAAGAGTCACTAAGAAAGAGATATGGGACAAGAGCAATGCAGACAAGGTCGCCAAATTTCTTGCCTGTTTCCAAACCGCATGGTTGACAACACAAACAATTGCGCGTGCGATACAACATCTCGCTATCACACCGTTGGAGTTATCAAGCATCGCGCTGGCGTTGACGTCTCTGACGACACTATGGTACTGGTTGCAAAAGCCTTTGGATGTTGAGACACCTACGCTCGTTTATGTGGAGAAAAGCATGAAGGAAATAGTTAGTACTTGCGACGGTGGTGGCGCAGATCCGTATACGAACACTCCGCTGGACTTCATCGAACCAAATGCGTATATCGCGCGCAAATGGAATCCGCTCCTCTTCAAATGGATACTCAGTCGCAAACTTCAGACCAAACCGATCGAGCGCATTCCGAATGATCGAGATCCGCAGCTCTCCAACGTTTACCAACATCTGTCGCTGGCTGTGGCCACCGCCTCTTTCGCCAGTATCCATCTTGCAGGTTGGAACTTCAGTTTCGAAACCGACTGGGAAGCATGGCTTTGGCGTGGCAATTGCTTAGTGATGTGGGGTCTTCTAGCTACATATGGGACGACAGAAGTTGTGGCCTGCTGCAACGAAAGATTCCAAAAGCTAGGCATGGATACAATGGGAGGTTACAAGATGCGATGGCCTGCATGCCTCTGGTTTATCATACCCGCGTCGCTGTATGCAATGGCTAGACTTGCGTTGTTGTTTGAAGTGCTGTATAGCATGCGCAGTCTTCCGTCCGATGCTTTCGTTGAGGTGAAGTGGTCTTCCTTCATCCCTCATATATGAAATTAAACTGGGTCATGGCAGTTACACATGCCAAGTGACATACCACGGGTCCTGATCGGTAACATCAAGATTGCAGAGAGAAGTACGGGATATTAGCGCTCTATCTTTGTACTCTGTACTGTCCCGTATTTCCGCACTACTCTGTGCCACCCCGCTTCAGTCAAAGTCTTGAGGGTCTTATGAGTGCATTAACAGCAAACTTGCACAGTGTGCAATACAGGTTGAAGCCTACGAATATTACGTCGCCCGTAAATCCATCGGGTAGAAGTGCATAGTCGGGGATTTACCAGCGCTTGTGAGTCTACGCCCGATCTCACCGGTATTGCTGAGCTCAGCGATCGCGCATCCTTTATTGGGCGCACCATTCGCGGGGTGCAGTGAAGGACGAAGTGGCTGACCAACAAGATCACCGCACCTACAAGGCTGAGAATGCACTCGAATTGACAACTCATGAGTGCATACAAGACCCCGCGTCTTGCAATGAGTGACAGCGCACATAATTTGAGCCTCATTTTTGAAGTGATGGCTGATGTGGATAAAGGGAGGTATTTCCAAGGTTGGTCCGGCTTTCCTCTAAGTACCAACGACCGCCATCTAGTGTCTTTGCAACATGTCTGTGAGCGACAACTCCACCTTGGATGTATCGCATGAGAGCGACGGTATGGGCGGGTACGCGTATGGAACGGGGGACATGGCCGTCAGCTCCGAAGAGAAATCGTAAGTTACATACCACCAAACATCTGCAGAGAGGTACTGATGCTTTCAAATAGCCCATATGCGACCACACAGATAGTCGCACTGGACGTCGGACCAGAACCGACCCGGTTTCTTGTACACGATAGCGTCTTGAGCCGGAGCAAGGTTCTTGCGGCGAAGTCTTTTCCAGTGGCTTTCGTCCAACAACCAGTACTTCTTCCGGAGCTGGACCAGAACACAGCACATACTTTGATCCACTTCTTGTACACTGGCAAATTCCAAAGCCTCAGTATCTTGGCGTCTTCCGACAAGATAATCCCCGAGTTGTACAAACTGGGTACCAGTGTATATTGCGCTGCTGCTCGTTATAAGTTACCAGGCCTTGCCGAGTTAGCCCAGAATAAGATGAAGTCTCTCGACGAAGAAATGAGCATCTTCGATATCCTTTCTGTAGCGAGAGATGTTGCATTCCCTCTTCTACCAGAGGATGATGTGTGGTATCCAAGCTATGTCGAAGATTCACTCAACAACGCCATGGCAGATGATCCAGAACCATTCCGAAAACCAGATTTTATCACATCAGTGGGATCTGACAGCAAGCTCTTGCAACTTGTCTGGAAGACTGTGATGAACAACTACGCTCGAGCGCCAGCGACACCAGCAGCCAACAATGAGGAAACCAGCACTCCAACAGCTGAACTTGTGCCGGAGCTACAGGAATCGACCGGTGATGAAAATGATGTCTCTGCAGTTGTGCCACAAAAGACCGACGAGGCAGATGAATCCGCAGTAACAGCAGTTTCCGTGCCTGCTCCAAGAGACGACGTTACTGAGGCGCCCGTTGTAGAAGACATCATTGTTCCAAAGCCCAGCAAGGATGTTGTTCTGAAGACAGAAGACGCTCAACCCACAGAGGAAAGGCCAGCAACGCTTGAGCCCTTCACAGACGAGCTAGACTTCAAGTCCTCAAAGACCTACCAACAGATGGGTAACAAGAAGCCAGAGCAAGTCAAGGCTGGCGATATCTCCTCAGGAGAGAACAAAGCACCTGTTCACGTACGCTCAGATTCCGTGGTACAGGTCGAGCAGCCTTTGATGACTCCTGTTGACGGACAAACGAAGGCTGATGGTGGTGCGCTAGTAGTAGATGAACCCGAGCAGGTAGTGAAGACCGAACAAGGGGACTCAAACAAGTTGGAGGATGCTGTCCCGCTAAGCAAGAAGGACAAGAAGAAGAAAAAGAAGGCGGCGAAGGCAGCTGCCACCGAGTAGGATCGCAATATGTGAAGATTCGTTGAAGCAAAGCATATACAATCTAAATACAATAAGCTTGATGATCTGTCGCAGAATGTTCAAGGTATTTTGAGCTTGTTGTAACTGACATTGACTCGGGTTCCATATCTATGATGTGTTATAATGTTGATACATTGCGAAGCTGTAGGAAAATAGGATGAGGGGCGCAGTGGCCATGTGATTGTGGCTCATCTGTATTGTTTTGCTCGCCGCCTCTAGGCCGCATTCCACTACAAATGCCCATGGTGGGTACTTGAGTGAAGTTGTGCGTTGATGATGTGGCCAACGAGGCACTTCGAATTACGTACCTAGGTAGCCACAACACATGTTCGTACGCTAAAATGACCCCACCATCCCCATACTTCCAATCCACACGTAAGGTTCTTCCAGCCACAGCCACAGTATGTTGGGCGGCGAAGCCTGTACGGACGCTCCTGTCACTATCACCACCTCGGACAGCTTCCAAAGGTCACCACCGCCGCCCGTCACTACCGCCCACCAGTCGTTCGACTCGAAGTGCTAGATACCCTGGGTCCACGCCTCTTCCGAGAGTCCGATGTATATGTTTTTTGCTGATATCGGCGAACATCCGCGATATCCACCCAGTTAGTCGTGTTCGATCTGGTACGGACGATCACGAGCTCTTGGTCTGTAAAGTATCAGCCTTGTCCTATGGGAAAGATGCTCACGCCAAACGTGCCGTTCGTGGGTATTCTCCCCCATTTGTGCCTCCAGAAGTCCGATCCCTTCATACGGCTCTTGCAAACCATACCCATGCCCAACAGTAGCAACATAACAAACAATAAAACTATAGCGAAAATAGCCTTTTTGGACCAAGACTGGTTCGTTTCGATGGTGGCAGCGGGACTTGTCACTGAGAGAAGTCAGCATACGCGTAGGTGCAGAGTCTGTATCACAGTAGATCCAACAAGAAGTTCACCCCAGAGTGTGCGTAACAAACACTAGGTAACTATATCGAACTGCGACGACGTACAATTTGTAGACATGGCTGTGTGGCGTGGTAACCTTGGAAACAATCTCGGTCTATGTACTGCTGCGGTTATAGAAGAGGATGTCGACTTAATTCGGTGAGCACTTGAACTGTGCATAGGTGGTGTACAGAACAGAACACAGCAAAGATGTGTGAGGTTTAGTGTTTAAAAGGAAGCGTGACGATGACGGCGGGCTGTATGTACAGTTGCTCGGACTATGGTGTGTGATGTAGGATTATGCTGCTCTGTTTATGACCTACCAGTAAGATTGAAGCATTTCCTGTGCTAACGAAATTCTAACGCCTTCCGTATGTTCCGAAGCATCACGTCTGACCTAATCTGACTAGCATCCGTTTAGTGTCGTATTAGCTCTTCCCCTTGTTTTTCATTCGTGGTCGGGCAGCTGCGAAATGGTGTTCCATTACCTTTCACGCTCATTACTTTCCAGCCTCATCACCTTCCACGCTGATTACCTTCCAGCCTCATCACCTTCCACGCTCATCACCTTCCAGCCTCATTTCGAGCGTTCCCCGTCACGTGCCATCCCCAGCTCACAACGACTTCGAGTCCTCAATCACTTTTCCTGCAGGTTGATTTTCTGTGTCCTAAGGTTGAAAAATTAGTCAGTCATAAACAATTGCATTTGTTGATGAAAGTCAACGGCTCTGGGATTAATTTCTCAGTGCAAGGGCACTCTTGTCGTCTTTGAGAAGGAGAATCAGATCAAGCGATGTGAAGTCAAACCCGAAACCAGGGCAGTATCGATCAGATCTGGAGGATCAGCCAATGCGCTATCTGTGAGGAAGGGTAGACAATGTAGATTCAGAGTTTTGAGTAGAGAGCAAGAAATGCGAAGGCAGAGAACTTACCGACAAGATGCGTAGAAGGGCGGCGCGTCAAGACAAAAAGGGGTGACCAGTCATGGACCATCGCACACTATCACTTTTACCTAATTCATGAAATGATTTTCCATGCACGTTTCTCGGCTGAGAATCCTTACCTACGTACTGCGATGCCTGCTAGCATGATGCGACAAACCACACGAGGTCTTCAGCCTTCCAAGGGTGCTCCTATGACACACTGCAAGACAGTAAGGCGTATGTATCACGGATACGATAAGTAAAGCTGCAACCTATAACCTCGTATATAGAATCTCTACTTGATTTACATTTCTTCTTCTGTGATACACCATTGTGAAGGCATGATTGAAAAACGAGGCTGCGCGTTTCTGTTCTGTCACTGGAAGACTGAATTCAGTCCGGGACTACTCTTTGCAAACCACTTCCCTCGATCCTTCTGAATCATCACTGACGCCCATCATTCATTCGGCTCGAAGATCGCAATAGCCTGGGCCCGCGCCTCAATCGAAGCATCGATGTGTATGTATCCTGCTGATATCTACGAACGTCAGCAATACCTACCCAGCCACGGTTTGTTGATCTGAGGCGGTCCGTCGCAAGCTCCTCATCTACACCCCATCAGCCATGCTAGTGTTAGAGTGCTTCTGTAAGCATACCATCCATCCTCCACCATCTATACCGCATCCGAAAGTTTGATGTCTTCATCAGGCTCTTGCATGCTATGCCCATACTAGACAGTAGCACCATGATGAATAATGTGACTAGGGCGAGAATGGACTCTCTAGACCAACGGCGATCTCCTTCGGCAGCAGCGTTGGAATGTGTTACTGGAAGAGGTCAGCGTACTTATCGAGTGCCGGGTCTGGAATAACGCCAGATTCCATAGAGCCGAATACCACTTGGTACTTTCGAAATATAAACGGAACATGGAGCGGAAACCTACTGTTTGTAGCCATGAGTCCAAGCAGAACATAGACCCACGAAGTATCGTTGGAGTAGAGAGGGCTTGTATGTTCGTTGGGATGTAAAATGCGATGCAAGCTCGCTGAGTGTCAACAACTGCTAGGAGTCGCGAAAGGCTACCTAGGTACAGACTTGATCACGGAAACTCGAACGACAAGAACGAACAAAGTTGTACAAGGCTCCACAACGTGTAGTCAACAGTGAAACAAATATGTTAGTTTGTGGACATCGAAGACGAAATTTGGACTCAGTTGTATACCTCGCTGGAGCAGCACGGGCCCTCACCCGGGGATGGTGTAGAGCCACAAGAGGCAGGCTATGCTGGATGCTGAGGAGCGAGCTCACGGCGATTCGTCCACTTCGGAGGCTAGTGGCGTTGGACGTGCGCTACATGCACAACTGACGTGTTAGAGCAGATCGGGCATTGGAGGAGCAATGATTCCGCTCCTAGAGCCTGACTAACCCTCAAGACTGGCAGCCTGCTCGTGAGACCATCCGAACTCAGTCGGGCTCCCAGGTTTCCGTGTTTCGTGCCTGGAACAGATCATGGCCCACATTCACGTTTATCGCATGCGTCGAATGCTGCGGCTGTTCGCCAATCAGCTCACGGCCGAGGCTGGGGTCTATAATGCGTAAGCACCCATCCACATACTCGATACACTACTACTGTGAACATCGCGCAAGTAAGAATGGTGTTTGTAGTGGAGTCAGCCGAAGGGACTAGGGTTAGAAGCCAGAACATAGTTGCAAGACGGACAGAGAATATCGCTCTCGCATGCAGCCAAGAAGTTGCTGGGATGCGCTGAAGCGAGCACGAGGGCTTGAAGCATGGGACCGCCCGAGTACTATGTACCGGGTCGTACATCTATGGCATGTGGCGGGTGCGGCGCAGGCGACGATACTCTGTAGCGAACCAGCACATGTACCGTCAGCTTTATGACTATAAGAATGCGACTGGTCAATCAACAAATAATGCAAAAAGTCGGCTAATAGCGGTCGCTCTCCTTTGCAAGGCATTTTGATTTGTAGAATCCTGTTCCTGTCGTTGCTGTAAACGCCTGTTTCCTCTGCCTGCCCTATGAAGGTCGATAGTAGTGATCAATGTGACAAGCGATACTCCTCTCTCGACGCCTTTCAAGGAGACAGGACAGTAAATTGAGAGGTACGAAACAGTTCTAAGTAGGGATGCAAACGCAAGGAAAAGCGAGGATACGTGAGGATCCGCAGGACGATGGGCTTCGCAACAAGATACTAACTTATGCGCGATTGGCAGAGGAAAAACATGTTGCACAACTACCAGTCATATGGACAGACGCGGAAAGAACAGTGATATTCAAATTTCTGGCCCAGCGATTGGAAAGTCATACACAAACATTGTGTCAGCCAAACTACTTGTCAAGCTGTAGCCTCAACTGTCGTGCTGAAGTTTCGCACGACGGACTGCGAGGACGGAATTAAATGCGAAAGACGCAAAGCGGCAGTTTGTGTACTTATTTCATTCCCTACCCAGAACTATTCATTCTCGAAGAATATCATACCGATCCTACCCTCAGCGACCCGGCACTTACAGTAGTTACATATGCACCAGGCGCTCAAGGTCATGGAAACAAGGTATATACATGAGCAATCCAGCCCATCCGAAACCCTCCCAGCGGACAGGTAATAGCAAAACTAGTAAATATCCTCAAGACATTATCGACTAAAGTATCTCGCCTCGCCTGCTCCAAGACCGACCACATAGACATGACGGGGGATGGTTTATTGCGAGGCTTCGGGGTATCAGCATCGAAAAGCAAAGAGGTCTGATAGCGACTGGACTTCCACTGCACACCTTATCACAGAGCAAGTGCCTATGCAGAGCATGCAGTGGAAACAGCGGCTACTGAGAATCGAAGCTAAGCGAAGGGAACGCGGTAACAGATTCGCAAGGAAACCAAAACCGCAAGTTGTAAGGAAACGCAAGGAGAACAATAATAATAAGAAACCGCTCAAAACGTTCCTCATAAAAGCACCAGTCTTAGATCAACCCTGTTTTACATGGCCATACCAGGGACCGGCTTTCGACTCGGCATAGGAAGAGGACCGTTGGGGGAAATAGCGTTGGAGTTCATGGGACTAGGCCCAGGAGCTGGACCTCGTCGCGGGTTACCGGCCTGGCTCGCGGAGTTGGATCGAGGACGGCCACCCATTTGAGGTGGGGGAGCCATCTGCGGTCCGCCGCCGTATGGGCCAGGAGACATGGAGCGTGGTGGACCGGCGTAGGGCGCATTGCTGTTAGAACGACCACGGGGGGCACCTTGCTGAGGAGCGTTGCTGTTGGATCGCATGCGAGGGCCTTGCGTTTGCTGAGGCGACATCTGGCGAGGGGACATTTGACGAGGACCGGGGCTACCTTGAGGCATGCCAGGGGAGTTCATACCACTGGCTGGAGACTGAGGACGGGGCTGAGGACCACCGGGACCCATCTGTGGGCGGACAGGAGGGCCGCGCATGTTGCCTTGTGGAGGGCCTTGACGAGGCGGGCCATTACGAGGCTTGACTGGGTGCTTGGAGAGACATGTGCGGGGAACAACACCTTGCTGCGAACGGTCCATACGAATGCAGAGGGCCTGTAAAGAGTTAGTGATGTTGTTTGGTCAGAATAAAAATGCAAACTTACCCAGCCGTCATCGTACTCGTGGAGCATGCGAACGAGTTGGCCAGCGTGAAGATCAAGTTCATCTTGCATGGAAGGCTTGAAGTCAAGTTGAACACGATGTACATTGTTAGGACCAGGACCGGGAGCAGGGCTTTGGGGACGAGCACCAGCCATTGCGCCAGCGACAGGAGGGGGACCGGTAGGGGCTGGGCCAGGAGAAGCAGGAATGTCCTCGGTCCATGCTGGGCTTGCCGGAACGCTGGCATTGTTGGCGACGACTGGTGGTGGAGGGGGAAGTTCAGATTTAGGAGGTGGGCTCGAGGTCGCGACTCCTGCCAGCGCAACCGCGTTCACATCAGCTACAGCGATAGCCGGAGCTGGGTTGGCAAAGTCGGTACTGGGCTGAGTGGAGTGCATAGCGGAAGCCATTGGAGAAGCATCGGGAGGCGAGTCGGGAATTGAAGCTTGCTGGGTATCGACCGCGGCATTGTTCCCGAAGGGGTTGGCTGAAGGAGGGCCGGATTGAGTCTCAGGGTCTTTGAAGGGGTCAGCAGCTGGGGCATTCGCAGCACCACGTCGTTCCCAGGCGCTTGTTGGACGCTCAGCAGAGGCAGAAGGTGAGAGGTTACGGTTCTGGGATGAAGCAGCGGCACCACCGGCAGCAGCAGCAACATTGAGCAAGTTTCCTCCGCTCTTTCGCTGCTCGTTGAAAGCTGGGTCAAATTGGGTAACTGGTCGCAAGCTGAGACGAGGTGCGGTCGAAGCAGTGCGAGCAGAACGGATGCTAGCAGCGGGAGCGGCACCAGCCATAACCTGAGGAGGTGGTGGGTGAGGTGCGTTGTACATCTCGGTCTTCTCATTCTCCTGTGCGGCTGCTGCAGCCATTTGCTTCTTCTTGCGACGGTACAGAAGCAAGATACCAGTGAGTACGGCACATGCGGCAAGGAGTAAACCCAACGCAAGACCCGCCTTCGCACCGGTGGACATGCCCTCCTCAGAGTCTGCTGCGGCGGCCGACGAAGAAGAAGAAGCGGTAGCTGAAATGGTGGCCGCCGTAGCAGATGCGAGACCTGCGATTGATGAACCGGCGCTCGGTGTAGGAGACTTGGTTGCTACCATAAGGGTCGAGGCAACCTTGAGCGAGCTCTTGGTTGTGCCGGTCTCCTCCACGATAAGATCATCGTCAGAATCCTGGGTCGAAGACGGCTTCCTTGCGGTTGTGGTAGGCTTTGTGGGCTTGGCAGTCTCCTCCGGCTCTTCCTCTTCCTCTGTAGTGGTGGTCTCACGAGCACGTGTAGCAGGCGCGGGCAATGCAATTCCTGGCTTCTCGGTTGGTTCTGGCGCGTCGTCTCCTTCAGTCATTACCATGACCTGCGTCACGACCACGACCGGACCGTCATCGTCGTCCCCACCACGTTGCCGGCGCATAAGATGCGCTCCGGCGTGTTGGTGCGCCATGGCGTGCATTATGGCGTATCAACAAGGTAAAGTTGATGTGATTATATCTTATGTTGTTTGTTTGTATGGCTCTCAAGTAATTCCGCCGTAAACTTTACTATGACTAGCTCTTGCGTTGGGGGGTTCCGTGTAGTACGTGATTGGGTATTACGCGCAAGAATGTCTCGAGTGAAGTCGGCTTGTTGTAAGGAATGTGGTGCTCGAAAGGCGCACAGATTTGGATGTCGTATGTTGGGTGAACTAGGCACTATACAGAAAAGAGTGTGTAAGTATGGGTATGTTTGGTAAAGAGTGAAATGCAGCAGGCCGCGCTTGATGAAAGAAGGACAAGACGACAACCTGGCCGCAGGAGTACGTGATGTCGTGAGAGGAATTAGAGAGGCGGCGTGGAGGTGAAAGAGGGTCGGCGCAGGACGCGGCAGAGAGACAGGGAAACAAACGGCAGAGCGCCAACCAAGCTCGAAACGCCCGCGTGCCTGACGAGGCCGAACGATGAGAGCTGATCCGTGCAGCCGTACATCTTGCCGTGATGCGCATTAGCCTGAAGTTAGGGCCAGGTACGCGTCAATCGTGATTGGACCTCTCATCTAATTTCCTGGGGGCATTTGGCGCTCGAGCTATTTTCTGCCTCAGCCTCGCGTTGGTGTGCGAATGGCGGTGCAGACCCCCTTATCGAGGGTGATTATCGGCGCGTTTGAGATGGCGACATGGCTTGAGCCGTGTTGAAGAGATCCTTCATGTCATCATAGTTGATTGAGGTGGTCGATGCGCCTTGTCTATATGTGCCACAGGTGTCCTCGTGGCGCAATATTGCTTTGACTAGCATCGCCCACTGATTTGCCCATTGTGGGTGAGTAGGTCGAAAGAGCAGTGATGTGGCGGCCCAAGGTATATCCTGCGCGACCGGTAATTACCTGCAGATGACAGATGCATGTCTGGGTGCCTCGTGCATGGAGTCGCTTTCCTCGGCCGGTTCCCGTCGAGTCGTAATTTCGCTCGCCATCAAAGCTGCATAAAGACACGGCAGAGCCCGGGCGATGGCAGCATGAACGCGGTAGGCGGTTGCATGTTTGCGATAATGGCTCCCAGCGGTCGCGTGCTTACATCGCGTCTGCGCAGTCCGCGATGTCCTGGGGCATAAGGCAGAGGAGGTGCTGAAAAGAACAGTGACTGACAACCGGAGATTTCCAGCGGTGGTATTAGCAAGAAGCAATGGCAGACCTCCGTCGCGCAAAATCGGTTCTCGAGGTCATTGGCAACGAAGTTTTGTTCTACATCCAGATTGCGCAATCATGCGCGAGTGTGAAGAGTGCAGATGCGGCTACATCGTCACACAAAGCCGTAACTGGACACTCCACAACTCCTGTACAGCCCGATTGCCCTTCAATCCCAGTTGTACTTTCTGGACGACAAATTTTTTCAAACTATATATTATGCTCGAATCGATTAGTCATCATCGAAGCAACTTCAGCCTTCCTAGCTCAGTGGTAGAGCGCGTCACTAGTAATGACGAGGTCGTCAGTTCAATTCTGGCGGAAGGCATTGTTTTTGCGCAACGCTCTCTAATGGTGCACTAAGAAACCAACTGTCGAACTCATTCAGGCTATGTAATGCGCAAAATGGCTCTTGTTTTTGCTTCACCATCAAAAGTAGCGGCGCACTATTTCGTTCACGTGTTGTTTTTCTTCGTGTGCTCATCTAAGCAATCTCCCGTCATCAATGCTGCAAGAAAACCTTACGCTGGTGTTCAATCATCGATCGAGGATATCACATTAGATCATTTAACAAGTCGCTCCGGTTCTATCCAGTCCTTTCTCATTTACCTGTCTTGTATTTTTCTAGTACGTGTGTCCATAAGATTAGATTGTACCGAAGCTCGCAAAGATGCGATCTCGCGACAGGGTACACACGCGGTAAGTAGAGCATGTCGCGAGAAGAGCGACCCCATCACAGTTGCTGAAGATGCGCTCCCGAGTGCTGGGCATCAGATTCGCCAAGTTTGGGAAACGAGGTGGCACACATAATCCCCAGCGGAAGAGGTAGACACAGCAAAGCGTCGCTTTGCGAAGAACTGGGAGACGCGCGCAACCCTTCAAAAGATATTCTGAGTAGTGAGGGAGGAGTTCTTGCATGTGAAGCTTGCCTGCAGCTGGCCTGCAGCTGGCGGGGAAAGAGGCGCCGAAAAGCTGGAGCTTGGGTGCAGAATAAGTGGGGAGGTCTGGATAGTCGATGCGCTACCGGCGTCCAGTCACCGATTCACATAGCTTTCTTGCATCCCATCTTTTTGGACTTCCTCATCATGCATCGAAGCCAATTAGCGACACTCTGAAGCAAGCTAGGATCTTCATCGGAATTGCCGCTTCCGCGTTGGATCATTGTGAATCCAAGATCAACTGCAGTGTCGCACATCCATCTCGGTCCGCCATCAAACTGCCACTCAGGGTCAGAGCTCCATTTGATGGCCAGCGCTGCTCCCATTCAGAACAGGCCATACCGCTCACACAAAGTACCGGCCTGTACACGATGTCGCTCACGCAAAATCCGATGTCATATCGACATTCCCGGGGAACCATGTCTATCATGTCGAGAAAGACGACTCAAGTGTCAATATGTCGAAAGTTCAACAACCAGTTCGCCTACAGATGATGGCTCTGACCGGCGGCCTTCCAAACGACGGCGACATAGCGAGCCTGAAGATGGCCCTTCTCGACCTCGCTCAGCCCCCATCCTGCACAAAACCAACAACAACCCTTCTGCCTCCATCATGCTTGCGCCGCATTTCGCTGAAGACATTGACATCTTCAATCGGCACATCTCCCAGCATCGGAAAGCAGAGGGCGAAGTGGAATCTTCGAACTACCAGACGCTTCTACATGATGCGAAAGACCCAGTTGTGTACTTGACTGTCCCAAGGTTTCGCACAGGTCTACCACCCAACAGTGGTTGTGGAAGAGAGCAATTGGAGATTGTTGAACAGATCATGGGACCTTTCAAGCGCGAAGTGGTGGAGCTATATTTCAACCACATTCATTATCATTTCCCCATCCTGGATGAGGAGATGTGTGAGACGCTGCGCACGGGTCAATATGGCAAAGTACCAAACAACTTGATGTGTGTGATCTACGCACTTGCGTCGCCACACTGGAGTAAATCGGACACGTTAAAGATGCACCCCAAACCGAACTCATACTACGTCTGGAATAAGGGTATCTCGGCGACACTGGAAGACTTTCTTAGTCCTGGGATGTCTACGATACAAGCCGCTGTACTCGATCAGGTTGGGCGGCCTTCTGTTTCCATTATCGGCAATATCACTCTCTGCGGTCGGACGGTTTCTTTGGCTCAGACATTCGGATTGCACAGGGATCCATCGAAGTGGAACATTACGGAGAATGAAAAGTCTGTTCGAATGCGACTCTGGTGGTGTGTCCTCATCACCGATCAGTGGTCTAGTGTCGCATATGGCGCACCGCCATATGTATCGAAAGGCTACTACGACGTCCCCCGGCCGACTGTGACGTCGCTCATTGGAAGTAAGGCGACCTCTCAGCAGAAACAAACTACTACCTGCTTTATATATCTATGCTCTCTGACGGAGCTGCTTGCGGAAATTTTGCCTTTCGTCTACCAGATCAACCCAGATCGAATACAGCTTGCACGGGAAACCGATCGTTTCAAGCAGGAACTGAATGAATTGGAAAGGCAGCTTCCTGAATGGCTACCTCTTCCGAATCGCCCAGGAACGCCTATGCTATGGCTCTCGTTCCTCTCAATCAGGCTGGTACTTGCCCGCGTCATCTTCCGTGCAGCAGTCCTCGACGGAGACGGTAGCATAGGACGGAACAGGATGGATCAGTTACGCATTGCTTCATCGGAAGTTCTTGACTTCATATTGACCATGGGCGAAACGCAATTCCTGGACTTTTGGTTGCCTTATGCGACTCATCTCTTGGTACATGCCATCACCGTCTCGCTTCGTTGCACCGTCGAAACTCAAGACCCCGAAATACGGAACACGTCTGTCGCGCGCCTCCAACGTGTAATCGCGCACATCCAGCATGCGCGAGATAACTATGACTGGGATCTTGCAAATTATGTCTTGGAAAGGTGCGCTGATCCGGTGTCGAAGATTGCATCTTTGAACGCGCGAGAGGTGCCGCAGCCGTCGGAAACGGAGCCCACCAGCATTGTTGCTAATGGAAATGGGAGCGAAGTACCGGTAATGCCCAACTTTGACGACGCGAGCTTCTTATTGTCGGACATATTGGACCCGAACGCTTTTGATTTTTCTTGGGATGCGTTATGGGACACACCATCTGGAATGACAAATTTCTCTCTCTGAGAGCCGTATCAGCGGCGTGTCATCTAGTCATGTACGATCTTGAGTCGTTGGCGTCGGAGTATAAACAAGTACTTTTCATCGCACGTGTGGCCAACACAGGCCGTTTTTCTTGGCACATTCATCCTGCTGCCCCAAGCGGAAAGGAAGGGATGAACTTACCCCGCACTAGCGTTATACTCTCCTGCCATCCTTCAGTGAAGAATTGTACTGCCACCACATCTGCTGAAAAGCATTCCATTGTACGTATATGTTGGTCACAGGCCGTGACCTCAAACTCACTCGATAATGCTCTCAAGAGCAAACGCCCGCGCAGCAACTCGCGATGTCCGTGCAGAGACAACTTTCGAAGCGTCGCGATTAACTCTGGGGCCATGCGAAATTTGCAATCGCATCTTCGCAATTGTTAGCGCTCCTGTCCAAGAATCTACAGAAGAAATATTGGGAGACCTACAGAATCTCCTTCGAGGGGAGTGTACGCATGTTGCTTTATTCGAGAGCGTTAGAAAAGCTTGGCCACAGCTGAAGCACCCTAAATATCGGGTTCAAGTTCCCTCCATTTTAAATATCAAGGCGAGAAAATGGATGACAAACATCTCCTTCGAACCAATACTTCCATCCCGTAAAACGCGCCCTGACGATCAATTACGAAGCTGTTGGGAACTGGTATGTAGAGAAGATGTTTCCGGCCATCCTGGGACCTCTTTGTACGTCAACGAACAATGGATTAATCTCGATGTTCTCCGGCGTCGCATTTCGCTTTGCGATGTGAATCATGGTGAAAGATGTGGAAGAGGTCGCTTGTCCAGAAAAGAAGACATGATTAGACCACGATATCTTGTTGATACCTACCGTGCTTGCCTTGTACATGGAGAGGCGGTCCAGTCAGAATATGTTGCACTGAGCTACCAGTGGGGTCAAATCGACAGCCTTCGAAACAACATCCAGCTCTGCAAAGATCTCTTAGTTCCAGGCTCACTCGCGACGGAAGGGGTTGCCTCAAGGATCCCGCAAACGATTAAAGATGCGTTTGAAATGGTGAAACTTCTACGCTACCGCTATCTATGGGTAGACTCGCTTTGTATTGTGAGTGCGCGACTCTCTGAACCTAAGCTACCCATGACACTGATCGCTTCTTGCGCGATAGGTTCAAGACGACCATCAGCAACTACGGTCTGAGCTGTCGCAAATGCATCGAATTTACAACAGCGCTACTTTTACCATCATCGCGAAAGACGGACTTGATGCAAATTATGGGCGTAAGCGCCACTATGCAACTGTATGCAAATTACAAACTGACTTTATATGAAAACCTTTAGTGCGTGGTCTCAAAGACATTACTGCACCCCGGCGCCACAAGCGGACATATGCCAGGTTATCAAACTCGGAGATCCTTGTTCAGACAAACTCTATGTCGACCCATGACAACCGTATTCCTAGCAAGTATCAGGAAAGAGCATGGACATTTCAAGAGCAGCTTATGTCCAGGCGTGCGATTCACTTTGCATCAGGAGCCATTGAATGGCAGTGTAACCACGGGAGCCAAGCAGAGTACGATCTCTTGCTGCCTGATCACTTGTACAAGCGGAGTGACTTTCAGTTCCAATCGATCACAAGAAATATGCCAACACCAATGGGGCTCAATACAGCAATAGGACTTTATAACCAACGCGAGTTGAGTTTTCCAGAGGACGCATTCGCTGCATTCGCTGGAGTACAATCTATGCTGGAACGCAACCATGCGGACAGGTTCCTCTACGGAGTGCCAGAATTCTGGTTTGACATAGCCTTAAACTGGACGCCATCATCACATGAAGGAATCGTAAGACGTGTGCCTTCGGAGCAGCATCGATCGTTCCGACAGCCCTATCAGCTACCTAGTTGGTCATGGCTTGGTTGGGCAGGTCAGGTTGCATTTCCAGCGGACGCAGGACTCAGGATGAACGACCGCTATCCCAACCCTTGCTTCACAGTACCTGTTACGACGTGGTATACGACGCCTATCCCATCATCCGCTGACAAAAGAACAATCGGCTCGGGATGGTACAAGCACAGACTATTAGTGCGTGATACTTCAGACATACTTCCAACCGGGTGGAAGCGCATTTGGATGGACGATGAAGATCTGAAAAAGCTTGCATTAGGGAAAAGCGTTGTACCAGACTGTTTATTGGAGCAGAAATACTACTTCAAGCACGATAAAGCGGAACTCAAGTACCGGTATCCGTTTCCCACCTCCTTGCCTTATCGAGGCGAACAAGAAGCACCGTCGTTACAAACAGCGTATCTCTTTGCCAGGACCGAGCGTGCTTACATGTGCGGCCAGATCATATCGCCTACGCGCGTACGGTACAAGCGTGATGGATACAGTTTTTCCATGTGGCTCACACGATCAAATGGTCAACATGTTGGCTACATACAGCTCCACAACAGCAATGACATGGAAGCATTTGGACCATCCGAAAGCCCGCACTCAATGGAGCTTGTAGCAACTTGCAAAGGATACACCGCAAATGTATCAGTAGTCGGAGAAGACTGGAACGTGTTTCCAAGCGAAGAAGGAGGTAATGAACAACGTCGTATCGGAAGGCATCTTTTCAGAACGCCCAGGGCATGCTACTTCGTACTGTGGATCGAATGGATCGATGGTGTTGCCTACCGAAAGGCAAGCGGCGCGGTTGCTGCAGAGGCTTGGGAGCAGGATAGGGAGAAAGAGCTTGTGGATCTTATCCTGGGGTGATAAACGTATCCCGCCACTACATTAAGGAAAGATACTAAACATCTCCTAGGGTAGAGTACTTCTGCCTACTACAATAAAGCGTGTTAGATCTATATAAATATAGATAAGAAACCTAGAAGACTATAATCGTGTAAATTTTTAGAAGTTTTCCTATCAAAAGATCATATAAACTATAACATATACCTTATTATTTCTGTATTTGTCTAAGTTTTGTCTTTGTCTAAGGTGCCGCTGCATGCTGTCGAATTAGGTACCTTGCATTGTTAATCGCATCTCGTTGGAAAATGTCGCGACTGGCACAACTGTGTAGTAAGACAGATAGATGCATAACTCATTATAGCTGCTCTATGTTTTCATATCCAAGACCCCCATCTCACACACTATGCCTCCTCCTCCCTTTTCCACCCGTTCCAGTCGCGAAAATAGGTGCATACCCTAGCCTCGCCATCTCCAAACCCCCAGCATCAAGCCAAGCTACGATAGCAACATGGACGTCACCCAAGAAAGTCCAGTCATCGCTACCTTGAATCCCGCTGTTGATTTTGTCGTTCTCAAGAGGACTATCGTTGCTGTAAACCGAGCTAGGACTGGGTGGATAGATGCTCGTATGTGGCTCCTCCTTCTCCTCATCGTCACCCTTCGACGACATGTCGGGAGCAATATCCATCTTATTGAATGCGTCGTCTATTTTCGCATACGCCGGGGTTGCCTCGGCACAAATAAGTTCCAGTATGGAGGATGTACTGGCACTATCCCCCGGCGACGAAGAAGATGAAGAGGATAGCATTACATCCCCTTCCCCAGTAGACGCATTATCTTCCTTTTGAGATGGGGATGCGGCATCAGCGTGGATTCTCTCAAACTCACAGAATCTACAGTTTGCTGCACAGTTTAGTGGCATGTTTCGTGGAGGGAATAACAATGGTTGTTGTGGATTGAGTATTCAATGTACGTCAAGGTGTAGTAGGATTGACTTATGTAGATGCGAATCTGGACAGTGCTGTTCATGTGGGGGAACAGAGTCAGTACATTGTAGTTTTTATGTGTTGAGCATAGCTTGAGAAAGGTCATGTCTCCGATATCAAGGTCAGCCGGACGATTCAAGGGCAGTTGTCTTGCGTATGGTCTCGCACCTTGGACTCTGCATTCAATGGGTGAGACACGTAAATGAGACTGTCACTGCAGGAAAGGCGTTGGTTTACTATGGTATCAATTCTATCTCTCGTTTAGTCACTATCTAACGCACTCGCTCGAACATAGAACCAGTCTGCTCCACCATCCATCCTCCACCCCCCGATTCCGCAGTCCAACTATACACACCAATCTAGTCCATATCAACCAAAAATCACGCCTCGATGCATGCTCGCAAGATATCCCTCATGCTGCAAGCGCTTAGCACACACGCCCAACGCTTACTCTCGCTCCATTCGCCGTACGCTCGCTCGGGTATGTGGAACAGGATATATCTCAATAAAACTCCGGGGTATAGGATACTTTCTCCCAACCGCTAAAACGCCAGACAAAAAGCACAAAAAGTGATGAAGGATCCAGAGGTGAGATCGATACTCGATGATACATCGGGGAAAGAAGGTTTTCCTCGAAAACAACAAGGGTTTAGGGTTTGGGGTCTTGGTACTACAAATCGATATTAAAGAACGGGGTTAGGACCAAGCCAGGATCCAGGAGTGAATTGAAGGTGATTGGGGAAAAGCAGGCACAAGTTTCGCTGACGTTGATGGCGTGAGGTTGCTGTTGTTCGCTGGAAGAGACAAAGTCGTTGTTCAGGCGTGTTCAGGTGTACCGAGAAGAGATGTCCGCTGTGCGAGAGCCTATCTCCACACAGGTCGATCTCCCTGGCTCGATTGACGACCGCTAACACGGCTGGAAGTACGGCTTTCAGCCAAGCTATCAAGCCTGCTGCTGGTACGCTTAGGAGGGGTTGTCTCTATGACCTTGGAAGCAGATGTAGTACGCGACTTAGGTGTAGGAAGTAGGCTGCTGCGACGGCTCGCTGTAACACTCGGAGGTCGTGATGCGCGACGGGCTGCGGGGCTTTCTTCCTTGGCAGGGCTCCTGCTATCCTCCGCTACTGTTGAGACGCGACGACTAGATGCTGGCGTGCTTGCTTTCACCTGAGGTGAAGAAAGGGGTGTAGAACGTATCGGCAGCTTGCCCTTTGCGGGAGTAACAGGGGAGCTAGTTGAGCTCGCCAATGATCGAGTGAGGCGCTGCTGTCCTGGAGTAGTAGATGCAGAACGACTAGATGTGGGCGGCGCTGTCGTTGACGAGCGGCTCAACGGGCTTCTCAGAGGTATGGAAGAACGGCTCGCTGAGCCTTTCCGAGATCCATCCGGTGAGTCTGTGTCTTTCCGGAAAGGTGAGGGAGTCGTCAAAGACGATGGCTTGAAGTTGTGCCCAACGACAGTGTCACGCATGTGGTAAAAGTCGGAGGTCCAGCGAGGTTTGGCAGCAGGTCTTTCAGTCGGGGTCTTTGCGCGTGCCTGACTAGCTGCAGTACCAGACATGGCACGTGAGGGTGTAAAGTCTAAGCGTGCTGACGATGTAGATTTGCGGGAAGCGACACTTTCGCCGCCTAGGGGTATGCTCGAGTATCGCCGGTTAGAAGGTGCTGACAATTTCGAGCTCGCGACACTTGACTGACGAGGTTTCTTGTTGGCGGGAGTAACAGCAGGCCCATGCCCACTACTCTTACGGCTCATGACGACACTCGAAGCAGGAGAAGTACCTGGTGTGTCGAGATTCGAGTGTGGAAGTGAGGCTTCTGTTAGTACTGTGGATACTGAGTCACGGAGTTTGCGTGATCTGGTAAAATCGTCCAAGATGGCGTCCATATTTCCAGTCACTTCCTCCAAGTCCTCCACCTTTGCGCGGACGTCTTGTTGTATACGCAGGATCTCACCGTTGACGGTGGACCTATGTTTCATCTCAATGTCGATCAGCTCAAGTACACGCCTCATTGACGGAGGGTAGTGGTCCCTCTTGTCTTTGTAGGTGGCAATACGTGTAGTCAGCTTCTCCTCGTCGCTGTCGTCGATGGCTTGCTGCAGTCTCTGGATGCTCTTCATGCACGACTCGTACATGGCGACAGCCTTGCTACCCGCTTGACGGAAGCTGTGCACCCATTTGTCCTCACCCAGCTCTTCTCTCAGCGCGTTTGCTTCGGCTTCGAGCTTCTCCTCTGATGCCTCCAGCTGTTCCTTTCTTCGTACGAGTTCGTCACACGCGGACGGGAAGATTGTGCTTGCGCGCATCTGGAAGGCGTTCAGTCGCATAGGGAGGAAATCAAGGGAAGCACGGAGTGGCTGCAGCTTTGCGAAAAGGGCTAGTAGGCGTGAGTTCTCCTGTTCGATTTGCGGAATGGGTGAAGTGGGCGAGACGATGGAGAGGGCAGGCGGCATACTAAGCCGCTTGCTGTTCAGTATAGCCTGCTTCCGGGGGATCTCTTTAACAACGGTCTCGAGCTCGGAAATGTCGAATTTCTCTGGGGCTTCAGCGACCGAGTCGGAGATGACGCGATGTCTGCGCTCCTCCATCTCAAACACTAGACGACTGAGGTTCTCGACCTCAACGCCAATTTCGCCGAGTACGTTGTTCCACAGCTCTTCCCACTCCATGGCCACTTCGACCTGGTTCTTGATGCCCTTGAGCGTCTGCTTGATCTCACCCCAGTCCATCACGATGTCTTCCATTTGGCTCACAAGCGTGGTCTGGTCTTTGGTGGGTAGGAGCGCAATGTCGGGACGCGACTGCAGATCTTCGATGGCGCTGATGTAGACGTTGACGAGCCCCTCGAACTTGCCGATGGCGGCATCCACCTCCTCCAGTCCTTCCCTTCCGGCAGCTGCAGCCCATTCTACGTCGTCCTCTGCGTCGAGGCCGCTCAGGACATCTTTCGTCTTGGAGACCCACAGTCGGATGTCGTTGGCCGCCTTGTGCAGTGCGCGTCCGGCCTGGACGGACGTGGGGAGGGCGGTGATTTCGGACGCGATGGTCGTGGGCGGAAGCTTCATGGAGGTCAACTGCTGGATCTGATTGGTGAAGCTGACTTTGGAGAGGGTGTAGATGGAGCCAGCGCGCGGGTAGTGGCGCTTCTGGAAGTAGGACTCGATGTCGATGCCATTGTTGTCGTCTAGCACAGAGGGCTCCTCTTCGGCGACTGGGGCGGGTGGTGAGGGAAGGGGTGGCGTGTCTTTGGGTGGGGGCGTGGGTGCGGCGGGCTCTGTTTCGACAGGCGCGATGGGCTCTGGTTCTATCTGGGGGGGTGCGGGCGGTGGTGTGGGCTCGGGCTCAGCAGCGGTGATGGTACCGCTGAGGGCCTTTTCTGGCTTGGTGACATCGGGCAGGCGGTACTTTTGCATGTCAAGCTCGATCTCGGCCTCGGACTCGGACGGGAGGACTTTGTCGCTGGTGGAGACGACGCTGCTGTGGTCGCTGTCGAAGTCGGGCTCCATGACCAGCGTCGGGACGCTCTCGCCGGTTGACTGGGGCACGAGCGGCGTTTGTGCTGCAGCTACAGCACCTGGTGGACCCTGCCCAGCTTGCTTTCCACTCCAGGCGGTGCCGCGGCGCTCAATCTCGAGGCTGCGGGCTTTGCGGAACTCGTCCAGGCGGCGCAGGCGGTCTTCCTCGATGCGGCCGACGTCGACAGCACTCTTGTTGTTGTTGTCGTTGATCTGGTTGAGAAATTTCATGCGTGCCAGGAGGCCTGGGGATACATTTCTCGCGAGCTTGGTAGTGCTTTCAATGTGGGCAGGAATGTGCCTAAGCGGTTTGGGCGACGAGGGTGATGACGAGGTGGTCGTCGGTGGTGGGTTCGGCGGTGTCTTCGCTGGCAAGTCAACGGCAGTCGCGGCGGGGCTGCTGTCGAGAACTGAAGGCGGCGTGGCCGTGTCGCTCATTGAGCATGTCTGTGTGGACCTCGAGGAAACCTCCAGGTCGCGTTCAGACAAAAGAGGAGGCTGCGCAAGACTGGATACGCTGCATGCACGGATGCCAGATCAATCGGGAGATGAATCGACGTTCTTTGGGATGGCGCCGAAATCGCGTTAGCCTAGTTCGTTCACGCGTTGCTTCTGTTTACCACAATAACGGTGTGGCGCAACAACAAAGAGTCGGTCTCTAGAGCATGTGCGAGTGGGATGTGTCCTGTAGATGGTCCTGGGGGAGACGTTCCCACACCTCTCAAGACACCCGTTCACAAAACGTCCCGCTTGTGTCTCACCGGGTACCGCTGTACCCAATTTCCGCCAGCTCCCCCCTGCTATCAGTGCTTCCATTCCCACTCTCATCTCCATTCATTGGCACTCAAGCTGCGACGCCACCGTCTGTGCCATCCTTTCTAGAAGCGCTCGGTCGATCTTATCATTTGTGTTATACATGTTCACTATCAATGCTATGCACGACATGCGGGACCTGCCCTTCTGGTCGCTCTCGTCTCCTCATGTTCCAAGGGCAGGGACATTGACGGGGCCATGGATGTCTGGTGACTCTTGTTACAATATATATATATATATATGTAGACATTATTTACATTCGACTTGTCTGTATCTAACACTATAGGACTGCAAGTCGTTCATGCAAAAGGGGTATCTATCTCAAGTCGCCACCTGTCGGCGCACTCTGAGCGGAATGGTAAAAGAGCCCTGTTTCCAACCAGGGAATACTCTTCAAGAAATTCTGTGGTGTGGAGTTGAGATTCGGGGGGCATAAGCTTCGTGCAAATTAGATAAAGGTGATGTGTCAAAACATGGACATGAAATGAAATAGGTTGAGATCCATAGTTGTTTGCCGCAATGGCCACTTCACAGCGCCTCGTAGTTCGGGTCGATCTGTAGTGTAGGGGTTCTCGTTTGGTTCTTCTGCTTTTGCCATTCCGACGTGATTTCCTCACGAACGCCCTGGCTCCATTGCAGAATAGCAGCGTCGAACTTCTTCCACGCTTCTGCGTCCTCGCCGTGGACCACGCCCATGACATCAACGTCGAGCTTGATGTCCCAGCGCAGTTCCGCGGCTTTGACCCAGTAGCGCAGGTTGTCGGCGCAGCGGTATGGCTTGGCAGTGTCGGTGTGGTACGTCTTGATCTCTTCAAAGTGCCGTTTTGACCTTCGAACGAGAGTGTTGTGGAGATGAACTAGTCGCAGGCCGTTTTGCAATTCAGTAAGGAAGGGCGTCGGGAGCTTAGCGTCAGCAGCGCTGGTCCATTCGGGAAGCGCGTCGAGACTGCTGTCGAACGACTTGAGGAAGAGGAGTTCCCTCTCGCGTTCTTTGCCCGTCCAGTCACCCTCGCGCCACGACCAGTTTTCTCTCTCTTCTTGTTCCACGCGCTCCTTCTCCTCTTCGGTATCGAGCAGTGTGCTAATGTCGACCACCCACTGCCTTAGTTGGGTGACTTCGTAGGGCTGCACGCCATTTCCAAAGTTGCGAATAGCGAGGCGCTTCAGAACCTCGAGAGTATCGTAAAGTTCCTTTCGTATTGTCCGTTCTGGTTTGATGGCATAGAGTCGTTGTGGTTCTTCGTGTGCAGTGTAGTAGTTCTTTGCGGCGCGGATCGCTAGGGTGGTGACATCCAACAGGTTGATGCCTTGAACCTCGTGCCAGCCCGAAGCCTCTTCCCCGCCATTTTTCGCCGTCTTTCCGTCTGGCTGGACATCGGAAAAGCCCTTCTCCAGCTCGTCGAGATGCTTCGTAGACTCAGCAAGCGACTCGCGAAGTTCGCGGCGAAGGACGGTCATGTCAGGTGGCGGTGGGACGTAGACGGGGTTGTTCTTGTAGGTGCTGACGGTGGGCGGGAGCATCATGGGCTCGGGGTCTTCCCATGCCATCGAGGCCGTTTCGTCGAGCGGCGACTCAACGAAGCCCTCTCCAAATTGATGTTCAGACATGCCGTCCGGGGATGCAAGGGACAGCGACGAGAAGTCGGCATCGAGGCCAGGCGAGAGTGGTTCGTTGCCGCTCGCTGTCCGCGAGCCAGGCTTGCGGCCTTTGGCGACGCGTCCAGTGGCCGTGTCGAGCAGGCCGGTCCTCGCAAAGTAGTACTGCAGATGTGCGATGGTGCCCAGGTTCATGACGCTCTCTCTGTTCTTGGCCGACGTGGAGAACTCTGTGCCCTCCGGCCGCATGTATCCACGTCGAGTGCCGCCAGCGGACAGACGCGAGCTCACTGAGCGCGCCGACGAGACGGACGAGGCTGTTGAGACGGAACGGTCCAGGGGCGGAATTGCGCCGATGGCCAGAGATGGCGTCGCCCATGGGTCGGGCGAGGTTGAGCGTGCGGGTGGGGAGTTGGGCGTGTCCATGGTGGTTGACAGGGGTGGTAGGTGCAAAGCCGTCGCAGTCGTTAGACTCCTTATCAGCAGTGAGATTCGGTGTTTTCGAATCCTAGGCATTTACGGAGCAGTGGTGGGTTATCAAGCACTTGTCTTGTTTGTGGAGCCACCTGGGCAATGTGCGGTTGTTGCTATGTGAGTCGGAGTTTCGAAAGGGGCGTTTGATTACAGACGCGAGATTGTATCCGAAACGCGTGACTAGCGCCCTGAGCTCCCTCACCGACGCAATTTCCGTATAGCCGTGAACGCATAGTCGTTGCGACCATCGTCCAAAGTGCTTATGTGTCCAAAAGGAAATTCTCCTTTGCGGCTCTCGATGCCTCCCGGCCGACTAAGCGCTTGCTTCTGGCCCCGCACTCCAGGTGAAAGCCTCGCCAGGGTGCCTTCCCGAAGTAGCGTGTACTTTTCGCAACTGCGATGACGTCGCACGCCTGCAGGAGCATGAACTCGTTATATGACGCCCAGGCATTTGCATGAACGTGGTCTAACTAGACACAACCTCCCGTAACACTCTCACCTGTATGAGGCGCTTCTTTACAGCCACTGCCAGAATGTCCACCAAGCGAGTGCGTTGTCCGCCCAACCTGCTAGTGGCAAAACTGATCTAGGCACAGATTCAGTACAAGGTCGAAGGCCAGGTGCAGGGCGTCAACTTCCGCTCCTTCACGCAGAAGCAAGCCAAGAGCATCGGTGTCACTGGCTTCGTCACCAATGCATCGGATGGAAGTGTGCGTACTCGCATCCTACTTGACCCGATGGCTGCTCACACACAACAGGTCCAGGGCGAGGCTCAGGGCAGTGACGACAAAATCAACGAGTTCATCCAGCATCTGAACAAAGGACCATCGGCAGCATCAGTCTCAAAAGTTGACCATTCGGAGATCTCCAGTAGGGATGGCGAGAGCAGCTTCAACGTCCAATAGCCTGTACACATCCCCCGAAAGGGTTGGAGTGGGCGTAAGCGTGGCGACGTCCATGTGAGCGTAAATATTTGTCACTTCATCTCTCTATACGTAAGCGTAGCCCAGAGAGACACTATGATGAGGCACGACATGTAATGGGAGACATGATAAACACGCACTGGGCAGTATTGAATACAAACTTGGTCTTGAACTTCATGCTATTCAAACATCGAGCCCAAGCTCTAGCAAAGCAATACACGCCGTACACTGGCGAAGGTACTTGCTCAAAACACCTCCTGATGGCTTGTCGTGAAGACCCTTGGAAGTCCCTTGCCGATGGAACGGCAGACCGTGCGGGCTCTCTTGATCTGTCATTGGTGTGATGCTAGCAATTCTTCATCCTAGGTGAAGCAAGAACCCGTCACTAGTCTGACGATGAAGCCTAGACGTCTTCGGGGTTTGGTGAGAGTCGTGATCGAAGACTGGAAACACAATGTCTCTTCTTGCATGGTACTATTTCACCCTCGTTGGAAGCGCAGCCACAAAGCGGTGCCTTGTCCTGGGGTGACCGTACATCTGAACACGAAAATCAGCCTGAAGGTACATACGAAAGAATTCCATCATGTTGCAGGCTTTCCGATGTTGCGCTATCAGCCCTACAGTAGCAGAGTGGGTCTGACGGCGAACAACGAAACGACGAGACCCCGAGTTCTGTGAGACTCCGACGAGCATCTCCCGGAACCAGCAGCCACATGCCCCAACCACATAATATTGCCTTTTCGTACCACTACCAACAAAACATACAGAGTCTCCGCATGATGTGTCTAATGAATGCGCACTTCTTTTTTCTGTGTCGCGAAAGCCTTCTTTGAGCTTCTGACAGGGGTAGGTTGAATGTCTTGGCGGAGCTATCCCGATTCCTCCCGTGAGCTGAATCACCATGTCGCTCAGCCGTCGCAAACTCGTCTTTGCACGCGACCGTATACGCCCGCTCTCGACAACTTGCTGACATGCTCGGCCTCTCATAGGAAGCCTGATTGCTCGCCGAGCCTGCCGGACGACGGGTATGGCGCCGTGTAGCGGCGGCATCTCTGTACATTCCTATTCCACCCTGATGACTGAGCGCGCCGGACAGGCACGAGTACCGCGTGGATGTCTTTTTTTAGTTGTCAGCGTCATGTCTTGTTTGATATAAAGGACGAAGTGTGCCTCAGTCTTGCCTCATGCTAACCATCAGCACTTACCATTATAGTTGACAACACCCTTTACACCAAGCACCACCATAAGATAAATACGCGCCTTTATAACCGCAGATGATCTCCACCAGAGTAGCGACACGGGGACCAACAACCTCAAAGCGGGCTACAGCTCAGCTCATCAAATCCTTCAAGAGCTACAATGCCGGCTATCGGCCCACCTTCGTCGCGGCACAGCACTTCCAATCGCAAGTTGGCCAGAGGCACTTTACTTCTTCACCCAACGGTGGAGCAAAAATCAAAGAATTCTTCGAGAAGCACCCGACAGAGAAGGTTCGCAAGACGCACGCAGCATGGCCTCACCCAGGTATGTACCCGCCGAAAATGTAATATATTCATGTCTAGCTAATACCAGTCAGTATACACCGAAGAGCAGATGAATCAAGTCACAATTGCCCACCGCGAAGCGAAGACCATGTCTGACAAGGTCGCCCTCATCGCCGTCAAGATCCTACGCTGGGGTCTCGATAAAGCAACTGGATACAAGCATCAGAAAGCTGTGGACGTGGATGCTAAAGATCCACTGGCCAAGCGAAAGGCTTTTGCCATGAACGAAGAAAAATATCTAATCCGGAACGTCTTTTTGGAGAGTGTTGCTGGCGTGCCTGGCATGGTAGCTGGCATGCTTCGACATTTGCACTCAATGAGACGAATGAAGCGCGACAACGGATGGTATGTGTTCTCGCTTATTAGTACAATAATATGTCACTGACACACTGTTTGCCAGGATCGAGTCCCTACTCGAAGAGAGCTACAATGAACGAATGCATCTTCTCGTCTTCCTGAAGATGCAGCGGCCAGGACGCTTCATGCGCCTAATGGTATTGGGTGCCCAGGGAGTTTGGTGCAATGCCTTGTTCTTCGCCTACCTCTTGAGCCCCCGTACTGTCCACCGATTTGTAGGATACCTTGAAGAGGAAGCCGTTATTACATACACCCGCCAGATCGAGGATCTTGACGCAGGCCGCCTGCCAAAGTGGGAGAAGATGGAGGCACCCGAGATCGCGGTAGACTACTGGCAGATGCCTGAAGGCCACCGCACAATGCGAGATCTGCTCCTCTATAGTGCGTATATCCCTGAACCTTTCATGCAGCACCTCCCACTAACACAATCCTAGTTCGCGCAGACGAGTCCAAGCATCGAGAAGTTAATCACACATTCGGTAACCTCGATCAAAAGGAAGACCCTAACCCATATGTGAGCGAGTACCGAAACCCAGAGGAGCCTCATCCGACAAAGGACCTTGCGCATATGAAGCCTACTGGCTGGGAGAGGCACGAGATCATCTGAGTGTTTCCGCTTTGATCCGCTTGTCAGCGACATGTTCGGCATGCACGGCGTCTTCGGTCTCCATTCTCCCCTCTTCTAAAATTGTATTATCGGCGTTACGGGACATATTGGACTTTGGAAAAACGATACCCAGACCACGATGGGTATCATGAGGAGTAGACGCATCATGTATCCCTAGACTTTCGGACCTTCTACAGATCACTTTCAATTTCAGCTTTAAGCGGTGTAGAGTTCATCGGATCCGCATTTCGATATACAATAGTCCAGGACAATAACCGGTGGTGTTGCCAGGTACAGCAGTAATTCGATATTGCTGAGAACCTCAGTCGACGATATCCGATGCAAAGTCAACTGGTGGATCGAGACAGAGCCGGAGATCGGGTAACTTCGAAGAAGGACCGCGCGGATCCGCCAGGGCGAAGCTGACGCTGACTGGCGGGCTTTTCCACCGAAGCCAAGCACGACAAGAGTGCAACGTGGACATGAGCCTCTTCTTTGGCATGCAAAATGTCGCTTTAGGAAAGCGGAAACCATCCGGTCAATGTCTTCCATGGGAACCTCCACACAAGCTTCAGCTCATGCATTCATGACGAGTCAGTCACACGGTGGCGCGTCGCGCGCAGCCTCGTACAGCCTCAAAAGGAACCTGCGCAATAGTCTGCTGATCTGGACAAATTCTAAGACCGCCAAATGTCTGAGCTTTCCTAATGAAGCTACTGCTGAGTATGATTCAGTAGTACACGTTCATCTCGCTGTTCATTTTCCGATCTGGAGTGCGATCGCTGAGCTTTACAGTTTACTGAATTTAGTGATCCTCGGGAATAAAGTAACATCGTGGTGGTATTGAGGGTCCCTTTTAGTTTGCGGCTCGCAGCCACCACACTGTCGATATAGTCTATTTCAACTAACAGGAAGTGTTTAGCAGGAAGCCATTCCAATCCCGCGCTTGACCGTTGTAACGACTGGTCTACCGTTCTTCCGTGGTTCGAGGCGGAGCTAACCCCGCACTTGCTGCCACTAGCCTCAATGCCAAGTTCTGACCTCCTCTCAACGTGAGGCACAGCGACTACTGCACCCCACATCCGCATTCTTCCACGAGAGACGTGCTATAGGCAGGACGTCAGCGCCGCACAACCCCCGCAGAGAAATGCAGCTAGTACAGCTTGCCGCAGCTACATGGGCTGCCACAGTTATCATCCTTGGGGGTACTTTGAGCTCTGGCAAGCACGGCATAGAGTGCTTGGATCTGTCTCGCGACTGAGTAGTATGCGTCGAGGTATTGCGTTCAATGGTTTCTCTATACATCTCTTCGACACTGGCTTCCATTTCGATTGCTTCTCATTCGCTGACAACTCACGTCAAACGCCTCGTTCATTTCTGTCAATACGTGATACGCTGGAGCTCAACGCCTGAGGACGCTATACCGGTCTCTGAGCTTCGGGTCCGCAATGCTCACCCCCGTGAGTGGGCCTGCATACGCAACCGAGCATGATTCCTTACTGGACGTGAGGTTTCTCCGCACCCAACTAGCAAACATGCGACAACCGCAGCGTCTACCCCAGTCCGGCCTTTATCCAGTCCCGTCGGGACGGTAGGTACCCTTGCGCGAATTCGTAGACCAATCACCACGTGCGAACCTACCCTGTGGAAGTCTGGCAGAGACGCAACCTACCTTGCGGATCCGCAAGTCTAACATGATGCTCTGCGTCGAATGGCTCTGACGGCGACCCTTGCGGTCTTATGATGTAGGGTCTTAGCCAGCAGCTAAGCCTTTCTAGCTCGAAAGGCTGGCCAAATGGTACATGTCCCCTCCTCTATGCATGCATTGTGCTGCTATCGGAATTGACGGCTGATGGAAAGCGCATAGTGCCACAGCCTGGATGGCGGTCTCTCCTTGAAGCCGAAGATCCTGGAGATGCGGGGTCTGAACAGTTTAAATAGATGTCGTGTCTCCAACTGAGAAGAGCATCATGCCCAGTTGACTTGCTCTCCTGCGGTCAACGAATCAACAGCAACACAGCACCGTTCCAATTATATCTTTATCTCACAACAACAATTCAAGATGACGATCCCAGATGAGGTCGACATCATCGTGTGTGGAGGTGGTTCGTGTGGTTGTGTTGTGGCTGGACGTCTCGCCAATCTCGACCACAACCTCCAGGTCCTCTTGATTGAGGCTGGAGAGAACAACCTCAACAACCCATGGGTTTTCCGTCCCGGTATTTACCCGAGGAACATGAAGCTGGACAGCAAGACTGCCACCTTCTACTACTCTCGTCCCTCGGAGTGGCTCGATGGCCGCCGAGCTGTTGTGCCTGTTGCGCACATCCTCGGAGGTGGATCTTCCATCAACTTCATGGTAATTCACTCTATCCAGGGCTACAGATGAATGATACTGACTGTGCTTTAGATGTACACCCGTGCGTCAGCTTCCGACTACGACGACTTCCAAGCCAAGGGATGGACCACTAAGGAGCTCATTCCCTTGATGAAGAAGCATGAGACTTACCAGCGCGCCTGCAACAACCGCGACATTCACGGATTCGAGGGACCCATCAAGGTTTCCTTCGGTAACTACACCTACCCGATCAAGGAGGACTTCCTCCGTGCCACCGAATCCCAGGGCATCCCGACCACCGACGATCTTCAGGACTTGACCACTGGTCACGGTGCCGAGCACTGGCTCAAGTGGATCAACCGCGATACTGGACGTCGATCTGACTCGGCTCACGGCTACATTCACAGCACCCGCGCCGTTCACCAGAACTTGCACCTGCTCACCAGCAACAAGGTTGAGAAGGTCATTCTGGAGGGCGACCGCGCTGTTGGCGTCAAGGTTGTCCCAACTAAGCCTCTCCACCCTGAGCAACAAATGTCCAGGACTATCAAGGCTCGCAAGCAGATCATCGTTTCTGGTGGTACTCTCAGCTCTCCTCTCATCCTTCAGCGCTCTGGTATCGGTGACCCAGAGAAGCTCCGCAAGGCCGGCGTCAAGCCTCTTGTCGATCTTCCTGGTGTTGGTCTCAACTTCCAGGATCATTACTTGACGTTTGCCACCTACCGCGCGAAGCCTCACGTTGAGTCATTCGATGACTTCGTCCGTGGTGACCCCAAGGTTCAGGAGCAGGTCTTCAATCAATGGAACATCAACGGCACTGGTCCGCTCGCCACCAACGGCATCGAGGCTGGTGTCAAGATCCGACCCACCGAGGAAGAACTCAAGATGATGGACAGCTGGCCTTGCAAGGAATTCCGCTCCGGCTGGGACTCCTACTTCAAGAACAAGCCCGACAAGCCAGTTATGCACTACTCAGTCATTGCTGGTTGGTTTGGTGACCACATGGTTATGCCACCAGGCAAGTTCTTTACCATGTTCCACTTCCTCGAGTACCCATTCTCGCGTGGTTCTACGCACATTGTCTCGCCCAACCCATATGAGGCGCCTGACTTTGACGCTGGTTTCATGAACGACAAGCGCGACATGGCTCCTATGGTCTGGGGTTACATCAAGTCTCGTGAGACTGCCCGCCGCATGGACGCTTACGCCGGTGAGGTGCAGGCTATGCACCCCTTCTATGCCTACGACAGTCCCGCCCGTGCCAACGACCTCGATCTTGCCACCACTAACCAGTACGCACTCCCCGGTAACATCACAGCTGGCATTCAGCACGGATCCTGGACTTCTCCTGTCAAGAAGGGCCGCGCTCCCGAGCCCAACTTCTTGAGCTCGAACTGCCAGGAGGTCATGGAGGATCTCCATTACTCAAACGAGGATATCAAGCACATCGAGGACTGGACCAAGCGTATGTTTTACCTTTCGATGAATTTTCATTCGCTTACTAACGTACCATAGGCCACGTTGAAACCACCTGGCACTCTCTCGGTACATGTTCCATGGCTCCCAAGAACGGCAACTCCATCGTCAAGCATGGTGTCCTCGACGAGCGCCTTAACGTCCACGGCGTCAAGGGTCTCAAGGTCGCCGATCTGTCCATCTGCCCCGACAACGTCGGTTGCAACACATACTCGACTGCACTCCTCATTGGAGAGAAGTGTGCAGTGCTTACGGGTGAGGATTTGGGCTACAGCGGCAGTGCATTGGACATGAAGGTCCCCAACTACCACGCTCCAAGGGAGATTGCTGGTTTGTCGCGCTTGTAAGATTCTGATGGGCTAGGATGTCTGTTGTATAGTTTCATGATTCAAATGATTTAATGCAAAGTTGTGTACATAAGATGTTGCTGCCCTTTCCATCCGAGATGATGTGCTGTGGCTGCTGACTTACTCTTTGGACGATGTCGTGATCGCGCTAGTAATATCTTCACCTCGCTCATTGGCCGTCCATCAGTCACTAGTCTGCGACCCACATGGCATAAAATGTTTAGTCGGGGGTATCGGAGACACCACACGCTTCATTGTATCGGTCCTCTGTCTGTCTCTACATCCACTTTTCCTTTACTTTCTTAGCCATCGCGGACTGTCGCCGAAAGTTGATACCATGTCCGCGCTAGCTCGGAACCGCGGACCACAGATGGCGGCCACATATTCCAAGATCACGCGACCAGCATTTCAACACTCTGTTCGCAGTCTTGCTACAGTAGCACCAGTGCAAACTGCAACACGCAATCACAAAATCGTCGTTATTGGTGGCGGCTCGGCAGGCATATCTCTCTCTCATCAACTGCTCCGAAAAGGAAACTTCTCACAAGACGACATTGCTATTGTCGATCCTGCGCAATGGCACCATTATCAGCCTGGATGGACGCTCGTCGGAGGTGGTTTGAAGAAGAAGGAAGATCTACGCCGTCCGTTGAAGGATCTCATGGACCCTAAATTCAAGTTCTACAAGACCTCCGTGGGAAGCTTTACACCCGAGGAAAACTACATTACCACCGGTACCGGAGAGAAGATTGCATACGAACAGTTGGTCGTTGTGCCTGGTATTACGCTCGACTATGGTAGTGTGAAGGGCTTGAAAGAGGCGTTGAACGAGAAGGATGCCATGGTGAGCACTATCTACGACTACGAGTATTGCGATAAGGCGTATGAGAATGTGAAGAAATTCAAGAAGGGTGATGCAGTCTTTACTCAACCGGCTGGTGTGGTAAAGTGTGCTGGAGCACCGCAGAAGATCATGTGGCTTGCGTTGGACTACTGGAAGAATGCTGGACTCTACCCGTCGGATATCAACATCAACTTTGCTACCGGTCTACCTTCCATGTTCGGTGTGCCAAAATAGTAGGTTCCCTACCTCCATGTAATGTGGAAGATACATACTAATCCTCTTCAGCGCAGCAGCTTTGGAAAAACTCCGCGTAGAACGCGGCGTGGACGGCCTCTTCCAACACGACTTAGCCTCCATCTCCGGAAACACAGCAACATTCAACGTTGCAAACTCTGAACCTATTAAGAAGCACTTTGACTTCCTCCACGTTGCACCTAAGAACGTGCCTTGGTCTTTTGTCAAATCCAGCCCCTTGGCCAACGAGGCAGGCTACGTCTCCGTTTCTGATTCTACCACTCAACATACCAAGTACTCCAACGTCTGGTCCATCGGCGACGCATCCTCTTTGCCTACTTCCAAGACCGTCGCTGCCATCACCGCCGAAGCGCCAGTCTTGGTGTCTAACTTGCTTTCTACGATGGCCAACAAGCCGCTAGAAGCCAGCTACGATGGTTACACATCTTGCCCGTTGCTTACTGGGCAGAAGGAAGTCATGCTTGCTGAGTTCAAGTATGGTGGTGTGCCCAAGGAGACCTTTAACAGTTTACTAGGTATTGACCAGGGCGTTCCGAGGAAGGCTTTCTATTGGTTAAAGAAGGACTTTTTCCCATGGGTGTATGGAAAGTATCACGTCAAGGGTGAGTGGGCAGGACCAAAGGGACTGTCTAGATGAGAGGTTACTTGATGATAAGGATGATTGGAGATCTGTACTTGTGTTTTGTTCAAGCGCCGCAGATGTTGTTGAATTATCCCGACTTTGAGGATTGAGACACTTCGTCTTGAAATGACACATTTAGCGCTTTTGTTCTTCGAGCTATGTCCGAGACTCAGCTATGTTCATAGCATAAAAGCCGACGAAGACATCTCTTTGTCATCTCCATAAATTTTCACGCATATAATAGCGATATCACGACGAGATGATCATACAGCAATGATGCCAGCAACTGGGGTATATTAATTACTCAAGAGATGCCCACACTACATACTCCCATGGAACAAGAAATGGCGCGCATACCGTATCTCACACTACATTCACTTCCATATCCTGGTCCACATTGGGCGGCCAGCACGTCCAAGGATCTCGATGATGGAGCTCGACCTGTATGTGAAAGCCTTCTTCATCCTTGTGCAAACAGCACAGCCTCTTGACCAAATCATCATTTTGAGCTTGTTTCAAGATCTTACCAATTGGTCGCCCGACTTTGCATCGTTTCTTGTTGGGGTCGGCGGTGGGTGCCACAGAAAAATCAGCCATACTGTCTAGTTGGTCTACATACCCCAGAAGCCACATTAGTCCTTCATCGTTGAGTAGCTGAAGGAACCCATCGTAAGAGAGAGGGTCTGGTTTTGTGGTAGGTGGAAACTTTCCTAGAGCCTGTTGAGCTGCTGTTACCAATTGAACGCCCTGCTCTCCCGGCCAAATATCGGTCTGGCGGCAGGTCAATTGGGCGTAGTTGAACTTCTGGAGAGCAGCTATTAGACCCACCGTGGCCTCTGGAATCATTTGATAAGGCTCTGGTGTTTCCTGTTGAGCCGACTTGGCATTTTGATGCTGCTCAACGGGTGTACCACCAAGCTCATATGGGTCCTGCGGATTCAAGGCAATGAAGGTATGCGATGATCGACGGCCTTTACCTTGCTGAACTCTATTCAACCAGTTGGATCCAGACGAGCTCTCCTGTATACTTGGAGCGTTTTTGGGGACGCTGGGTTCGTAGAACTCATGATGGATTGAATGTGGCATGGCGTAGACGACGACCTATTTTTATGACTCTGTGACTGTCTGTATCTGGCCGACAAAGTAAAGGAAAGAGAGGAGCTTTATATATCCAGGTGATTAAGTTTCATCGGAATGGCTGATGATAGTCATCGTTGGCATTTGTACATGTACCATACTAACAAGGATGCTTGACTGTCTCAACATGAGCCATGACAGCTGTTGACGTAGCTTCCAACGTGTCGGATATCTTGGTCAGAAACGATGATTGTACTATGTAAGAGTAGAGAAACGATATTTCATGCGATACAGATTCATCGCGTGTATTTCGAGGTGCTCTGGTGGTCAGCAACAAGCGGGAAGCGCAAGATCGGCCACGTAAACACTGAGTCGTCCATAACAATAGCAACCATACCGCCACGTCCCGAGCAGCTGTAGGCCGACTCAGATATCGCGATGTCATGAGGATAACCCAAACCGGTTGTCAAGCATAAGATAAAGGCAGTATCTCGGATAAAACTTGAATGGGTCAGAGACTCATCACAAGTGTGACCACTATGCCGTTGATACCAGGCTGACCACTCGCACCGTCATCCAGAACTTGTGAACATATCTGAAAACCAACCTTCTCGTAAAAAGCTCTTGCACTCGTATTCGACTGCACCATGTCAAGATGTACTCCCACAGCACCTGAGCTCTTCGCAGTGTCCAAAAAGCTGGTTATAAGAGCTGATCCCCATCCTTTTCTCTGATACTCTGGCAGAATATCGATATGTAAATGCGCTGGGTAACGTTCCAACATCTGTGGCCATGGTTGCAGCATGCTGCAGTCTGCCTCATACACGGCCTTTCGGAAATGCTTCACATCCTGTCTCTCCATCTGTGGGTCGCCGGTCTGAACATTCGGATGTGGTACGAGCTTTGGGTCTATGGTCGCAGTGAACACGTCGCGCCAGCGCTGCGCGAAAGACGTTGTATCTACTGCGCCGATACAGTAACCCACCACACGTCCGTCACCGTCGTCTAGTACGTGACATGTTTCTGGGGTCACATCGGCGTAGACTTTGTACCAGAGGTGTGAGCCTACAGTTCGCGCTGGTTCCCAGTCGAGGCCAGGGTCTATAGTTGTCAGGAACTATAGTTTCTGTCAGAATGACGGTCGTCTAGGAGATGACAACACAACACATACTACGTGAAGACCATTCTGGTAATCAGTTGATGGGTCGTATACTCGAACAAAGGGTGTTTTGGTCGCCATTGTCTACTAGAACGCGTAGGGAATATAGGATAGGTGGGCACTTGAGAATGCTGACGCGCAAACTCTATGATGGCGCTTGCACTCTTCCTGATTATAGACCAGTGAACTGCTAGGGGAATGTATGAATTGATATATATATATATATCAAGCAACGTAATTACGAGGTATTGTTCAGGTCCAGTCAAGCAACATTTATTGTGCAAAAGAAGGCGCACGGCGGTGATGAGGGGTTCAGCTTGCGCCCGCCCGGTGATTGGCCGCGCAGCGCCGCATCGCATAAATGACATGCTGGAATACGAGAGTCCAAGAGGCTCTCTAATATCGTCCCGCTTCGTATGCGGATCAATCGTCGCGTCAGGAGAAAGGTAAGACGCGTGAACACGGTGACCCATATGATGACAGTCCCTTACGCTAAGCCACTTTTGGAACACCAGCTCAGTCAGTGATGTCACTTCCAGCACCATGTCCTTCACGCGCACCTAAATGAATCAACAACGTCCGTACCAGCTACATTGTCACCAGCCAGCAGAGAATTGACTTAACCATACTCACACAACCAGCGAATTTGATTTATGGGCGGTATTTGAAGCTTAAGCAGCTGGAACGCACCGCATCGCGCCTGAGTCTGGCTTACAGTCTGCGCAACTCATATCTTCTACACTGCCATTATTAGGGTCATCACCATACATACTGAAGGAGCGTATCACCCGGTTACGATTGCATGTTTACTCATAGCAGATACGAGATCGCAAACAACGCGCAATATGGAACTCGACGAACAAAATATTGGATTTTCGTCATAACCTATGGAGCGAGGCTTCATATGGAAGTCAATATCGAAGGAGCGGAAATTTCAGCGTAGAGAGTGAAGTGTCATCTGACGGAAACGGCCTCCGACGAGTCAAATCCATTATCAGATGCGGTTGCGACGACAATCTTCGCAGACATTGACATAGCAATAGCGACATCGCAGGATGTACTTATGATGGCGCGCGTCACACATCTCGCATTGGAAGCCTCTTCTGGGCGCTCCATAAAAGACGCGCTCAAAGCGCCGAGAATGCTCGCATTCATGCCTGTCTTGTAACTCGGCGAAGACTCTGTCAATACGCTGGCGCCTTTCTTGGGGAAGTAAGTTCGGGGCGTCTCGATCCACGATCTCTTCGGCGCGTTCTTCAATGCGATGAAGATCTGCGTTGGCGCAAGTACACTCCTTCCAACGAACACCACAGATATAACAGAACTCAGCGCCACATCGACATCTGCGACGAATTAATATCATTCACACCTGCGAAGCGACGTGGACTTACGTAATGTGATTGCAGCCGCTACGCAAGTCTACTTCTCGATGGCAGGCATTGCAGGTTTGCCAGCCCATCTCGCGAGCCAATTCTCGCGTCTGTCGTAGCAAGGGATCATCTGGGCAGTCAGACCCTGCATGGAACTCGTGGTTGCAGATTGCACAAGTTTCTGCACTGCATTTCGGACACACTGCTCGATTCGTACCAGGTTCGATACGATCCGGGACGATAAAAGTGGCACAGTCGGGATTGTTACAGTACGTCTTCTTTTGGGTGGCATATTCCACAACCGCAAGTTCGAAGGTGGCCAGTTCGTTTGGCTCCATGTGCCTTGCAATTAGATCAAGCGGAATCTTCTGCTTGCAACATCTAGGAGGGTAAAGGCTCTCATCTTTTGTCGACCGCATGAACAGACCCTTCATGCAACCAACACAGTAGCGGTCGCCACATTTTGCTGTTACCATAGAGGCACGAGGGAATTGGTCGTAACAAGTACAACATTTGAACTCTGTAGAGAGTTTCTTAATGGTATCGGCCTGACGCTCCACGTAGGACATGGCCGGTCCAGCTTCTGTCTCGTCGTCTGAGAATTCGACGACCGAAGCAGCAGCAATATTACCGGACACTGCGGACATCCAGTCGTGGACTTCACCTTGAAGATGGTCGTGCACGGCCAAGGGCGGGGCCTCAATCTCAGGGTCGTTGTTGCTCAGCTCCAAAGCGAAACGACGATCCTCGCGAGCCTGAACGTCTTGGGAAGTGAGATCCTCAATCACGACGCTATCGGAGTGCACAGCCGCACCAATGCTCTGGGCAAGCTTCTGGTCCGCAAGGAAGTCCTCATAAGCTTGCAATTCGATCTGAAATCTGCTGTAGGCAACGTCGATGTCTGGTGGCTGATCAATAGGATGCTTTCCTTTCTTAGCCTCCGAGTAAACACCAAGCTCCTCCAACTGCAGCGTAAGAGCAGCTAACTCGTCATCTATACCGCCTGCATGAGACGTCTGAGGGACGATAACGGACATGGTTACTAGTATTAAGATGTGGAAGTCTGAAAGAATTTCCGTATAGTGTAACACGAGAGAATGAGGGCGAGTAGAGGTCAAGTGAGGTCAAGGAAAATGGGGTTTCCACGTTTGAAGGATCCTGCGCAAATGCGGGGTTATTGCTACAACGTATGGTAGGCTACCAAACTGCGGAAAGACCCTACCGTGAAGCAGAAAGATCCGATTAGCTACGGGAAGATGAAGCTTTGGTTGAGGGACTGACCAAGGCCGAGTTTCTCAATTTGTGGTTAGATCGTAGATATGTTATCAATACCCCAATGACGGAAACACACGCACACATCACATCACAACACATGATTACCCATCTGTCGTTGACATACTTTGAACTATGCGTCTCATACACGAAAAATAATTAGATAGATACGAAAATAACAACGTGTATCTTACAGTCTACATTATCTTCTAATAAGAAAACTTATAAAGGTAAATAGCATTGTAGTCTTCTAGGCTTTCTATCTATATCTGTATAGACCTGATACGCTTTGTTGTAGTAGGAAGAATTACTCTGCCCTAAAGCGGTGTTTTGGGGTACGAGAAGATTGCGATTGAGTCGTTCACTCAAGTCCTCGAGTGTCCAGAGGTTCTCGAGGACAAGCTCCAGGATCCAGTAGTGCAGAGTTGCGGTATTTCTAACATCCTTGAAGCGGGAATTCATGATTCTCTCCTGTATCGTCTCTGAAATCCCCAACTCTTGCATAGTGGTGCGTGGGTCTTCAGTGATGTCGTGGCAGAAGTATTCGATGTGCGCTTCGAGAACTTCTTGGAAGCTAAGCTCATCTTCAGAGGTCCACCTCTTCAGAAACTTCTCCGATGTTTCTTTTGTAAAGCCTATGAACTCAAAGGCCTGAACAGAGTAGAGGTTTAGCGGAACTTCCAGGTCAGGGTGGGCGGATGGTAGTTCAGTCGCAGAAGAGGAAGTAGTACTCGAGGCCACGACAGTGTCAGGAGGGGAGAAGAGTTGTCCGGAAATTCTCCGTGTACCGTTCTTTGGATCTCCGACAAGATTGCGATCGAACTTCTTGATGTCGTTGAGTACCCGACCTTTGAGGATATCATTCGGGAGACCCATGGTGGGTGGGGATGGGAGTTTTGAACTCGAAGACATGAGTGACAGAAGGAGGTTTTTGAAACTCCAAAGTGCGTGTGATAAAGAAGAGAGAAGTAAAGAGAAAAGCAGCCAGATCTATATGCTTGTGGGGAGAAAATCTGGTAGCGTCACAACACATGGATGTGCAATGCCAAACCTTGGGTGCCTTCCATCCCCCAAAAGTGGATGACAACCAAAGTATGGAATCGCCCTCACATGCTAAGTCGATATCCGCCATTTTCTCCAAAGATTATACCACTGGTACCAAAGATTTCGCTATGCGCTTTCATGTCGCTTCTCTTCCTCTGGCTATTGTCTGAAAACCACGGTACTTCAACCATGGTATTGCGATAACTCATGACTACCAATCTGTCATTGACATACTTTGAATCATATGCTGGGTGGGAACAGCTACATATCAAGACTACGCACACTTGTCCCACCCAAGCTTAAACTCGCTATCATTTCATGGTACTAACAAGCCCAAAGTCCCCTTCAACAAACGAACCATGAGGACTAAGCGCGTACACCTGCGGTATATCCGCCCTAGTCACCTCCTCAAAATTCCTCCCATCAAGTCCCATAAGAATACTATGCGTCCCTTCCTTATTCATCGTAATTGTAATCACAATCCCATCATCCTCCTCCGTCGCCCCGGGCCACTGAATAAAGATAGGCTCTGTAGGACAACTCTCGCCATGTTGTGGAACCCCAGACTTGAACGTGCCTGTCTGCCAATCCGACTTGAAGAGGTGTCCGTAGAAAGAGGCGTGGGCGATTCCTCTTCCTCCGTTGGATACGCCGTTTCCGGGACGGTCAATGGGGACTTGGGTGCCCGGTGCGGACACGCCGTTGCCGGATACACCGTAGACATAGCGGTAGTTTGGATTCATCGACGCGGGTTTCGAGATACGGGGTAGCTCAGCCATCATGTCTGGGATGGCGGCTATGACTGTGCCGCGGGCGATGACGGCGGGGTCTTTGATGTCTACGGCAGCGAGTTCGTAGCGGACGAGACGGCCGACTTGGTATGGTTTTAGCGGGTTGATGACGTTGGAGATGGCGTGTTCGTTGTAGGGTAGTGGTCGGCTTTGTAGCTAGCTATGTCGACGTGGACGTTGGTGTGACCGGTTTTGGGGTCGACGTAATCGTATGCGTTTGCTGTTTAGAAGAAGTAGAAGTTGGGAACTTCACAGGATGCGACGCTGATGGGGTTGAGTTGGGGAGTTCGAAGTCGTACGTTGAGATTGAGGTACTTACAGTTTGCCATCTACCTTGTTCAACACGTAGAAGTAATCGAGAGAGTCATGCTCGCACTTCATCGCTTCGATGATAGTTTTTGTTGGATCGCTAGTATCCATGGTAACGGGCTGTTTATATATCAGCAAGAGAATCTCATTATTCTAGATTCTTCGAAACAACACTTACGTTCCTGACAAACACGACGTACTTGTCGGTGATGGCGAGAGCATGCGTGTAGCATGGTTTGCAGGGGGAGCGGATTTCTACAAGAGACGCGCCGGGTTCGACGCAGCGTCGAGCGCGAGAACATACATGATGCCAGCTGCGGCAATCAGGTAGTTGAAGGTTTGACCTCGCCTGCGATCATGAACAGGGTGAGCGTAGCAACCAGCTCCAGCGAGCTCGGAATAAATGGTCGCATGGGTAAGCAACCGCTTTGGTTCGAGAGTCTTCGCGTCACAGATTTGCATAGCATCCCAGTCAGTGTGGACTAGAATCTGTATTCAAACATGAGCTGAATCGGGTTCATTCGCGGTCTGACAAGTGTTGTTTACCTCCTGAGTGGCGGGGTCATCCGCCTGAAAACCTCTCAAATTGGGATCCTTATCCTTTGGAAGGTGCATACCGTGGCGTGGCTGCACATGGATGTTGAAGTCATCCGGCGCTGAGAAATCGTTAGGAAGATATACGGTTTGCTGCGCTAGAATTAGGCTACAATCGTTTCAATCATGATTTCCAAGATCTCACTTACACGAGCACCGAACAATTTCGAACACGGGTCCTGGGCTTCGAAGAGAGGAGTGTTGGGATTAGGGCCCATCCAGGAGTTTGTAACATAACCATCTTTCATCGCCCATCGCACGATTCCGTTATCCGTGTAGCGGCTCATGTAGTAGACACGGCCGTCAACCATTCGGAACTTGTGCAGCAAGTCCAGGCCATCGAAAAGATGCTGAATAACTACTCTGGGCGTTGAGTTGTCATCTGAAGTTGGGACTGTGAAGCATCCAACGCCCACCCTATGTTCTCAATATCGACGTTTCAATGCGATCACAGACTACAATCTAGTGACATATCTCAAGAAAGAACCATGAAGTCACTCAGGCCATGTACCGCCGAGCTTACATTCAACCTCCGTTGTGGTTTCCGGTACGTCCTGGAAGTAGGTCGGAGCGTACTTGAGTTCCTCCTCGGTGACGATGTCCCACCGGTAGCCTTCTGGCTTCTGATCGAATGGCATTTCGAGATGAAGGTAAGAAAACGCAAAAAGTTATAGTTGAGAAGCGTATGACAAGGTCTTTGAGATACATAGGATGCTGATCGGCGAGAACGTTGTTTATCAGGGGTTACAGTGCCACCTAATAGCTTATATCTTCAATCTCCTCAACTCCGGACTAACAGCCTCCCTGCTCTTCAAACTCTCGCCCGCAGCCCTCTGCGCAAATCCCACAACATCCTGCACCGTCTCTCCTCGACTCAGTCCATATGCCAACGCACCGCAAAACGTATCACCAATGCCATTTACGCTGACTACCTCATGTGGTTCAAGTACTTTCTCCACAGGAAACAATCTCACGTAGAGACCACCAACGGTAGTTGCACCATCAGAAGACATATTCCTCGCCAACACATACTGCCGCTCATGATCGTCCCTTAGCTCTTTTGCATCAGAGGCTAGGAGTTTCGTCATGAGTACACCCTGAGGACCAAGCTTGGTTAAGATTATGGGAAAGAAGGGGAGGAGTTTGATGGCTTGTTGAGGGATGCCTTGGTCTACTATGTCACCACCTACTGTGACGGCTAATGGGACTCTCAAGCCACCGTTGGGGATACCCAATGCATCGATGACGCTGAACCATTCGGGCGACTCGAACAGGGAGGCCTGACTGGCAAAATCATGGAGTGCAGTGAGTTCGTAAGTGTTGGGTGTTATGATGTCTGCTAGAGGCTTGGGGTAAACTGATGGATGAGTGGTAGATGGGAAAATGCGTAGTGCCTTGGCTGTAGAGACTGGTTCGAAGATGGTGGTAGTGTCTGAGTGACGAGCGGCTTGGAGCCAAGTGTGCAGGGCGGAGGAAGACCAGTTCGCATCTGCAACAAAGGCTTTGGGTCGAGCTGAAGCGTTGTTGAAGATGCTGGTGGCTAGTTGTTGGATAGTTTCATTGGGGATCATCTCTAGGATCGACATATCTGCCATGGCGAGTGCGAGATCTTTGTTCGTGTTATTGATGGCGACATATTGCGCTGTTCTAGACGGCGCAGGGAGTGTTTCGATACCGGAAACTGACATGCCTTCTTGCTGCAGTTGGCTGATCGCCGCGCGACCACTCAAGTCGTCACCAACAGCACTATGCAGGTGAACGAAAGAGCCGAGCAAATGCGAGGCTTTAGCAATATTATGTGCGACACCTCCAAGTGTCTGAGTTATGACTGCTGGATTCGAGGTGTGAGGAAGTGGATCTGTCTGGCCCGCAGAAGCCTTGAACGGAGCATAGTCACAAGAAAAGTCAACTGCAAGAGCGCCTGCGACAACCACATCGGGGTCTTTACGAGGCTCAGTACTAGATGAGGATGACGTGGTGGGAGTGGAAGCAGGCTCAGAGGGCGGCGAGGTTGCATTGCGCAGCTCCTCGTGTGGAGTAGACGAGAGATTGGATGGAACGGGAGTAAAGTAAGAGGAATTCCGTCTAGTATACTTACATCAGCGCCAGTCTACGATGGAGCAACAAGAGTGCTGGCTCACCCTTGGGCTTGTTCCTGTTTCGCTTCGAGGATGGCAAGTTCTCGTGCTACGATAGTGGCCCTCTTCACGTTGGATTCTATCAGGGCTCTGTTGGCGGGTATGCTCTTGCCCTTGCTGAGTTCTTTGATCTTGGCAAGGACAAAAGGCGTGTTGTCCTTGCCAGAGATGTTGGACGCTTCGGCCTGTTTTAGAGCCTCGGCAATGATGACATCCATCTCATCCTTGGGTATAGCGAAATCGATAGGGACGGGGTTGGCGAAGAGGAGACCGGACGAGATTTGGAGTGCGTGTTGGGCGTCTGTATGGCATCAGAGGCAGATATCATGGAACATGGTCACAGACTTACATATAACGGCAGCCGCTTCAATCTCATCGGCAATGGTGGTGGGACTCTTGACTCCACTGTCTCTGGACCAGAAAGCGGGGAAGTCTACGCTTCCTTGCCGTCCGTCGGCGAAGGTGCCTACGCCGACGCCTTCTGTCTCGAGGTACTCGATTGTTCGCGGTATGTCGAGGAAGCTCTTGCAGCCACTGGAGATGACGGTGACTGGGGTCCTCCCAAGCTCGGTCAGATCGGCAGAGATGTCCATGCTTGACTCTGCACCACGGTGGACTCCGCCGAGGCCGCCTGTTCCAAAGATCTTGATGCCAGCGAGATGGGCCAGCAGCATAGTGCCGGAGATGGTGGTGCCTCCGTTGAAGGACCTGTCCGTCAGTCGCATGCCACATACATAGCCGAGGTCGCGTCGCGAGAGCTTCATTGTGTTTGCCTTGCCAGCAGAAGAGGCGAGTCTGATCAGCTCCTCGGGGTCCATGCCTACACGTGCTACGCCGTCGAGGATGCCAATGGTGGCTGGGATGCCGCCATTCGTTCGGACTACGCTTTCGAGGAGGGATGCCAGGGCTACGTTTTCAGGATAGGGGAAGCCTGCATGGGTCAGCTGTCTGTGTTTAAATACATATATGTATATATATATATATATATGTGTGTGTGTGTGTATACCCACCATGCGTGTAGATTGTCGTCTCGAGCGCGACGACGGGCTTCTTTGAGTTCAGAGCTTCGCGCACCTCGTCCGAGACACGGAAGAAGCCATTGTTGGTCAGGTGGCGCCTTCCGGCTGCGGTGGCTATTCTACAGCGGCTTGGGAGTATCCGCGGCCGGCCAATTGATGGTGCAAGCAGTCTCATGGTGGCGTGTAAGGTGTCAGTAGTAGTGCATGGAGGGGTGAGCTCAAGCTGTCTATGCCAAGACGCGGAGGTGCCAGGGAACTCCGAAGAGAACACCTACGACGCAACACATCCGCGCAACACATCGCCGCGTAACCACCAATTGACCTACCCGCCAACCCAACCCAATTGCTCTGATAGACCTCACATGACTGGATAGCTTGACTGCTGTTCCAACAATGAGGTCCTCCCTCTTTACCAGCTGCATAGCAGCGCTCTCGAGCTTGGCCAGCGCCGAACTCAACCTCTCCCAGCCGCTACTATCCAAGCAGGTGCTGCCCACCACCTTCACACCGCCGCAAGTCTTCAAGAATGCAAACCTGGTCCGCACCACCAACCTGGACAAGGCATATCCGAGGGAGACCATCAACGTCATAATCGAGAACATTGACGACAAGGCGCAATCGGAATACTACCTGCCATTCGAGTCGAGTCTGCTGTCCAAGGTTGGCGGCTTCGAAGTAAGAGACAAGAAGGCGGCCGACAAGGGCATCTTCAAGGTCGACGTCGTGGGCTTTGACACGGAGAGCTCCGTCGAGTTCTACAAGATCCATCTGCCAGAGCCCCTCGCACCCAAGGCCCAGCAGACCATCACCATCTCCTACTCCATTCTCTCGGCTCTGAAGCCCGTCCCCGCCCAGCTCGCCCAGACAGACAAGCAGTATCTGCAGTACGACTTCAGCGCATACGCCCCCTCGGCCTATCTTACCGAGAAGCAGCGAACCAAGGTCAAGTTCCCCAACAGCGACGTGCCAGACTACACCACCCTCCCCGCCGAGCTCAACGATGAGCAGACGCCCGACCCGCAGAAGCAAGGCTCCACCTTCACCTACGGTCTCTACAACAACGTGCCTGCCGGGGCCCAGCAGCTCGTGAGTGTGCGCTACGAGTTCACCAAGCCCCTCACACACGCCACACTGCTGGAGCGCGACATCGAGGTTTCACACTGGGGCGGCAACCTGGCAGCTGAGGAGCGCTACTGGCTCGTCAACCAAGGCGCAGGCCTCAAGAACCACTTCTCGCGCGTAGAATGGCAACGCCAGTCCTACCTCAACCCACCCACCTTCGCCCTCAAGGGCCTGGCTCTGCCTCTCGCCCCCGGCTCCGTCGACCCCTACTTCACCGATGACATTGGCAACGTCTCCACCTCAAAGTTCCGCCCAGGCAAGAAAGAAGCACTTCTCGAGTTGAAGCCGCGATACCCCATCTTCGGAACCTGGAAGTACAGCTTCCGTGTTGGTTGGAACGCAGACCTCTCTTCGTATCTGCGCAAGCTCTCTACAGGCGACACCTACGCCCTCAAAGTCCCTTTCCTCGAGGGTCCCCGTTCCGGCGAAGGCATCTCTTACGGTCGCCTAAACCTCCGCATTATCCTCCCTGAAGGCGCTACCAATGTCAAGTTCTCCACCACCGTCCCCATCGTCCGCAACGAGACCAGCCTTCACAAAACCTTTATGGATACCCTGGGCCGTACCACACTGGAGCTGACGGCTATCAACCTCGTCGATGAGTTCAGGGATCGCGATCTCATTGTCACATACGACTACCCGTGGACAGCTGGGTACAGGAAGCCCGTGGTCATCACACTGGGCATGTTTGCCGTGCTGGCTGTTACGTGGGTACTGGGTAGCATTGATACCAGCATTGGAAAGAAGAAGACTGCGTAGACGCAGAGCTGAGAAATATCTAAGTGTACAAAACAACAAGGAGGCAGAAGGTACGATATTGATAAAAGTTCCATATCGATGTATTTGACTGCTAGAACTGGGTTCATGGCAAGCGAGGAGTATGTTGATTTTTACTGAATAACATGTAAGAAGAATGAACATGAGATTCCGATTTCCAGCAATCTAGTGCATCGCACACTACTTTTCGAACTAAACATCTTTCCCTCTGCTCCCCAACCCAGTCAATACCTCATCCTCCCAACATCAAGTAGGAGATCCAACCATATGCCTCAAAAGGGATCCTTGCACCCCTTGACACGATGAACATGCCGACAAATAACCACAACACCCTCTCCACACCCCATCCTTCTCACCTCACTCTTGACAACCTGCGCAATCCTCTCCGCAATAGCAACACTCCGATGTGTGCCTGCATGACAACACACACTCATACTCACCTCCACGCTTCCCCCACCAGACCCATACCTCGTGCTCCTTGTCTCCTCCCCAAACCGCAATAGCCTCTCCACTGCCCTGTGAGCCGCTCGTCTCGCCTCGCCATCTTCCATGACAATATCCTGTATCCGTTTACTGATGCCAGAGTATTCTCTGCACAGCTCAGGAGACGGAGGACGTACGTGGCGCGCATCGATGGTGTAGAGGTGCGGGATCGGGGGGTCGCGGCGTGGCACTTGGGTTGCGAGGAGGTTGGCTATTGTGAATTCGGAGCGGACTAGGTCTGTGGCGTAGGTTATTATGTACACGGTTGGGTGGGCGGGTGGTGGTGGTGGTGGTGCGGATTTGGAGTGGAAATAGGGCTGCTGGTAGTGTTGTGGTGGCACACGTGTGTATGTCGAATGCGATCTGGGTAGGCTGGTGCGTATAGGTGAGGTGCTGCGGCGGTATCGTTCTTGGTGGTGGAGTTGGGAGTCGTATTCGTAGGTTGATGTGTAGGAGTGGTGCTGCTTTCTAGGCATTCTTTCCGAGGGTGAACGTTGTCGTAAGGTGGTGAATCGGGGCGGTATGTAGTATCTGCTTTCTCTCTCTCTTTCTTGATCCCGTCCCCGTTCCCTTTCCTTTACCCTTGCGCGTTCTCTCTCCCTCTGCCTTTCTTCCTCGGCTATCCTGATCGCCCTGCTCGAGCGGCCTTGAGCAGGCGGTAGGTCGAAATGTACGTGCCTGCTCGCCGTCTTCTTGAGGCTACTCTTTCGAGGAGTTCTGTCCGGCTGTGGTGCTTGTACGGGTCCAACGTATCTCCAGGTACTGGTCTTCACAGGTCTGTGGGATGTAATTGGTCGTGAGCACGATGTTTCGTAGTAGGAACTGTAGCGACGTGGTTCAGTGTATGAGTAGGGTCTGGACATGTAAGTTGTGTCGTATGATCTTGCTGTGAGGTTGTGAGGATAGGGGTAAGGTGAAAGGTATGTTGAAGAGCAGGGAGGAGGAGCAGAAGTGTATCGGTACATGATTGCTCCTTCTTCTTTCCATGCCTTTTGTGATAGAGAATACGATACTTCTCTACACAATGCAAACAATTATCGTGCCATGATCAGTGGAGGAAAGATATTGGTAGTCTACGTCAGGTACATTTGCGAAAGATTAAGAACTCTTCGCGCAGGTTCATGGTAGCACACGATACTCATAGTATGGCGTCCCGTGCTTGTAAGCAAGTCGATAGGTAGTCATGGCTCGTGGGAGTCACAGTCGCACAGAACCACATCGCGTTCCTGCTTCCCCGGACTGCCATGTGTTGGATATGTATCGCGCCTATTGAGTCCTATATCTGGAAAGTAGAAGTGAAAGTTTGAGAGCAAGCCAAACGTACTTGAAGTCTTCTTCTCTACTGACTTGATCAACTTGGCTGGGGTGAAGAACAAACTCATGACAATGCAATTGAGAGAAAGAAAAAGCATGAAGACGACATAGAGGAAGTAGCGATTGGATGTGATGGAAAAGTAGACAGCAGAAGAAGGTAAGGAGCTGCCCCAGGAGATGACCAATTTGTGCAATCGTTCCTCCTTTGGATGCTGCTCTGTTACAGCATCGACATCTCGCGGACTCGTCTCCCTGTGATATTTCCAGACATTGCGAATGATTGTTGACCACAATTCTCGGTTTACAAACACGATCATACGAACACGCAAGGGTTTAAAACATTTTTACACCTCTATACAGAAACCTCAGTCAAATCTGCGAAGCTCCAACGTATTGATCTGGACTGATGGCAGCTACACTCAAAGTCGTAGCGGTTGTTCGATGAAAATTTACATTTCCGCGTAATGGACATCCAGTCAAGCTTTTCCATGAATACTCCTGTGGGTCATCTACTAACGCTCTCCAGCTTCGTTGCTGCATGACATTGCCAGCCGCGCCACTCAGCTTCGCTTCCATTGCAACGGTCTATCAAACGCGTGAGGATCCTGGCCTGATACTTCGCAATGCGCTCCGTGTTACTCTACTCGCTTGCGTTGGGCATCGTCGAAGTCAAAGTCCCTTAACCCTGACCTTTGAATGACTTGCTGATGATGTGCACAACGGTCGCGGCGTGCAGTGGCATTTCGGTCGTACTCTGTCATTTGCGGTCCGGTTTCAGGCCTTCATCCTCTGTTGGGCAGCAAACTCCCATGTCGCTCTTCGCACGGCTCACCAACCGCGGCAATGACCTGGTCAGAACTCAAGCTGTAGATGTTCACAATACGGTCTCTCCGCACAAGCGAGCAGTTATGATTGCTTACGAGTCGATGCGCAGCATCGAGCGATCGATTGCGCTCGAGAGAGGTCGCCATTCCGAGGGCCCCACAAGGACCCTGCGCTCTTTCGAACACCTTGAGAAGGACCTGATGTCTCGTTATGTGGAGAATCTTGAGCACATTCATTGTGCATGTCTGATACAGGCATACCGTGGCTTCCAAGGCCCCGAAGTTGCGGTCTGACATTTTCGGGACCGCAGAGGGGTCCGACTTGGTGTATCGTGAACCGCGAACAGCAAGCCGGACTACTCCACAATAATACCTTTGGAGGTACAAAGCAACTCTTGGAGACATGGACAAGCTCTATTGGAGCAAATGAGGCTAATAGCTGACAAGGTACAGCTACCTCTCTGATTGAACTGGAAGTGGACTCCGTACCGTCTCATCATGCCACATGTACTGACATGGTGCTCTCCAACACCATGCACGACAAATCTCTCGGATCTCTTGTCACAGAGAAACCGCGTGTTTTCTGAAAGGGCCGAGTTGTATCAGCCGTTCGCTTGCGAACTCATTCCGTTTTGGGGCTCGTTGCGATACGTGCCGGAACAGAGTTGTCACCGAATTGGAACCGACAGCCGCTGAGAAGCGGCTCGATAGTGCACATGCTCGTCTTGAAAGAAAGTCGAACCGAGTCGGGGAGATCACGACCGAGATCACGACCGAGATTGCACGGATTGCACGCTCCATGAGACGCGTACAGAAGGCGCTCAGAACATTCCAGGGTACCTCCAAATCTCTCCGGCAGTACAAGGCTCCACTGTAGGTGACTCTCGACGTTGGGGTTCCTGACCCCTCCCCTCCTGCCAGGGATTCTGCAATGCACCCCAGACCCTAGCTGCTTACCGGCAATCGTGACCAGAACGGTATTCCGGAGAATGTCTCCTAGTTGCGTGCGATAAACAGCCACCGATAAGTACCGGAGCCAAGGGCCCTATCTTGCATGCTCATCCTCGACGCACACCGATATGCTGCATACAAGCTGAGACAATGTTAATAATAATAGATGCATAAGGCGAATCTTGCGTTTGCAGAGGCATGTACCATTGCGGGGTATACCGTTACAATCTCGGCTACAGCTGCATTGCGGCTTTTCCTGTGGGAGCTGCCTCTAGCCGATGCGACGCCTGTCTAATCGGTGAGGGAGCATGCGTTCGATTGGCGAAGATGGAAGCCAACGGTAATCACAGCACGGTTTGTGTTACTTTTGCTGTCAACGTTTCGCGTGCGTGGGATGCGATTCGACGACCGGTGTCGTTGCTGCAGGCAGCATCTGGGGTGATGGCCCGAATGTGGACTCTGCTGTGAAAGGCGGGCAGTGAATTTGCTGACTATGACCTTTGTCATACTGCTAGACGCAGCTTTGGAGAGTTTACCGCTCTGGGCGCCTCACTTTCTCAACTTTGGTTAATGTCGACCTCCATGGTGTGTCATGCACCTTCTCTTTCGCCCAACATGGTAGTCTAGTCATCGTCGAACGTCAGAGAAAGTCGCTATCGATTCGCAACACGAATGCGACGTTAGCAGTGAATGAAGATCATGTTCCGGGGTCTATGAGATCTGCGGGGATGTCCTCCGCCTGTCCTTCCATAATGCTTACAGCATACGTACCTGGGCAACATCATGTGAATAACCGGTGAACTTTATGAGAAATTTTATCGATTGGTGTTGGCGTGCAGGAAATCCTTTGCTGTGTTCGCTCATGAGCGCGAAGCGAGCGCGATTTTGCAGCCTTACTCGCGAACATATATCAGGGTTACGAAGAAGCAAACACGAAAGCACGTGCTGAACCATCAAATCGAGCTATACAGCTATCGAGTCCAGCCTAGCGTTGGGTCGGAATCGACAACCGACACCATCATAGCATCGTGATCTCCAACAATAGACATCGGATTCGCGTTCAAATGCGATATCACATTCGCTCGGAGCTAGAACAGGTGACGAGTATGGCCTCAGGCATGATGTGATGATGTGCACCACGAACTTGAACAGGAACTTGCATTGCCGAAGGAAAGCGAGGTGTCGTAACCTTGTCCCGAACGCCCAACGCCATCGTCACGCGTTCACGCGACGGAGTCCTCTCCGCAGCGTCTCAATAACGCCTTTTTTCGCTAATTTCCCAGCATTCAGCACAAAAGATAGGCTCGCTGCTGCCCAACGCAACGCTTCACCGTATCAAACCTTACTCCGTTCCCGTGTCGTGTTGCAGTCCACCGTAGTTTCATCAGATGATTGCAAAGTCAACGGCGAGGTGGAGAAAGGTCCGACGGGCAGCCTGGAAAGCATTTGGACACTGCTCCATAGTACTAATACGCCGAAGACAGGATCGACGCTGTATTTGCGTAATGCGCGAAGGAATTAATTGGAGACAGGCAGGTAGACTTGCAGATTTTTTTTGGAGAACACAGGTCCCTGCTTCATGCAGATACGCGAGAGCAAGAAACCCAATTGCAACGAGATTATGCCGACTATTCTTACCCCAAAATGATCGACGCAGCAATGCGCGCGACCCATTCTAATCTTTGGAGCTCTTCGGGATAATGGGTAGTCCACGTATGATTCCCGAACCTCGGAATTATCGATCTGCGCTGTCCAAGCAAAATTGTGGGAGCATGATCGCAAAACTCGTACGACTTGCTTCACCGTACACACCTAGTTTGTAGTAGTGTGTAACCACAGGCAAGCCCCATTTCGGTGGTATCGACGCGACGTCACGTTCCGGAGGGCGGCATGTCAAGATACCTAGCACGTGGATAGTCATTAGCAAAAAAGCCAAGAAAGCCGTCATCGCAGTTCTTCAAACAGGAGTCAATTTTGAGGCCAGGGTCCAGGCTATCGAACAAGCGGCTTCTTCACCGGAAGCCTCCGTTACGTTTTTTCGACGAGCCGTCGGACGACCTCGGGAGGCGGCAATTAGCGCCGGGGCAGCGCAACCACCACCAGGAACAAGTGCTGCGCTCCTGTCAGACGTGCTAGTCAACCAAAGTTTTTGATTAAACTAGAGATATGATGCAAGATGAGCATGCTCCAAGGTTGCAGGATGCAAGACGCAGGTCGTGGTTCTTTTGCGGAATTCGTACCCTGATTAGGATTACTTGGACGTTGGAGGCGTTTTAACCTGATTATGCGGGCGGGTTGTTTTGTTTTGGGGGTGGGACAGATTGAAGGGTTTGGAGATCGCTTAGTCAATTTACCGCCGCCGTCGCCGTTCTATATCAAATTCGTTTTTGCGGTGTGGAAAAGGCACTAGCATGTCTGGAGACAGCATTGCCAGCCGGTCACATATCCGGTGAGAATATGGCAGATTCTAGTTTGCGCAGATGGAAGGTAGAAACGCGTAACGTGACGCATACGGCAGGTGGTTTGGCTTTGGTTCCAAGGTCTTGATTTTCGTTTTTTATTTTGTGATGCGCGCGAGGCGGCGCGCCTTCATGCAGAGGGTTAGCACGTGGATGCGTAGTACAGACACACAATATCCACTCACTCACACCTTTTCAATATGTGGTTGATGCAGTAAAGAGGATGCGGATTGACGCGCATTGCATTGCAGGTAGGTTGGGCATTGACTGAAGATCGTGGTTGACCACTAGTATGCAGGTGTGATGTTGCGCATATGGATGCTTTAGAGTCCGTTTGAAGTAGCAAAATCAATGATGGATAAGGGACCAGATGATCCTGTTCAACGAGCACGTAACGGCAACTATCATAAACCTCGAAGATACCTGACCTTGCTTTTTGCCTCTGAAGGTACATACCGGTCGGGCGAACCAGCGATCTCATATGTGTCTCGGGAAGATCCAGTTGCATAATCGACAGTAAGGATTCATTCAAGATAGAGTTTGCGATCTGTTCGAAACCATCCCGCGGTGCTGGAATCACTCTGATCGGTGAGGGATAATCATAATGGTGATAATTACAAAACAATTACTGCTGTTGTTCAATGTGAAGCTGTTCGCCTCCGCGGGTGGAAAATCGGCGAACAACAGCCGCACGAGCGAAACGGCTGAGGCGCTGCACCCGTGCGGACCAATCTTTCCACTCCAGGGCTGTTACCAAGACGGGTTGAGGCGTGCGACGCCACAGTATTAGACCGAGAAAGAGCCGCTAGTCATCACACGAAACAAGGTCATCTTGCATGTGTATACGCATCCGACGAAAAAGCATTTTCGAAATCCGTTGGATGAGAGCCACGGAAGGCGCTGCCGCGGACCTTTACATCGAGTCAACTGTTGCGCGAACGGTGTGTTCGAGGGTCCCGCAGCGAAAAGCAATACGGATGGATAATGGAAATGCGATGTTGATCCAATACAATGTATTTTCTGCAACCCGCGGCAGGGTTGTGTATGAGTGGCTTGGACCTAGAACCTCAAGATCTCCTACCAGCGAAAGCTAGCGAAAATCCAAGAAAGTTGACTCCGATTCCGACTCCACACCACCCTCCACAACGTTGCATAGTCCCCTAGTCTGATCGGTGAACGAAGAAGGGGAAGGGAGGGGAACAGACGGAAAAAACCCTGGGTATACCCATAACAGTGGTCGGCGAGCATCATAGAGGAAGAAACAATATAGGTGCAGTTGAGAAAACTTGTCCCCGCGATCCAAGCCTTGGACGCAACCGGGAATATGTTAATTCAGAAATGCGCGAGAAGAGATCCGAGACCAGAAGGAAAGAGAGGAGGAAATAATGATTCCGAAATGCTTAGTTTCAGCGCTAGCCGCCCAATGATGATGATAAGTTAAAACTTCCGTTTCGTTGCGTGTGCGTTTGCCGCGTGCATTTGATAATGCAACTCTGTCTTCTACAATAGCTGTCCTGATCGATGGTGTGGGAATAAGCGGCAAGAAGGAAACCAAAAAGCAAATATAAATGTCCAGAAAGAAACTGACGTGCAGCAGCGCCGGGGTCTACTCATGCAAGTCATCATGCACGTTCAGATCGGTATCGGGCCGTATCTGCCAGAGACAGTGGCGCATATCGGATGGCGATGGAGATCGGATGGCGGCCGCTGTACAGGATATCTCGATACATCGTCGGATGAGAGCGCAGCATAGGCGTCGGCATGGGCGTCGGCATGGGCGTTGGCACGCAAATGCGCGCGGCCGATATCAAGTATGTCGTCATGTTGATTGCTTCATTCGAGACCGTGTTGCCTCTGGACGTTCTTGAGAATCTCAAGATCCATGCGCAGAATGGGCGAGTTTTGCGCCACGTCGCTGATGACGGCGATGGTACGTCTGAAAAGGGCGGCGAGGTTGGCCTTGGTAAGCCAGGTGTCGCTTGGTAGGAGTGGGTATAATTTGGATTTGTACACCGAGGCTAGGACGAGCATATTGCCAAATTGTCTACCTTGAGTGTTAGCGGGCGGTGCCAAGCTTGAATTCAGATAGTGAAGACTTACGCGTGAAGTGTACCGAAAATGTTAGTCACAATAAGCCTCTTCTTGCGCGTAGGCTGGAAGTACTGGTATTGGCTACCAGGCTCTTCGCCTACACGATCAAACGCGATGGTACTCCGGATAGCGGCGTTGATACATTGGCAAGCGATCTTGATGATCTTGTGCTGGTCTTCGCTCAAGTCCACCATTTGTACGTTCCTGTTTGACGCCGCATTTCCGTAAGGTGATGGCGAGTTGTTCTGTGTTGCGCCGGTTGTTCCTGGAGGTGGGGGCGGGAACTCCAGCGTATGACTCGCGAGCTTAAGGTAGGGTCGCAACATCATGTACAGACCACCATAGTATTTGGCGCGTACACGAGCAATGTTGAGATCTGTCGAGGGGTATTCGTCGTCCGACCATGCCAATTCCGGTGTAAGCAGCTTCCTCCAGCCCTCAAGGATCTCTTTGTGAGTAAGCGCGTGGTGAGCAACTTCCTTGAAGCTCGTAGGGTCGAAGCTCATGCGACCACTGGGACCGTACAGAGCATTATGCGCAACGTTGAGGACAACTCGTAGGAAAGTCTGCGTGGAGTATAGTTTCATCATCAAATCTTGTCTTGGGCCTGCACGTACTTCGACATCTTGTTGCACAAAGTTGCTGTCCTGGTCCTGAGACCAGTTTTCGTTGACGCCTTCAGGGTACATGATCTCGCTTTGATGCGCAGAGATGCCGGAGGGCGGAAGCGTACTCATCTCTGCTAAGATATCGGATTCCAGCTGCAGAGCTGTCCAGTAGACACACATGACGAGGTTTAGTCTATAGCGCTCCTTGGAACTCCAGGTATGTCTCCTGTCGCTGTTCACACGGAGTAGTTTAGTGTAGTCGGCTTTGATGAGGACCAGGGCAATCCGGCAAGCGTTGTTAATCCAGCTCCAACTTTCCAGTACTCGTGCATACTGACTGAGGAATAGCGCAGCCAGCAGCATAGCCTGCGCATGTGCAACAGTGTTACCGCCCTGTTGGTTCCCAAGAATATCGGTGGCGTAGGCATAGTAAGCCATACCAGGTAGGAGGTCAATGTTCTTCGGGCGGTTCTCATCGGAAGTCTCGCTGTTGACACTGTTGAAACTACCGTTAGGATGAGGAGAATTTCGAATGTAACCCCATTCGCTGTGGACGTAAGGGTGTCGGTCATTCTGTGGCGCAGGCAGAGGGTCTTTGTGCGAGCATACTTTGCCCAAAGCAAGAACGAGCAGTACAATCGCGTTGCGCAATGATCGTTCAATCTCACCCCGACCCGAAGGGAGTCCCTCAAGATTACTCTCCGACCGCTTTCGCTTAACTCCGTGAACAGGAGCAGGCGAGTGGGCGTTCAGAGGCTTCGCGTCAGGACTGTATTGATCACTGAAGTCATTGAACATGCGCCTTAGTCTGTTCTCGTTCATGAAAGGATGGAAAATGTGCATGGTCTCCATGTACGACCGGAGTAGGTCGAACATGACATGGCGTCGAAAGTCGGGCCGACCGTCTGCGCCAAGCCCGTTCTCTTGCCGCGGCTTGGGCGGGAAGTATTCTCGAGGAGTGCTACCCGGTGTTGTCGTCCCAGCCGGGACCTCGGAAAATGGATATCCCCACAGACCTTCTTTGCCGGGTGCTGGTGAAGGCGCTTCTGAGTCGTTACTGCTCTCTGGGCTTCCAGGGCCTTGAGCTCCGTCGTTCAAGTCTTGGCCCTCACCGACACCCCAAACGCGCAGCAGTCCGCGGTCTTGCTCAAGCTGCATCGGGTAGTCTGAAACTTCACGGCCGTTGTCTATTAGCCTTCTCAGGTACGGGATGCCTGTATAGAAGCTAACCATCTGCTGCCATTCATCCAGCAACTTGTGCGCCGGCGTAGTGTGATCACCCTGCAGACCCGTTTGCTCTTTGGGGCTAGTCTCAGTGGCATGGCTGCGATCGGTCCTCACACTCTCAGCAGGGGTTGCCGGCTGTTGAGGAGGGGGCGCATACTGAGACTCTTGCTTGATAGAAGCCGATGCTTGCACACCCAAAGGCGACATCATGTTCGAGTGGGGAGCAATAGGTGACTCCATCTTCAGGTTGCTGTTGACTCGACCCATATGTCCTCTTCCCTGTATGGGAGTAGGCCATCTGGATGTGCCATGCTCTCTTGGGGGTGCGGAGAAAGAGGCTTCAGGCGAAGCGTGGTTCGACATCATCTCGTGGTTCCGTGATGGTGGAAGCCTACTCTCAACAGTCGATTTCCAGCCGTTGAATTGGTCCACAAACTGCGCCAGAACGTCGGAGATGCTGTTCACACTTTCTTGAAGTTGCATCATGCTTCTGTCTTGCCTACGGTGGGGGTCAGCGATGAACCAAAGGGAGGGATCGGGTAACGCACTTGGGTGGCGGGACATCCTTGTACTGGCAGTCGAAGTTGTTCTCCCGACAGAACTGGCACGGTCGAGCTTCATCACATTTCTGCTTTCGCGAACGACAGTGGTTACAGGCCTGGGTGGCGCGCACCTGCTTTCGTCGTATCTGCTGTGCGGTGCCATAGTCGTTCATGTACGGGGTCTGCGCGTAAGGTGTGACAGGAGGAGCGTATTGCTGGGCTGGTGGTGGCGGCTGTGCATGATATGGCGCTCCGTTGGGGTGTGCTCCAGGACTGATGGCGTGGTTGTATCCATTGGGTATGCTGCCATTGGGGCGATGCTCGTGGTTGATTGCCCACGGCTGGTGGTGGCCGCCATGCTCCATGGGAGTCTGACTTTGAGACTTCACGTCGACACTGATACTGACACTGGTGGACCGGGAACTCTGTGGCTCTGCTGGCGCAGTGGTCGTTTGAGGTGTGAGTGGGGGACGGTAGCTGGAAATTCGGTCCTGGGGGATCGTCACAGGAGATGCTCCAGTAACGCCATTGGGATGCTGACGAGGTGAGGGTATGTTCCGTGGGTCCGCAAGGGCACGAATATCAGATGGCGGAAGGGACGGTGAAGGAAGCGGTCCGGGATAGCCTGGGACGTGAGGAGGATACTGGTTAGATGGAACCGGTAAGCCGTGAGCACCGTAGGGCGGAGACGCCTGGACTAAAGTGGGATGAGACGGAGGTCGAGTGGGTTGGGTATGAGGCGGTGGAGGAGGGTGTGGAAATCCGTGGCCGTTATACTGCGGATGATCAAGATTGCCGGAGCCCAAACGAGCTCTCTTAGACTGGCCGGGCGCGTCAGGATCAGCCATCCTTAGATATGCCAGACGGAATCCGCTCAGGCCATGCGGCTATGTATGACAGACGACTACTGGGCAAAACGGATGGTCCCAGGACCACCAAACGGCAAAAGCCAGGAAGGTCGCGGGGGGTGGGCAGGCAGGTGGTGGAGAGGCGGCCTCGGCAGTCGCAGGGTCAGGAAAAGACCAATTCGCGGGAGTCAGCGAATAGCAGGTCAAAGATGATTTGCAGATGACAGCCCAACCCGCGTCATCGCCTGGAAGAGGGGAAGAGTTTGGAAAGCGTCGCAGGGCAAGTGCTCGGAGGCCAGAGTGGGATGCAGGACGGGAGCTTTCCTATGCCGCGTGCGCGAAGAAAGGACCTAGCCTTGGGCAAGACTCTCTTACCATGGAGCCGGAGACAACTATCCGAAGCAGGTAAGGCCCAGATGAATGAGTCGCGGACGGTCTATGCTGTCGACGTTTGCTGGCTTGGTCGGCGAAAAGTGGCGCTATTAAGACCGGGCCGTGCGAACGAAGGGGCCAGGGCGCAATCACAGAGGCGCGAAACTAAATCAGTCGCAAAAAGGAACAGCTCAAAGCGAGACGCGACGGGGGGCGGGAGACGGCACAGCGCTGGGTCAGTCACGCGGGTGGTGGTGGAGGGTAGTAGGTGATTAGTAGTAGTGGTGGTGAGGGCTATGGCTATGGTGTACGATGGGCTATGTCGGGAGGGGAGAACCTGATACCGATGCTTGGAGAGAGATGGACGAGGATTGCAGAAGCGGCGTATTAGCGTAAAGCGAAGGATGTGCAGCACACAGGTCGCTTGTGCCATTAACCCAGTCTGCAAGACAAGGGTTTCGGCGGGGCCACCAGACGCGCTGTGTGGCCATCGACAAGGACGACATGGCACCGTTGTATCAAACAGCGCGAGCTGCCAGAGCCCGTCATGTGCCATAGGATGATGCCGTTGCAGACAGCAAACGTTGCTCCCGCCCGACGCGACCGCGCATCCATTGCTAACTACTTGGACGCCGTTTCCAACCGACGGCAACACGTCTGCGTCTATCAGGAATGATAAACCACTGCTGCAATTTGAGCGCTGGTCGTGTGTCAGTCACGGAGCTCGTTGTTTCGTGCGGCGATGCGCGGTCCTCCGCTATGCAACAGTCATCGTTGACACCCCCCCGTGCATCTTGGAGCAGGCCCGCCGTCAGCAGCTATAGTCGGATAATTTCTGCCCAATTGCTGGCCCTGAAAGATTCAGGAAGCTGATCCGAGCTCTGAGGCCGACTAGTCAAGATTCCTAGTCTGCCAGCCTCCACTTTACAGCGGCACCGAGGTATTCGAGAAGGTTGATAGAAGTGATGCGCTGCTTGTGGCGTGCAGGCAATATCTTGCAACGCCTCGTCTTACGCCTGGTACTGTCTGCTTGCCTCGAGCACTCGGTCCCATCCTTTGTGCTGTGACGATTCATGCGCCGAGTCTTCGCGAACAGGACCTGTCACTCACAACTCTGCTGCCCAAAGATCAGCATTGCGTTTCCGGGCTGCAGATCCTGGCGAGACTCCTATAGGTAGTCTGGTGGCACATGGCGAAATAGTGTGTGTACTGCTGCCACTACCCTTTTGTCCGCCTCGTTTGCTAGGGAAATCGCGGCTGCTGCTCACTGGCCTATGCCGGAGAGGCGCCGGTCTTTTGCAAGTGACATTAATTTTATCATGTCCAAAGTCTGTCCTATAAACTAGCGCGGCCGCAACACGCGACCGCCATTATGGCGTCAGGAACATTTGCAAGCCCACATGGAGTAGGACCCCTCCATCGTGCACTTGGAGTAGATTGGTACTGTGCACGCCGCAGTGCCCTGGACACCCTTGCAAACGCGGCCATGCGCACATAACTCGGTCGTGAAGGGCCTGCCTCAAAGAAACGGTCAGCTGCCCGGCGACATCAATCCAAAACAGCAGCGTCTTTGATGCTAAGCTCTTCACAGAGATAGCCATCGAGCCAGTCAGTCAGATGACGAGCCGACTCTGCCCGGCCCTGTTCCTCACCGACGCTATGGCAAGTTGCGGTCTGCTTCAAACTAGCTGACTGATGCGTGAGAGGACCTGTCCGATAGACGACTCCCCACAACCGAGATTGTCTAAGCAAAGCCGGCCTGCGAGCCTCGTGGGATTACCCTGGCTTTTCACATCCTGGCGGCTGTCGCTTTACCACGTGGGACGCATGAGGCGTCCAGTGAAAAAAACGGGGAGTCCCTTGGACTACCTCTCGACGGAGCGATGGCGCAGTAACGAGTCAAACTCGTGTCGAGAAGTTGCCGTTGAGTCGGTGTAGTCGCTTCATTCTGCGACACGGCATCTCAAGGCTTGCCATCGATCGGAGCAACAACATTTCTAGAAATTTCAAGCCCTAGACGGCAGGCGATGTAGCAGCCGCTTGCCACATCTGGCATAAGAGCATGCCGAAGGGACCGGAGAATCGGCAAAGCGGCGCGACACGGTGAACCGTGAGTCGCATCCATGGAATGCATTCGCCTTGTCGTCTAGTAATGGAAAGTGTTCGTGCTGACGCAGATGCATTCAACAATGACGAAAGGTATGATGTGACGTCGCAAGTGACGATATAGATGAACCTTCGTCTGGTCGCTGTCCACCAGGTGGTGCGCGCGGGTATTGCCTTGAATTTTGCTCCTCGGAAACACGCCCTGCCGTGTCGTACCAAACACAGAAATTTGTAACCAAGGGACACAGCTTCTAGGTCCCCATTACCAGGTGACACGGTCAGATCAGGTTCTTGTTTGTGTTTCGTAGATGCTTGTAAAGCGCAGGTGTCACACAACTGGTACGCGTAAGGAAACAAGTAGACAGGCGCGATTCCGCCAAGCCTATTTCGGATCATGACTGCCTACGCGCATCCTATCTCACACTGCAACTCCACACAAGGGAACGATTTAGTGAGTAGAGCCTATCAGCGTACAGCTTCATTTGTGTAACCCTATGCATCGTCAGGTCTTGCATACTGCACACATATACAGTACGCGAGATGCATCTGCTAGCGATCTTTCGTAACCGAGGTGCTGAGACGCCAGTGAGACAAGTTCAATCGCGCACATGTATACGTCACAATTCCATTCGCGCCTGGGAAGGCGAATGCACATCATCGCCAGACACCTCCAGCATCCTCACCACAGTACCTTCGATAGCGCAAGATCGCGTGGACCACAATCTCTTGTACCAGTAGACTCCTCCGCTAGTCTGAAGTTCCGCCAGGAAGAACATCATGATCGCCACCCTGATCTTTAGCGTCATTGCGAGCTTCGCCATCTATCAGATAACCTGGAGATATCGTAGTCTACAGCGAAATGTCGCGCTCGCAAAGAGCTCGGGATTACCTGTGATTGTAGCGCCATGGCACATGTTCAGTATCTTCTGGCTGTCAACTTTCAAGTTATGGACGCCATTACTGCAGAGATTTGTGCCAGAACCACTAAGAGGCATGTGGATGGAGTAAGTATGTCCAACTTGATCATAGTTGAGATGTTAATTTGATCCTGCAGCATCCTGCATCCGGAATGGGGTTATATGAGCGGTCATGAGCCCTTCAAAAAGATAGGGATGGACGTGTTCATTGTGGCTTCTCCTACCAGAAATACTGTCTACGTGGCCGATGCGGAGGCCGTCAACCAGATTACCAGCCGCCGCAATGATTTTCCCAAGCCTCTTGAGATGTACGGGTCACTGGACATTTACGGAAAGAATCTTGTGTCTACTGAGGGATCAGATTGGCGTGCACACCGTAAACTTGTCGCACCGAGCTTCGGTGACAAGAACAATCAACTCGTGTTCAATGAGACTATTCACCACGCAACGTCGATGCTCGATCTGTGGGCTGGGCCTGATGGTAAAGGAAACTTGACCGTGGTTGACCCTTCTGTCGCGGCAATGAACTTTGCTCTCTATGTTATCAGCGGTGCAGGTTTCGACGTACGCGTAGTGTGGCCGCACGAAGAGGGCAAGAAACCAAAGACCAAGAAGGGTGGAGAAGATTCGATCTTCGTAGGATCCGAAGCACCTCCAGGCCACACCATGAACTATAGGGAAGCTCTTAGCGAACTGCTCCATAACATCATGTGGACTCAGATTATGCCTATCAAGTGGCTTTGTAAGTTACCTCCTTGTCATTGTCTGACTGCATTGAATTGAGAACGTTGTTCTAACGTGTTCGGACAGCGCGATCACCAGTCAAAGTCCATCGTACAGTCGGAGAGGCTGTAGGCGAATGGGGAAAGTACATGAACGAGATTTACGAAAAGAAGAAGACCCAGGTCGAATCCGGCGATGATACAAAAGAAGGCATGGATCTCTTTGATGCTCTGATCCGAGGAAGTGGCATTACCAAGAAGGAGGGCTCGACGATTACGAAGAGCGACTTGCTGGGCAACGCTTTCGTAGTAATGCTGGCTGGTCACGAAACAACAGCCAACACACTACATTTCTCGATGATATTCCTTGCAATGAACTGGGCGTCCCAGAAACGGCTACAAGAAGACATTGACAAGATATTTGCGGGTAAGCCGATGGACGAATGGAAGTTTGAGGAGCATTTCCAACCCCTTTTCGGTGGTATGGCGGCAGCTGTCATGAACGAGACATTACGCATTCTACAACCCATCGTCAATATCCCAAAGTCTACTGCGCCGGGTCAGCCTCGACCATTAAATGTTGGAGGCCAACAATACATGATACCTGGAGATACACATATCTTCCTTAGTGCGGCTATCCACCGCAATCCCAAATACTGGCCAGCACCATCTGATAAACCGCATAAGGGCGGGATCCCGGACGTAGACTGTTTCCGACCTGAACGCTGGCTCGTCGACACTAAGCCTGACAACGACTTTGTCGACATCAATTACGATGACGAAGATTTACGTGGACCATCAGGAGAAGACACTTCAGCTCAACTCTTCAAGCCCGTCAAGGGTTCATACATCCCCTTCAGCGATGGCTTTCGATCATGCATTGGCCGACGTTTCGCTCAAGTTGAGATTCTTGCCGTGCTGGCTGCGATCTTCTCGCAGTATAGCGTTGAGCTTGCAGTAGATGACTTCGCTAGTGACGAAGAGGTAGAGAAGATGCCAAAAGGAGGCAAGGAGAGGAGGGAGCTTTACCGAAAGGCTGAGGATAGAGCCAAGGACTTCCTCAAGAACAAAGTGGCGAGCATTGTCACGCTACAGT